ACGTCATTACATTACAAGATATCAAAAATGCGCTCACTTATCCCAAGGTATTGTGATGTGGAAAGCAACCCTGCCCTGCTATTCTCTGTCATCCATCTTAATGTTCGAAGTCTCTCAACTAAACTAGAATTTATCCTACCTGAATTTTCAGGAATAGATATTTTAACTTTTTCGTGAATTTTGATTCCTATTCATATGATATCGATTTGTAAAAAGTAAAAGGTTACCACCCACCTGTCTTATACAATTGTAACATAGGTATTGGCGATGTAGTTAAAGAATCCATTTATTTAAACATCGTAAAGACATAGAAGTCTTGGCTGTTGGAAATTATAAGAAGAAAGTTTCGTTTTAGCTAATGACTCAAATAAAGTATTATCCTTAGTGATTTTAACTTTGATATTTTTAAACAATAATCCCAATAAAATCCATGATATCGTAAACCGGTTCAATCTTTTCAAACTTTAAAGAATGTTACACGTATTACTCCTAATTCAGCAACACTCATAAAAGCTGCCATTATAAAACAAACCGAAGTTCTTGAATGCAACATACGTTAGTGACCACTGTCCAGTAAAACTAGATTTAGCTTTTAACACACAACCAGGTAAAAGATTTAAGCGTACTATTTGGAATTATGACAAATTCTATCTTGAAACTGATTGGATTATTTACTAATGTCAATTCTCCAAATTTAGAAGAAGATTGCTTTTCAAATAAATTATTGAAGGGGTTTATAAAGTTGTGCCACATAAAGATGTTGTTTCAAGACCACGTGACGTCCCATGGATGATCGGTTTCCTGAGATGTATAATACGCAAACGTAATAGAATCCATAAAAGAGCCAAAACCCAGAATCGTCCTGATACATGGAAATTATTTCGTGAATACAGAAATTTTGTTATATCTGAAGTAAGAAAATGTAAATAAGAGTACTATAATTAAATAAAAGGGCTTGATGGACACTTGTTAAAAGTCATGCTTTTCATTACCGGCAAGTCCCCCACGAAAGTCCTACCCTGAAAGTTAATGATATACTGTTTTATGGCGATTGTGAAACAGCTAATAATTTAAACGATTATTTTTCCAGTCAGTCTCATTTTGAGAATGCTAACGATAAGCCACTGGAACTTTATGTTAATCCGATTGAAATTGAACAGTTGATCTCACTTTCGAAAAATAAAGCCGGTGGACCTGACAAAGTTAACAACATTATTTTGAAACAATGTGCTACGTCATTAAGCCAACCCCTCTCCAATTTGCTCCATTTCTTACATAATATATCTGTATTTCCGGACACGTGGAAACTCTTATATTAGATTACTTGCCGAATAGAAAACAATCAGTAGTTATTAAAGGCGAAGGCTCTAATTTGAATAATATAACCGCAGGTGTTCCCCAAGGATCAGTATTAGGTCCACTTCTTTTCCTTATTTATATCAATGATATTACTGAAAATATAAATTCTAATATACGTTTATTTGCAGACGATAGATGTTTGTATCTAATGTTCAATAAGATTTCCGAAGTAAATCCTTACCCTGTACGCAATAATAATACATTGAAACATATCGTTGCTAATACCAATTATTATAAAAAAAACCTTTTTACCTTCAACAGTTGACCTTTGAAACAGTCTTTCTAATGATACTCAAAACGCCTCCACCATACAAAAGTTCAAAATTGAAATAAGTGTGAATGATCGTGAAATACACAAATATTACTTTGGTGAACATAAATTTCAGATTATTCATTCCAGATTCTATCCGACGTGGTTTCCCCTTGTCAGTGGTGAGGACGGAGGGCCTGACAAGGACAGCTGTCTAGTCCTTCGGATGAGACGAAAAACCGAGGTCCCGTGTATACATTGGAATGCACGTAAAAGATCCCTTGTCAGTTGGAATTCGATATAAGAGTAGGCGATAGTGCCGCTGCCCGGGCAAAATTTCCCTCATAGCACACTGTATGGCGTATGCCCGTCTTCATTAGCCCAGTATAGGAGCAGAACAGTAGGACGTTAAACCCCATTTCATTTCCAGATTCTAAATTTTCATAGATTTTTAATACATATTTCTGATAATCCGACATGCATATGTGGTCATATCCAAGAAGATAGCGATCATTTTTTTCTGCACTGCCCAAATTATGCGACTCAGCGTATCAGAACATTAAATACCCTCCCACTTAAATCCAAACACACAAAACACGACAGTGATTAGTGTTAAAAAGTGATGATGATGATGATGACGCTGATGAATTTATATAAGCTTCGGCTTGTTTTCAAATCCATTATAACAGTATTGTAAATACTCATGTTGTACCCGAAATAAAATATTGTTTAAACCAGGATGTAGTGTTAACGTAAAAACATGGGCATGTCCATTCACTACAAAAATTAAATCTCCTTATTCATTCACATAGTTAATAATAAAAGGAATTCAGTGTGCACTTTTCGCCCCCCCCCTCTCCAAACAAGCTAACATAACTATTGGAAGTTATTTACACCTATCGCAGTTTTTATGTACATACATATTGTGTTATACATATGTTGGTATTTGTCCCCCCCCCCTCTCTCCAAACAAGCTAACATAACTATTGGAAGTTATTTACACCTATCGCAGTTTTTATGTACATACATATTGTTTTATACATATATATGTTGGTATTTGTCTCCAGACTTCTCCGTGGTTTCGAATCCCCGGTTGTACGTGGCAAGGAGTAGGGTCGCCTGTCCAACCTCGTGGGTTTTCTCCGGGTCCTCCGGTTTCCTCCCACTGCTAAAGACCCCTACGCGCAAGCGAATTATGTAAATAAAATCAAACCATATGTTAGTCCCGAAATGACCTAGTTTGTGTCGAGTGGACGTTAAACCCCATTTCTCTCTCTCTCTCTCTCTCTCTCTCTCTCTCTCTCTCTCTCCAGACTTCTCAATGATTAAATAAGATTTATACTTTTGGTCGATTTTAAATTATAACTATATCAACGTGTGTGGTTTTCTGTTAAATATGTCTAAAGTTGTTATTAAATATAGGTCTAAAGTAGATATCAATATCACTTACTATTGAACAATTGTCGCTCGTTTTACAAGACACGGCTCGGCACATTTAATCTTAAAGTACTCGTAAATCGAACATTTGATGTACCACTAGCGTTGCAGTATTTGGAAAAATGTATTTTTGACAAATGTTTTGCAAGATTTGTATTTGGAGATTTGTATTTGGAAATTTGTTGTTCAAGATTTGTTTTCGTTGTATATTTCTGGTGAAATGTAAATGTAATTTTTTGATTTTCTAAAATATTATTTTTAAATTTATATTAAAATACAATTAAATTAAACAAAAATACAATTTACAAATCTGATAATACAAATGTCTGAATTGTAAAACAAATATTGATTGTAAGATACAAATGGTTATTTTAGTGTGCAAATGAAGAAATAAAAATTAAGGACTGTGAATTAAGTCCTAAGAATTAAGAAAACTGTTTGGTCTTCCATAGACAAGGAATACGATTGCTGGCCTAACCTTGTTTGCTTATTTTACATTGCTAAAGAATTCAACCGATGACGCCATTGTCAAAATGTCACATGTTCCAGGTAGTCCAGACCATGAGCCTACTTAGTGCAATAAGTAGTGAAATATGTCGTATACCAGACAGTGTACATGTACTTTTTGTAGAACACCTAAACTTACTGATTATTTTTATTAGCTGACCTGCGCAATTATGTTTGAAGTTATTGTCTCAAACTTCACTTCTCAAATATAAATTTCCAATTGATTTTTCGTACTGTATATATTTCTTCCTTATTCGTGTATTTTATGCATGTTATGTCTTTGATAATCAATAAACCCGGTTTGCCATAATTCATTATAAATATCCCTACGAAATATGTATATTTTATACTCGTATATATGTATCACAGCAAAGAGATAAGTGGTTCAAATTCATCAAACATCTGTCACAAATCCAATTGATTCATACATTCTATAATAAAATAATACAGTTTGGTATAGGCGTGTTGTGTACTGTATGTTGTTGACTCATTGTTATTCTGTGTATGTACAGTGAGGTTTTTCATTTTGAGCCAAAAAAAAGGTTCGATATGGATTACTGAAATATTGTTATAAATTGAATTCTTTCGGCAGATATAAATATGTGGCCTACATCATGTTAGGTTGTGCTTAAAACGTGGACGTTGTGTTTCCTCAATTTCTATGGCAAAGTCATCACACATTCGGCATGTGAGTTGAAAAAATATGAATTTGGTTTGTTGGGACGTTACAAATGAAAGCCTGTCGGAATTCAAATACACGGGAGGGGTGATTGGCGAAAATGAAACAGTTCTGCCGCTACTTTTGAACATAAATGGATTCAACTTTTAACATTTTGTGATTTATCAGGACATTTGGCGATTCATATAAAAACAAGATGACTATATAAAATGTAAGAAATCAATGTAGGTTGACAACAGCAATAACCTCTTCATTAATGTACAAAAAGGCGCGTTCTACTTGAATCAATTAATACAAAATAACATTGGACCGAAACGATGGAAATCGTTAGCGGTATACCAGGCTAAAGAAATGTTTTATCGAGGAATATTGATATTGATGTTTTCCAGCTTACTCCCTTATACTTGTGGATATATACTTAAAGTGAGGACGATTGATTGATTGATTGACTCAATTAATACAAAATAACACTGGACCGAAACGATGGAAATCGTTAGCGGTATACCAGGCTAAAGAAATGTTTTATCGAGGAATATTGATATTGATGTTTTCCAGCTTACTCCCTTATACTTGCGGTAATATACTTAAAGTGAGGATGTAAATATCTGTAACCAATCGTTACAGGCCCCTGTGGTACACTTAAAATAACTTTTAGTTCAAATTTAATCAGCGGGATATTTATAGATTGTCTGAGTCGGACGAGGTAAATTGAAATAAGAATTACGTAAATGATTTGGTGCGATTATGTCGATTGGTTATATTTTTCAGGCATTGGATGATGAAAAAAGTGTATGTAACAGTGAATATTCTGAAGATAATTTCCAGACCTATAACTATGGTTCCATATTTGTTCAATTACAAGAGGCGAATGAAGAGTCGGAGGATATTTGTGAATTTTTGGACAGATCCTTGGCGGTTTTATGGAGCTCTGGTAAGTTATGCTAACTTTGCGGAATACTTCACTTGAGATAAAGTATGCTATAATTAAAACTTTATACAGTCGATTAGTAAAGCATGGTTTTCCTTTCTATTCGCGGTAATTTGACTGTGCCATATTGTTCAGTGGGTACGGCACTGGAACATTACCTAGGGGGTTCGGGGTTCGATCCAGGTGTTAGATAGAATTGTTAACGTGTCAGTGGTGTAGTACGGAGGGCCTTTTAGGGAACAGCTTCTTGTCGTTTCGATGGGACCAAAACTCGAGGTACGGTGTACACATGACGTGTATGTCAAACACCCCTTTACAATTGGAATTCAATTGCAAAATTCACCTCTTTGCCCACCACATGTTGTATACCCATCTTTATTAGCCTTGCTATGACAGAAAAGTAGCCCATTTCATGCATTAATTCATTCAAATTTTGTGTGAATGTTTGATTTGTCAGCTCTCTAATACCATGCAGACAAGACGTTGAAAAAGATCACTCGTTTTTGTTAATTGTTCCGATGAAATAAACTTGAAATAAATGTACATGTTCATGTTTATATGTATATGTTTATCAGCCAATAACATATTCTACAGTAGATATCGCCTGTGTGATAACTTTCGTATTCTACTGAGCGATATCTCCTAGGAGGCATGTTTAAATCGCTTTACATGAATTTGTTTGGCCAGTTAAAAGGGACGGAAAGGGTGGTTGGTGATAAATAAAATCTTCTACTCGTCTTTCTTTCAGTGGGGATGACTTGTATTCTATTAATACTAATCTGTCTTCCAATATCAATGGTTGCCGTTGGTAAGTTTGTTATATGCCGCAGAAATGTTCTTCGTGGTTTATTTATTGTTGGTCTTACTAATAATGTTTTTATGATATCATTTAAACTTTGGAAATATGTGGAATTAAATTAAAATTTGAGATCTATTATTGCGTCTTTAATATCAGTGATTGAGTTAACAGGGTATCATTTGCGTTAGATTGCAATACACTTTATTTGACCTTTGCACAAACATATTTTCCGAGACGGGTGGGGCTTCATCAAATAATCGGCCTACTCAGCATTATTACCCGCAGTTAGGTCGAACAGTAGTTAGTATTATTTAATGTTTAAATGACTCAGTTGAATATTGATTTTTGAAATGAAATGGGGTTTAATGCCCAGCTGTTCTGCTCCGAACTGGCTAATGAAGACGGGCATACGCCATACAGTGTGCTATGAGGGAAATTTTGCCCGGACAGCGGCACTACGGCCTACTCTTATATCGAATTCCAACTGTCAAGGGATCTTTTGCGTGCACGCCAATGTATACACGGGACAGCTGTCCTTGTCAGACCCTCCGTCCTGCATCACTGACAAGGGGGAACCACGCCGGAAAATCTGGATGAACTTTTCTCGGCCAATGTTGCAGGGATCGAACACCCAACCTCCAGGCTAGCGAGCCAGAGTCTTACCCACTTAGCCACCGTGATCCATATTGATTTTTATGTCTCATTTTGGTTTGATTAATGTGTAAGAGACTCCGGCAAATAGGCCCATTTTTCCGACAAAAGCGAAAACCCGGTCCAATTGGCAAAAAATCGGCCCAATTGCCTATCTGGACTATAAGTTTCATCATAGCACATTGCCTGGTGTATACACCTTCTTCATTATCATGGTTGGTGCAGAACGTTAGGACGTTAAACTACATTTTATATTTGTTGTATTCTTTTTTTACAGGGAGTTCGTTCCGAGATGAATGTCCAAAAGAACCCAAATTGCCTTTATATCTGCTCATAGGTGGCGTGTGTGGTTTTCTTCAGATTCTTATATTACTTTGGCGACAAAAGCAGTCACGTGAGATAGAAGGTTTGGAAGCGAACGGCGACGACGACTTTGATGACGCCGTTATGGCACGCAGTGTGCGATTTACCTGTTACGTCATGAGTTTCGGTCTTTCCACATGGTTTGTGATTGGAAATTTGTGGTTTTTCTCTATTTGGATGCCTAATTTTAAACAACCTCTCCACGACCCGACAAACTGGTGCAACGAAACAATCTATATGTTCGCTTTCTATCAGATAATGTTCTGTTATTGTCTAATGATTGCTTTCTTAGTATGTTTTATAGTGATTTGTCTTATGTACGTGATACGTTCATGTCGAGGGTAATGGTGTTGATTGTGTAAAGGTTACAATGGCGACAGAAAAAAAAATTCCATGTACATGTTTTGTGTGTGAAACGTTTATTCTGTACTTCACCGTGTCGTACCAGATCAGGCATAAATATAGCCTAGATAAATCAATCTAATCTTTGTGGCGGTGCTCCATTGAGCTACGCCGCAGGGCTACAGCCCAACAGCTAGTATTATACGTGTTTTTAACCTTCAGCATGATGGGCTCAAAAATATTTACGCTTTATAGGTCCTCTTTTGATAAAGGTGTCTAGTCCATGACATTTACACAAAGTACACGATGAGTTTATGTGAAACTAGAAATCACAATTCTAAATGTTAACAGCAATTTTGAAGGATCAAGTGTTGAGACTAACATCTACTTGTTTTGGTTGCTGGTGGTCGGTGTTCAATGATAAATAACATTATAATTATTAAATACAAGGCTGGATCCTGTTTGTATATTCTGTGATTCTTTTCTATTGCTAAATGTCAAATGTGGGAATTATTGTTATTACTGTGATAATGTTGTACATAAACATATATATTTTATGTACGATCAATGTCTAATATATATTATTAATAAACGTAAATGTATTTAATTTTATATATAAAAAATATAATCATGGCAGAGATGCATCTTACGGGTATTCTTACGATTTCTAAAAACCTGATAACACTTCAAATTTGAAGACGTTTGGCTAATGCATGGCTTTCCAAGCCGGGGCGGGTTGCATTTACATTTGGTAATCTTTTTAGAGTGTATTTGTGTATTTTGGTACAGAAATGGGTGAGCTTCGGTAAGCATGCGCTTAATACATATAGAGACTAAAGACCAGGACCGGTTGTTCAAACCTCCGTTAACTTATAACGACTCGTTAACATGATCTATTAACGTAGAGAACGTCTACGTTAACTTAAAGATACATTATGGGAGATAAGATAAAGAGATGGCAGTTCTCGCTATAATAGTTAAAAACTAGATAGTGTAAAGGTAATTTGCTGAAAATTTCAGTCAAATTGATCCACTATGAGCCGAGAAAGAAGCGGGTGAAATTTTTGCATAGTCTCGGTCTTCATTACTGAAATCATTAATATAAACAGCATAGTCTCGATTATCCACTTTTATTGATTTAATTATCAATAGCCGTTAGCGGCATATAAGAATCTAATCCAGCCAACATCGAAGGCTAGCCTTGACATCGAGAGCTTATTATGGTCTGGATAAGTTAATTAATGTCTAATTGATAATTTAGATAACATTTCAGGCCTAAAGAAAGACTTGTAATGAGCTGATTTTGCTCTTGCATAATGCATGTTTAACATGTTGTTAACTTGCCGTTATATTTTACAAAGGGCTTGAGCTACGTTGTCCGGTAGCATTAGTCGGCTGTCAGTCGAAGTACATGTATACCCTTATTCCTATAGATTACCAGTTAGTTTTCTATAGAACATTCTAGAGAGTGGGGGGGGGGGCGCTATCGGATAGGAAGAATTTGGGTGTCTGTAGGAAAAAAACGGCCCCGAATATTGTACAGTTTTTGTCCTGCAAATCCTATAGTTTTTCCAACAGATTTATGGTCAAATTTCTATGGGTAAATAATATAGTATTCTATAGATTTTGTCATAGTATTTTCTGTGGAAAATTCTACAGTTATATTTTTGTCTTTCATCAAATTTCTTGAGCAGACTGCATAGCTGTTCTATTTTCTCCATTTTCTTGTTAATACTAACTTCTATGAAGTTATTATACATGTACATCGAATTTAAAAATTCAGCCAATAACCAAACTGTCTTCTCTTGGATTAACTTTAATCAGCCCGTTAGCTAACGGATAATGAAATTGACCTTCCAGCAACAGAAATTTAACAGACAGTTAACAAACGACACGTTAGCAAGATAACGACCTGTTTGAGTTTAAGAGATCGTTAAAATAACGTGTCGAACAACCGGTCCAAGAACATCGAGGATACGAATTCCAGTTTTAGGTAGTCTTGCGCCATGATTAGGTTCAAATAATGAGAACTGGACCTGGAAAATTCTGATCGAAACCGGAACATTCTGGTTATGCGTTCATTTCCCTAATGCTAGGTTCCCCATGTCGTGTGGTGCGTAACGAATGCGACGATTGGCCATTCTTGGCTGATCGTGGAATTTTTATTTACTTCTCTGAAATTTCACGTTTGGATACGAGGTGCTTCGAGTCGATGCGTTTTGGTGCAATTTGGTGCGTTTGGATGCGATATGCTCACGACTGGTCAATTTCATTCAGGTGACACAATCTGTCATGATCTGGTCCCCGTTCAGATACCATCAGATACGTTCCGATAGGATTGCTCCTATTAAGTCCAAGTTCTGGTATGTGCACATACGTTCGGACACGTTTCGATACGATCATCAGGAACCGACGCGCTATTTTGCGTTAAGATATGATTGTGGTAGCGACGTCTTTCGCGATCAGGATCGAGAGTGATCACGATTTGAGCTACGATTGGATCCCGACGGATATATATATACAGCCCGACTGGTGGACTCCATTATTTCCTATACTTCTACAGAGATCATAGTGCATCTTAACAGATGATCCCAATCATCACAATTTTGAAAGCACGATAAGATGCGTTATGTTACGATCCAATACGATCTAAGGCGATGATCCGATTGACAATAATTAATTTTGAACCGTCCAAAACCCTTCTACGACCAACACGATTGCTACGGCTCACCTCAAGATATGATTAGATCTGATAAAATGATCACAATTACTCCACGATTAAAACCACAATTTCAATCGTAGCTCGAGTCGTCTGGATATGTAAACATATTATATAATATGTGTAAACACTATGGATAGGCACATATCCATATAAAGACTCGTGATAGTCATATAGGGGCTGTCAAGCCATACAAGGTGGAGACAACATTGCAAGGGCCAATCGAAGATGGTCTAAGGCTAGTAATTACTTGCCCATTAGTGCCTTTAGAACAATTCTATCTTCTCCCTTCTCTCCCTTTTGCATGGCAATTTTTGTTGACTTGTTGCTGATTATGCATGAGTTTGTGTCGGAAGAGTCCGGAAGAAAACAGACATGAATTAGGGTAATCGTCTACTAAATGTCTATAGATTCCTTTGACCATACCCAACAAAAAGTCAAATTCACCTCCCTCTTCAATATGTTTATGACATGTTGCTCTCTTTGTGGTTATAAAGTTTAAGAACATCTGAATGTCACAAATTTAACATTGATGACAATGGATAGATAATTACTAATCTGAGACCGTCTTCGGGAATGTTACAGCTCAAGCAATGACATGGTTTTACCATTGAAGGCAATGGGGTAAGAGAATTAATAGTCTGACGTCAGATGATGTGGAGAACACCGTTACCTTCCAGGCACAAAAGTTTTTATTTTTGCTGCGATTATTGAGAGTTGCAAACAGTTGATGAACAGTTGGGATTACGACATCATTAATATTAATGTATATGAATTTGTATTCAATTCTGCATAGTTTAGTGGGAGTTGAGGGTTTGGCTAAGAGACTTGGGCTCCAATTCCCCATAGGCCTAAAGAAATGAAGTAAATAAATTTAATGTACAAAAATTCTTTATTAAATTAAACTACCAACTAAAGTGAGTCGTATCTTTTAATTTATACGCATTATAACAAATAAAGAAATGAGAAATATTGGGTACATAGAAAATTATGAGGTTTTATTTACTGATCTTTTAAAGGCATTTAGTTACTGGATAGAGCATTAAACTATATCATATACTTATGGTAGAACAATTACTGATTTCTTTAGGCGACGTTTCGAAGATATAGTCTTACCGTTTTAAAGCAAGTTATAACGGTGAGAGAATACTCTTCGAAACATCGCCTAAATAAATCAATAATTGTTCTTCCATAAGTATGTGTTATGGTTTATTGTCTTATTTACCAGCGAACTATTATTTTTAATACCTATATTATGTACATACATGTATAGATGAAGATAGATTAGAGGAGGCGTCCCGGATATATTTTACTGGATCAAACAGGTTAATCCTGTGTGTTACTGTTAGACTCTCAGAGATCTTTATTATGAATCCCCGGAGTACATAAACTTTCTGTATCTATGTAGATGGCGATAAATAGCCAAATTCCACGCCACCGCGAAGTACCAGAATAGTCATACTTTTTTGATTTATATTGGCAGTTGATCGTCGTGAATAGCTCACCGCTCATACAACAATGTGTTACATAAATCCATTGAGCAAATCTATCCACCACTTCCGTCTCCCGAACGGCTCGCATTCATCGGGTATCCTGTAAAATCTAGGGGGCTCCTCCTTTAATTAACACCAATCTTGGATATTATAAGAATAAAATGGCTTACTTCTGACATGCACCTTGTTTAGCTATATTAATGTTTCTTGGAAATAACTAAGCAAATGACTTTATATAATGAAACAGGTCATATTATTGATAACGAAATGTTTATTATTATGGATTAAACTATGTTATTAACCAAGCAAAACAACATTAGCATTACTTGCTCTAACAAGCATTATAATCACCAATATTATTATTATGACCACAATTATTATTCCTATTACTATTCCAATCATTGATAAAATCTTCGCCGTTTTTCCTTTCTTGTGACCTTTTCCAAAATCCATTCTGTCTGTGGCCTTTCGGGACTTCAAAAATAAAGAAAAGCAAAAGATATAACATGACATAAGAGGAGTACAGAGACAGATGGGTGTGGGGTGTGCAGATTGGCTGTCAGCATCCATTTCTGAGAGAGAGGGGTAGGGGAGGGGGATAGAATCAAAGAATATAATTGAATTTAAATTTTTAGAAATTTAAATTATAGCTATTAATTTTACAAGCTGTCCTGCTTAATTTTAATAAAAAAAACTTATTTCATCGGTTTTTGCATATTAAAAATGTCTTCTTTTCTTATATATTTAAGTATTGGGCTCTATACTTGAGTTAACCCAGAGCATTATCAAACCTCTACACGTCACTGAATGTATAAATAATAGTAGATCATCGTCCCATCAAATTGTGGCAAACATTTAATTATGGACCCCCCCCCACCCTCATTAAAACAAAAAACAACACTACCCGTTCAACATCATTTTTATTCAATCTATCTTTACAATCACTTGTTTTAATTGTTATAAACTGTCATTTCATACAACAAATTCTCTAAAACCACTATTTCATACAACAGATTGTGACGAAGCACAATTTCATACAAAGATTCTCACAAACCACTATTTCATACAGTAAAATCTTACAAATCATCAATGCAGACAGTACTATCTTGCAAATGGAGATTTATACATCAAACTGAAACTGTCATCATATTCTTACAACAAGTTCTAATAAATCATCATCTCTTTCAGCAAACTGTCACAATCCAGAATTGTATACGTCACATTATAAATTATTGAAACCAGAATTGCATTCTGACACGGAGTAAATGTGTAACCGTGCCAGTTTCTATCGATAAATCATAACTAAAGGAAACGTATACTTACTTGTATAGAGTAATATAGAGCAGCTAAGCCCGTGGGACAGAAACAGCATAAACAGGAAAATAAGGCCAAACCAAAATAATCATTAGGTCTATTGGCTACCATCATATGATTTCCTTGTGGGTTGACCTGTTAAAAAGTAACTTTTTATAGTTTTGAAAACAATATTTGAAAATAAAATACGATTCTCTGTGTGTTTGATTTGTTCCATGCCCTTATCGGGAATTCATTAACCGGTGTCCAATTTTTTTTTTCTAGACAGAATTTCTTTTTTGTTTTCTTATATATTTTCTGTATTTATTAAAATGTGGAAATTGTTCTCTAAATCTGTGTTGCTTTGTAATGGTGGTATGAGAAGGGTGATCAAGAATATCATCAATGATAACCGGTGTAAGATTCAGGGAAATATATTGTACTGTCTACTAACCAAATACGACATAGCAGATTACAATTAAGGATGCTAGTGCAATAAGGTGGGCAAGTGCATTTCACAAAATCTGCCAAAAATAGTATTTCTGCATATTATTAGACCAGAACACTAAAATTGACACATACTGTGAGAAAAATGAGAAAATGATAAAAATGAACAAGTTTTTAAGAAAATCTGCTAAAAAGCAAATCTTATTTAAAAACATCGGCACTTGTCCCCTTTAGTCATTCAACACTTGAATTTGTTACACCTTACATCCGGCAAAGTTAACTCTTAGAAAATCATAATATAAATTGCTGCACTAAAATAATCTCTAACATCAGAAGAGGAAACTTTTCGTGGATATTATATTTTAAGAACTGAATATGATTAGAAATTTGGGTGAATAAAGAAAATATTGCGATTTGTAATTATTGGTGTGGAGAGAGCAGTAAAAATATAAATCGGTCTGCATCCGGTGTAGGTTACGTGTTCCTTTTAGTGAGGAAAAATTACGGATCAAAAATGTCAATTACATTTTTCTTTTTTGTTTGATGTTGTACTGCATTGATATCTGAAAATTTATACCCAACCTTATGGTCAACACCACCATTCACGATACTGCAGAGCTGGCCATAAATGACAATGTATGACAGTGAACACTTACAACAACAACGCCATCGGGACTATAAGAAGAATAGCCAACTCCGGCCGATTGAGTACCGGTATACTGTTTGTGGTGAGCTTTGGAATTATCAAGACTACCATGACGACTTCCTGAATAAATTACATGACCACTACTCCCACGTCGTGACTGACTGTTACTTGTGGTCAAGTATTCTTGAGTGTAAGCCGGATTTCCATAACCAGCAGTAGACGTGGTGTAGACAGGGCTTCCATGAACTTCGTATGTCTCTCGTCTCACTTCATAACCCATGCCTAAAAATGTTATTAATACATATGACTTTACAGTGGAATATATTGTTGGAAACTAGTTAGAGAATATTTGATATGTAATAATAAGCTTGTATCAACAGATAAATCCCAAATCTCCCTGTATTCTTTTCATAAATGACCTTTTGATTTTATCACAAGTGGTAGCCTTCAAAGCTCAAATTATAACGCATCTCTCTTCGAAATTTTGAAAAGAAATCGCTAGGGCAACTCTAAACCGACGAGCAAAAGATATTTAGGCGCTATATAAATAAACTAATACTGTATTGTATTATATTAATAGAATTCACGATCTCTTTGTCGCTTCATATCGCTGATCATGACGATAAAAATAGGACTCAGTGTATTATGCAGTTCAATTGATTTCATGACCAGTTACTGTTTATAGATAATGCTATAATAATGTTGGGGAATAACCATGTGAAGGGGGTGGGATTGGAGATACTTTATTGGGGTAAAGCCGCGCATATATACCATGTGTCGATACTTTCGTCATCTTGTCTGTGATATCACCTACGGTGAAAGCGGAAGTATATAGTGGCAATCGATTTGAGAAAGGGTGTGTGTTTTACGCTTGGGGGTTTAACGTCCACTCGACACAAACTAGGTCATTTCGGGACTAACATATGGTTTAATTTTATTTCAATAATTCGCTTGCGCGTAGGGGTCTTTAGCAGTGGGAGGGAACCGGAGGACCCGGAGAAAACCCACGAGGTTGGACAGGCGACCCTACTCCTTGTCACGTACAACCGGGGATTCGAAACCAGTTGACTCGATGACAGGCCTTAAGATACAGCGCGCACGTGCTTACCATTCGGCCATGTCTCATTTATAGAAAAGAGCATATTAGACTGGGGCGGTTGGTGAAACCTAACTTGATTAATTTCCCAGCTTTGATAAGCCGAAATATGTCCTGAATTCACCTTAAGATTTCTATATAATAGGGCTTTATAATTTAAAAGTTTTCTGAGGGCACTAAACCCCTTCGACGACTAACGTGGGGCTGTTGTTAAACTTACCTAACGTACGTTAGAAGTTGCCTACAAAATTCAATAAATATTCCCGCGGCTCTGCTTTCTCATATTTCCATGCCTATTTATTTCAATTTCCTTCGATCGCCAATGTGTAGAGGGTTCTGTAGAAGTGACGGAACAATATTCGTGACTAACCACAGCACCACCCACAAAAAGATATTTTCGTTATCTCGAACTTGATAATAGGATCTTTGACTCTCAGCCATTCAAAACGCCCCGTTCTGACTATCAAAAGCGTCTTGATGACCTAAGGACTTCTTTATAGAGAGCTAGAATTGATGGAACACCAGATAAAAAAGCCATCTTTAATATATTTGGTGAAATTTCTGGTACAAATTCTAGTCAAATTCTACTGTATCTTGATAGCTGTGTTTTACAACAGACTTTTATTAGCTTAGTAAAATTTGTGAAAATTTTGTTGACGTTGACTGCCCCACCCCACCCCACCGTCCCCATACACTGATATTGATGTCCCACACCAATGTAATTTCTCTGCTTTTGAGTCATTACATGTCGACGACTGTGTAACGTCGAATGAAGTCGTGCGCACTGAACCCAATTCCTACAGTTCTACAAAAATAATATTTTTCCGAATCACTGTAAGGAGGCCAAGCCAAATATTATCATTATTTTTGTGGAACGAAAACCATTAATTAAACGTGACTCAAAATAATGAGCGCTGCGTGTGCGCATAGTTATATTTCACAACACTATCAACGTCGCTTATTCGTAATCCATCTCAATAATATTGTCGCTTGGTAATCCATAATGTCGTTACCCCGCTCCTGTCCTCAAAAAAGAGAGATAAGAAAACTAGCACCCCTAAAACTATTAACTTAATAGTTTTCAATTATACGTAGAGTATATCCACGGGCTGTTTTCAACTGTCCCTGTATCTCCGAAAAAGTAACCCAGATTGTAATTGACGAATTCTGTTTGACCCCCCCCCCCCACACACACCCTCCTTCCAGATAAATAAATACAAGTTTACCTTTAGACGACATGATGAAGACCTGAATCACAGATTACCTATAATAAACTTTAACGGGGACTATATACGTCTTTCCTGTAGAACACTATACTTATCATTCGAATATATTTTCCCATATTAAAGAATGCGTGTGTTTTTCTTGAATGAACATAATACTATGTTGAATTTATTGAACGATAATGACAAAATAATCTAACCCCTATATTATACGACACCTTTTGTAATGCTATAAATATAATGTGATATAATTGTTTGGTTTTTCTTCGAAAAAATGGTAGCTCGATCGACAACATGGGTCATTATTTGACAATGTGTTATGGTAATAGTTGTCATTAACTTTCTGTTAAGTGATTTTGAACATAGGTAATTTAACATGAATACTGAGTCTTTCACACATTATAAAAGTTTGAGCTTGTTTGAATAATTATAGAACGCGTTTTAAACTAAAATAAAATTGATCAGTATTTAAGCGGAAACAAGCTACGTGTGTGTAGTTATTTAAATAAATAAATGATATCTCCTTATAACTGGGAGAAACTATGCAATGAAAAAGATAAACATTTTAATTATTACTGTCGTTACATTTTAATAATAATTGTGAATACATTTTGGGCCAGAAAGTTCCCCAAAATTTTCCAGCGTTGTTTCCCCTTGTCAGTGGTGCAGAGGGGTGGGGTGTGTCTGGCGGTGTGTGTCATGGGCAGCGTCTAGTTATTCGGATAGTATATTAAACAGAGGTCCCGTGTACACATTGGCGTGAACGTAAAAGAACCATTTGACAGTTCGAATTGGAACAAATATATCTATTGAAGAGAAAACCAAAACAAATCAAAACAAATAGATCTGTTGAATAAATAAAAGAATGAATTGGCAGAAACGTCCTCTTTCTTCATAAAAAAAAGTGGCCGAAAAATCCTAGGACGAAATATCTTGGTCTGAAATGTCCTAGGCCGAAATGTCCACTCACTGGCCGAAAGTCCTACATTCAGTAAAAATACTGTAGGGTCAAATTGAAAGGGTATGGGTTGTGGGTTTATATTTTAGTGGAAAAGGTCGCCTGGTTTCAATGCGATTTACCACTGACAGATTCTGGTCTCCATTACTTCATAACCACTAGTGCCCAACCAATGTGACCTGTGAGGGCAAATTGATTTGCAGTGAGTTATTGTTATTTTCACATTCTCCACCTCAGTACCTTAAAAATTATGTATAGTCGGTATGAATCGAGCAAAAATTGACTGAGCTATATTCTTTTGAGAAAAAGTAAGTTAAAGATGTCGGTATGTTCTAAAACAAAATCACATAGCAACCACGCCATATATTTGTTATTTTTTCGTTTAATATTTCTCTTGGTATTATAATTTAGAACAAAAGAGAATTGTCCATACATTAGTAATCTAGATTTTTTATATTATAACTTTTATGGGAATAACTTCTGATAATCTCACCAACTAATTAGCACCTTTATGTTATTGCCCAGGAGATTTAAGAATGTTGATTGTGTATTCATAAACTTAGTTCTGTTAGTTTCGCCACACTACTGAATTAAAATAAGGTTTTACGTGTAAAATAGGTCTACTGATATTTTCAGGCACCGTAATGGTATCAGAATCTGAACCCCTGATAGAATGATAGAAATTGAAATTGCAATTTTAATTTCATTTGTAAGACTAGTAAAGGATGCTTACGTTCACTTAAGTGCATTTTGGTGGCGGTATAATCAAACAAATTGTGGACCGTTCACTCTAGATTCGTAGCTATTCGACTCGTTCGCTGTCCTCACGTTTCCGACCCATGGAAACAATAATCTCCAATTAGGCGAGCTTGTATATTATACATGCCGTATGGTCGCTGAGATGTAAAAAAGGTTAGGGCTCGTGAATGTTGGCGAAATTGTAGGTTAAGGTTAGGGTAAGCGATAGAGCTAGGTCCAGGGTTAGGGTTGGACACAGTGCTAGCCCTGTTTACATCTCGGGACCGTTGACCAAACTTGAAGTTGAGCCTATGAAATAGATCTAACCAATGAAGCCACAGCAACCGGAATTCAACTATCGAAATATAATTTTTTAAGACGAAATGAAATATTAAATAATTACCGCTTAGATTAATAATTCGGAGTAAATAATGACAAGGGGAAGGATTTATATATATATATATATATATATATATATATATATATATATATATATATATATATATATAATATATATATATATATCATTGACAATTATCAATCAACTAATCATTAATCCAAGGCAATTATTACTCAAAATATCGAAATATAATTTTTTAAGACGAAATGAAATATTAAATAATTACCGCTTAGATTAATAATTCGGAGTAAATAATGACAAGGGGAAGGCTTTATATATATATATATATATATATATATATATATATATATATATATATATATATCATTGACAATTATCAATCAACTAATCATTAATCCATGGCAATTATTACTCAATAACACGATCCGGATTTTCAAGTATTCCGCGCCACGTGGTTTGGTTGACATTCGACGGCAATCTATATTATACGATAATCTTTAAGTGACATTTAGCGATTGGGAAACAATCGTTGGTTTTATTCTAAATGCACGACGTTTCGACAAGTATCCTCTTATCGCTTTCAATTTCGATCAAAATCAATATTTTCCCTTGTTTTGTCTGTAGCGCATTATTAGACTTAGCGCATTCCGGCTCATTTTGGTAAAACATACCACCTGGCTCACTAGACATAGACTTGTGCGTCATAGAGCATCATCTGTCACCATGCATCTGAAATACTGTTATCAATTTTATTGCGGACATTTGACAAAAAGGGAGACAACTCTTCTTTTTACCGTTAATAGATTTCCAAAATTCCTTGTTCAGCCTCGGCTTTGATGTTTGGGTATCTTTGTTTAAATTACAATTTTACCAATACGCTATTCTTTGCCAAGGATGAATTAAGGCATTGGATGTTTTCGCCAATATTTAATGTTATACCATCTCAGAATTATTAGTTTTACTATAGTAGCCTATTTACTCGTGTGACGTGTTTCATCAGGCCCTTAATCGAGTTATTGCAAACATTTTTCTTGGAACTCTCGGGATTTGTGTTCCTGTTGTTGTAAGCTTTCCAAAAATGTAGCGTTGTTTTTAGGTTTGGGGACCTTGTAGCGGAATTGTGTTTCTAAGTAAGCTAGAAATTTTGCCCGCAGGCAAGGAGTGTCGCCTGTTCATCTTCGTGGGGTTTCTCCGGGCCAGCCGCGGTGTCCCCCCACTGTTAAAGAACCCTAAGCACAAGCGAATTGTTGAAATAAAATTGAACGTATGTTAGTCCCGAAATGACCTAGTTTGTGTCGAGTGGACATTAAGCCCCCCCTCTCTCTCTGTATCTCTCTCTGTCTCTCTCTCTCTCTCTCTCATATGCAATGAAACAGTTCATGTACCCCAGTCTACCAAATTCCTCAGGATTTTCCGGTGTTGTTTTCCCTTGTTAGTGGTGTAAGAACAATCGACCCTAGATCAAACAATGTATTGTAGTAAATGGACTTCCTAAATGCGTACTAACTACCAATTAAGTGTGACAGCGTGTCTTGAAAATGTTACGATACACTCATTGGAAGCAGCATACTTTTTGTTGTACAGGGGTTAACTGTCATCCAACCCCTTAACTCTTCTTCAGAACCATAAATTTTAACAAAAGGTTCTTCTTTAAGACTAATAAGGAAACCAAGGGGAATAATTGAAATTAAGGATATAGTATACAAATGTTAGTGGTATGTTTATATGGGAATAAGTTGAAGCCGGACAAAGAGACAAGAATTAACATTAAAGTCACAGAGAAAAAATAATGGTGGCCTGCTTCCTCGTGTGCAAAACGAGTTACCCCCCTTGATATCGCCATTGTTGTTTTCTTTCTTGATTGTTCTCCGATTTAAATCTTGGCAATATAAGGTCATTACTGTTCTTTTCTTTGTACACTGCTTATATTTAAGACTGAATCTACAATAACAAGAATCGGAAAAAACATCCAACATGGCATATTATTTCCCAGAACGTATAAAACCACGCATTATTTTCCCTTCAAATTTAGTCAGTGTTGGTGGTGGGATTTGAAGTCTAGTCTAGTTTTATTGGATTAATTTTATTGAATCTGTCTCAATCACCATTTTTAATTACTTAGATTATTGATAGGTTATGTTATAATTATTCGTATAGTCTACTCTCGGTCATTACTGAACAGTAGACCTAAGCACAGCCAAAAAAGTCACACGCCTCTCAGTCTCAGTTTCATGTTCATGTTGTGTTGAACAAAAAATGGAATAGATAGCTTGTTATTTTCCAAATTACAATGTTATTTTGATTTTCCACTGTTTAAGCTCTTTGGGCAAGGTTAGCTGCTGTCGTGCCTCATGTGCCACAAAATATAAATTTTATATACATTTGATATGGAATGAAAATGTCGTTATCAGTATCAATTCATATCTTTCTTTTCTACTTATTATTTAATTTATTATAGAGGGATTTGGTACAACGGTTAGAGAGTAGGATTTGTGACCAAATGGTTGCAGATTCAAAACCTGAATTTTACGCCAGGGTTTAGTGTCATTGAATAAGGCTACATGTACTTCATCCTTGTATATTACGGTCTACCCAGCTAGCCTATATTGGTAGCCTAGTAGCCTACTGATAGGATGGCATATAGCCTACATTACCTGTACACAAAAAACTGTTGCACTCTTTGAGCAGCAGAGGAGAGTTTGGGGCTCTTTCTAAGATTTACAGGGTCTATGGGTAAAGGGAGGTAATCAAGCTTTACTTGTACCCTAGGGACTGGGATACTACAATTTGAGTACAATTCTTAGGGATTCGATTATAAGACACATTAGTTTTAGGGCTGTTGAGTACCAGTGCTATATCGTTTATTATGTAGGTCTACCAATTTACTTGCAAAATTTAAGTTCACCTATATTTTAACTGAGAAAAGTTAAGGTAGGCGTACCGTGCCAAACCAGGGTCTGAGTCAATACCGTGAGACAAGTACTGTCAATACTGTAGTGGAACATTTAATTTAAATCTGATATTTATTTTGTAGAAAAGTGAACAAGATGACAGATGTGCCTGTTGCAGTTGTGAACAGTACTGTAATGCAGCTAAATGCAGAAGATATTGATGAGGTTGATACTGAAGAAAATGAGAGTCTGTCAACAGAAATCACACAGACTTTACACACAGACAGTGTATCCTATAGTTGTGCACTTTGTGATCAGGAATTTAATTCAGAGAGGCAGTTTTTTGAGCACAGAATAAATCATGATGAGTGTCCGCAATGCCAGGAACAATATTTGTGTCAGAAAGAACTCTTCATTCATGCTTCTTCACATGATAGTGAAAATTTTAAGTGCTTACTCTGTCGGAAAATCTTGGATGATGTAAATTCCCTTGAAGTACATTTATCTGACCATCGAAGCAATTTTACAACATATGATTGTGAACAATGCTCCAGAAAATTCTTATCAACAGAAGAAATTCATATTCATAAAGAATCACATCCCGTGGTAAATACTGAAACACATAACACACCTGTAACATTTAAGAGAAAAAATGAAGACACTGAATTTCAAATTATTAATGACATAGGAAATGTTGAAAAAAAGGTTAAGCACGTTGTTGATAATGAAAAATATATGTTTAGAGTATCTAAAGATGGGTTGCAATTAATTGACAATGCTCGAAATAGTTCTGTAGAATATAAATTAAATCCTTCTACAGTTCAAGATGTGCACGTTGAATCAAATAACATTGACGCCTCAAATTCAAGTGTGGGAGAAGTTGTGCATTTCCACTTAAATGAGTCGTCGGATTCCAAGGAATCAAACTGTATCTATGTCTGGCCATACAAGAATGAAAATGACAATCAAACTAATATTAGTGTGGGTGAAAATATTATCATTGACAATGAAGATATACATATAGTAAATTTAGATTCTGAAGCGATTTCTAATGTCAACATTCCAGCAGGCTATCTTGTGAATGAAGATGGTGTGTTAGAAATACAAGAAGATTACCAAAATCATGAATCTCAGGCTAAGATAGTATTGTCAACTGTTGACGGTTCTGATATTATAAATTATCAGGAGGTTAAAAACGATGAGGATCCTTTTAAATGTGGTTATTGTTCCCAACCTTATTCAGATAGTATGGAATTATTTGTTCATATGACACAAGAACACTATGAAAAATTAAATAGACAGTAATAACATTCCAGTTTTAGTATGTATTAGAGAATTAATCCAGAAAATAATTTTCTATACCTTGTATTATATAATTATTCCAGAAAATAGTTTTCTATAATTTCTTTTAGATGATTATTTATAGAAAAAGTTTTCTATACAGTGTATAAGATAATTATTCCAAGAAATAGTTTTCTATACTGTGTATTACATAATTACTCCAAGAAATGGTTTTCTATACTGTGTATTACATAATTACTCCAAGAAATAGTTTTCTATACAGTGTATAAGATAATTATTTCAAGAAATAGTTTTCTATAGCTTGTATTAGATAATTATTCCAAGAAATAGTTTTCTATAGCTTGTATTAGATAATTATTCCAAGAAATAGTTTTCTATAGCTTGTATTAGATAATTATTCCAATAAGAAGTTTTCTTTAATTTGAATTAAATAATTATTCAAAAAAATTAGTTTTCTATAATCTGTGCTGTTGTGCTAACATTGTTGCATTTTATTGGCTTCATCTTTTCTGTTTATGCACTGTAGTTGTGTATCCTCTATTCGTAGATTAAGATATAAAGTCTTAGATAATCTAAGACGTAAATCTGAACTCTGAACAAAACTACAGAAATAATTGAATAAAAAAATGTTAATGCCCTAAACAGTCACCATACTTGTTTTTAATTTGAAGAACAAACATGGCAACTGATTACCGTATATAAGAATAGAGACAGGTCACACCCACTTCCAGTATATGCCTTGTCAAGCAGAGTGTCCACATCCGGCTAGCTATATTTCAGATACCAATTACACGCTCGACTGATTGATTTTGTTTTACGACCAGCTTTTTTACTGAAAATATTATTGCTACACAATTATTATGTCTGATCAGGTACATATTATTTTACTGGTTATAGGACACTGTTTGCTTTTATTTCTTTAATACATTCTGCTTATATTTAAGAGGCTTTATTACTCCTACCAATATGTAATTAAAATAAATGTGTTTAATGTTTGAATAATGGCAACTGTCAAAAACCACAAAAGTCCTAGGCTTACATCAGTGTAACCCGGGTATTATGATGATGTACTGAGGATATAAGATTTACTTTTAATGCAGATTAAATTTAACTATTCCATACCATGTTTAAGAGCAACAACCTTTTTTGATTTCTATTGTTGTTTTTTTTTTATAGTTGTTTATGTTTTTGTTTTACTATTTAATTAGATATGATAATGTGAAACTAATTATTGATGTATGTTACTTCATTAAAATTGCTGCTTAAAATAGCAAATTCTGTTAAACTGAAACAGGCTGACATAGAACAATGTATATCTGACAAGAAGAATATTTATCATTCAACCATACATCCTCGGTATCCCTAGTGGTCTCATTCCGTTCCACTCCACTAATCCCTGGATTCATCCATGGGTGAGACACATATTGAAATAATCTCCCCTTGATGATTGTGCTATTTTTATTGACCAATACGATTGATAGCATAACGACTTGCCACTACCTGTTTGACTGATATAAAATATCTTTTCCATCAAAAAGATGTTTAAGAACATCTTTTTGTGTGCATACCACTTCTTTTGAATTAAATTTCTTGCAAACTTTCTCATAATCGAGCAAACATAAGTCACCATTTTGTTGTGAACGTAAACAATGAGGCTAAGACTGATTTGTAAACTGTTATTTTATTGGTTTGTAGAATCAATCTTTGATCAGGGGCCGATAAATTTGAATACGTGAATACCCCAGGGTATAGTGGAGTAGAACGGAATGACACCACTGGGGATACCGAGGATGTCAACCATATAAATCAACCCATTTATTGCGTAACCATATGTGAAGATTTGAGGGGCAGATACAGGTTTCTTGAAAAAAAGGAGGTTGGTTGTGGGTATGTGAAGCACAAACATTGTTGGGAACCTTTTTTTAGTTAAAATCACAGACAAATGGACATTGAAACAGCTAGTAACATGGTTTAGCAAAGATGACTGTACATGTATTTGATTGATGTCAGTGGCATACCTGATAACTATGATTTTTGACTGATTATCGGAACTGCAAATATTTTTCACGGAGAGGTAGAAATGTAAGAAAGTACAGACAACTGAGCATAGCGAGCCATAAATTTTCCTAGTTTCTAAGGGAGGTATAACTAGCCCGAAAATAAGAATTTCCAATTTAAGAAAACTCTAATTTGCATTGCCTGCTCAATATCCAACTCTTTAATTTTTTATACGCCCACGGGATGTGAGCAGGAGGATCCCTAGGACCTTCACAAATCCCCTGATCCACTGAATGTACAGGAGATGTGTGGTAGGGATCAGTGCTAATGGTGGTCTTCAGTTAAAATTTTGTCAGTCTTACCATATGGGTAATTCTTGTCTTTACTTTTGAAAAGTAAAGATTAGTAGTCTGCATCCCAATTGTTGCAGTTATTTCTCCTAACACGGTTCGAACTCAGACCAGTCATTACTTCCCTTGTCTAGGTATTTTACCAAATAACCCCTTTTCAACATCCATACCCTTTTGCAGGGCAATTTGTATGCGCCCTCATTTCATTGTAGGTGTATTTATGTAGTCACCAATGTCCGAAGGCCTGTCCGTCGGCCCGGCGTTCACAACTGTTTGAGGACGCTTTAGAGACTTATTGTACGATTGACTTTAAATTTATCTATGGTCATGAGACGAAGACGCCTATTGATATTCAGCGATCTGTGTTAATTTCTGCCAGAGTTATGGCCCTTGATCACTTTGATAAATCTTGTTGACACTCTTGAAGCCATTTTTTTTTGGAATTTGGTGCAAAGCATTAGGCTTTTCAAACTAGGTGTCAACCATTGCAATTATAACCGATGAACTCTATTGATTATCAGCAATCTAGGACTTTCTCTTCTAGAGATAAACGTCTGCGGAAAAGCTTGTGAACACGATAGAGATTAGCCTTTCGGATAAGCTGAAGTTGAGATATAGCTGCTGTGTGGGCATACTTGCGGGGCTATTATTGTTGATGTTTTGGACTAGAATCGATGACGGGTGTTTGAAATTCCGTTTTCTGCCCGGTTTTCGTGAATATTCATTATGTGGGAGCGGAAGGATAAGGAAGTAAACAAACACGAATTGGGGTGATCGCCCACTAAAATGACAGCACCTGCCTATATATACTGAGCGCCATGGAAAACGCATCACTTAGTTTTTCGTATAACAAAATGATCCTGTAAACATATCTTATTTATTTTGCTTCTTATTGTGAACAATATTCAAATGGGAACACATCAATAACAACACATTTGTACACTTATGGATGTTTAATCTGTAATCAACGGTACAAAGTCAATGGGGTCAAAACCAAAAGTACGACACAGATGTCAGTAGCGCGTGTGTCCTCCACGGGCTCTTACGCACGCTGTGCAGCGACGTCGCATGGAATTTACCAATGTTTGAAAGAAGGCCTGGGGCAAATTGTTCCATTCTTGGACAAGAGCAGCTTCTAAAGCAGCAATGGTGTGCATCTGTGGTCTCCGATACAGACGGCGTCCAATCTCATCCCAGACATGTTCTATCGGTGCCATGTCCGGAGACATGGCTGGCCAGTCCAAGACATAGATGTTGTTAGCAGCCAGGTAGTCCATACTAAAACGGGCGGTATGCGGACGGGCATTATCCTGTTGGAAGTGCTGACGTTGTGGGTGCGCTCGAAACATCGGAACAACAATTGGTTGCAAGACATCATCACGATATGCTACAACATTAACGCGACCCCTGCAAATGTGTAGGGCGGTCAGGTGATGAAATGTGAAGCCTCCCCACACCTTTACATCCCCCCCCCCATCGATTCGTGTCGAAGACGCAGCAGTCTGCAAGACGTTCCCCAAGACGTCTCCACACACGTTGACTTTCCCAGTCTACTCTTCTCCATGTCTGGTGTCCTTGAGCCCATGTCAAACGCCGCTGACGGTGACGATCCCTGAGGATATCTCCAACATAAGGCGGTCGTGCACGGAGTCCTACTTCTCTTAGACGACGTCTTACGGTGTTGGCACTTACTGGTCCTTGTCTTCCGACGACTGCTGCACCTGTTCGAGTCGCTGGGCGGAATCTGTCACGCAGATGAGTGACCCGGATGTAGCGGTCTTGAGCCTGGGTTGTAGCGCGTTGTTGACCAGGACGTTGACGGTCACTTGTTGATCCAGTAACTCGAACACGTTCCACCAACCTTACAATAGTGGACTTATGACAATTGAAGTGTCTGGCAATAGCACGTGTAGACATGCCAGCCCTGGACATTCCCATGGCCTCAGGGGCGGATTGGGGCCGGCCCCTTTTACTGACCGCGGAGCCCGGATGGAAAATTTTGAAAAATGAACCGCAAATATGCGATTTGGTGGCATATCTGATTATAACCTCTGTCAAATAATATATCTCATAAATCGATTAATTTAGGCCAAAACCCCGACCTACAAGTAATTTACAACCATCAACCTGTGAAATTATCATATCGTCATATTATTAATTAACGTATTATCACTGTATCGTCAAGAGTCAAGAGAATTTAACTGGTTAAAAAATGGGAATAGTTGAGAAATTTTTTACCATTCTATTAACCAGTTAGGAATATTGAATAAGTAGGAATATTTTCATTGAAAAATGATCCATTTTTGTTCCCGGGAGCGCTAGCTGATTCCTCCTGTGATGGAAGGCCACGAGACACATTGGTACAGAGTGACGAAAGTGAAATTCATGAAAGCTGCTTTTTTTAAATTTTGGATTTGTTGTTCCAGGTAAATTATTTTACCCTGACTCCGAACTTGAACATTTGGCACACTACATATTGATTAATGAACATAGCATTAGTTCAGATAATGAATATTCGAGTATAAGGCCACACAAATTTAATTATGAGAATTGCGTTACCCTTGACATTTTTGTCAGAAGCGGATGGCGGAAATAAAAATAAAAATAAAATTTGATCTTGGACGCAAAATATAGCTTCCACAACAGTGTCGGGTGAATCCGATGAAATTTTCGGATGAAATTCGGAATCCCTATTGCAGGATTCCGAATTCCGGCCCACTCCCAGCACACCCGGCCAGAAAGACTATTATACCAGCCCATTCCAGACTTCAGTGATGGCGTGGCGGCCCGTTAAAGCCACCGGCCACATACAACATGATCGGTCCAATACCCCCCCCCCCCATATAATGTTCAGCAAAAAAGTTTTTTTTTAGACGAATTGGACCCAATGGCCCAATCCGCCCCTGCATGGCTTCATTCCGTTGATTTTCAGTAAGTCTCGGCATCTCTAGCTCGATTCCTTCACACGTCCAACAACACATTACGACAGATTGACGCCACAGTTCATGTACTGCACATTAAGTTGAAAACATGCTTTTAAAGGTCTGACACACAATGCTGCACGTGAATATTGGGTTTTTCATGTGCATCTCGTGCAATTTTTATACGCCCACATTTTCATGTGGACGTATATTGTCGTCGCCCTTGTCCGTCCGGACGTCCGTCCGTCCACAATTTGTTTATGGACTCTCTACAGGTCACAATTCTTGTCCGATTTTGACGAAACTTGAAATATAGCTTTATCCCAAAAATATCTTGGCTGCTTTCGATATTGGCATGTATCGGATCGAAACTTCATGGATTATGGCCCCTGTTTGTACGAAAAATCACGTTTTTAGCTTGTGGACCCTATAGAGGTCACAATTTTTATCCGATTTTGTTGAAACTTGAAATGTAAGTTTATAACCCAAAGATCTCGGTTCCTTTCGATATTCGCGCATATCGGACTGTAACTTCCTAAATTATGGCCCATGATTGTACGAAAAATCGCGTTTTTAGCTTGTGGACCCTGTAGAAGTCATAATTTTTATCCGATTTAAAAACCCGTATTATTATATCACCGTTTCACCCTAAGGACGACTGAGTTCGAATTTCGTGAAAATCGGCCCAAAATTGACAGACAAAATGACTGCCGTTCGTTCTCAAATAGCGTAAGAATATGGTATATCAAGGTTGTGGACCCAATAGAGATCACAATTTTTGTCCGATTTTGATGAAACTTGAAATGTAAGTTTATAACCCAAAGATCTCGGTTCCTTTCGATATTCGCGCATATCGTACCGTAACTTCCTTAATTATGGCCCATGATTGTACGAAAAATCGCGTTTTTAGCTTGTGGACCCTATAGAGGTCATAATTTTTATCCGATTTAAAAAAACGTATTATTATATGACCATTACACCCTAAAAACAACTGAGGCCGAATTTCATGAAAATCGTCCCAAAATTGACAGACAAAATGCCCGCCATTCGTTCTCAAATAGCGTAAAAATATGGTATATCAAGGTTGTGGACCCTATAGAGGTCACAATTTTTATCCGATTTTGTTGAAACTTGAAATGTAATTTTATAACCCAAAGATCTCGGTTCCTTTCGATATTCGCGCATAGCGTAAAAATATGGTATATCAAGGTTGTGGACCCTATAGAGGTCACAATTTTTATCCGATTTTGTTGAAACTTGAAATGTAATTTTATAACCCAAAGATCTCGGTTCCTTTCGATATTCGCGCATATCGGACCTTAACTTCCTGAATTATGGTCCCTGATTGTACGAAAAATCGCGTTTTTAGCTTGTGGACCCTATATAGGTCATAATTTTTATCAGATTTAAAAAAAACGTATTATTATGTCACCGTTACACCCTAAGGACGACAGAGTTCGAATTTCGTGAAAATTGGCCCAAAATTGACAGACAAAATGGCCGCCGTTCGTTCTCAAATAGCGTAAAAATATGGTATATCAAGGTTGTGGACCCTATAGAGGTCACAATTTTGATCCGATTTTGATGAAACTTGAAATACATATTTATAACCCAAAGATCTTGGTTCCTTTCGATATTCGCACATATTGGATCATAACTTCCTGAATTATGGCCCTTGATTGTACGAAAAAATCACTTCTTTTTTTTAGCTTGTTCTCTGTCCATCGCTTGCAAAATGTGGGCGTATCTTGCATGGCAACCGCTTGTTTTTTTTGCACACAGGCCGATATTTTTTGCGTTTGGGAGCATTGTGGGAAACAATAGTTCATAGTATTGCATAATATTATACATACAAAACCACCTAGTAATAAAATATTTGGGAAAAAAAAGCGATGCCTTTTCCATGGCGCTCAGTATATTACTTAGACCAGGCCTATCATGTATCAATGAATTTAAAAATGAAGTCAACGGAGAGAGAATTACTAGTCTTAGGCAGTCTTCCGGATTAACGCTAAACCAGGGGCCTGTTTCACGAAATTTTAACTAAGATAAAATCAAAATTTTAGTAATTGATTGGATAATATTAGATTGATTTTAGTGCTTAGCCAATCAAAATTGAAGTATCTACTAAAATTTGGATTTTATCTTTAGTTAAAATTTCGTGAAACAGGGACCAGGTCATTCGGGAATTCTGTCTTGTGGTATGTAGCTTGCGAAGAAGGGTATCCGATGTTTAGAATGAGAAAGAAGTATGTGTCACACACGACACATGTCACTACTCAGTACAAAAGGCACTAACTAAAAGTATATAAAACAAATTATATTTATTGAATAATATTTTTTTAAATTATATTATGTAATATACAATATTTACAATAACAGCACAACTTGAAATAAATTAATATTTTACAAGTGGATCCGCACATTTACATATAAAATCAAACATTGGTAAACTGATTTTTGTCATCTGTGTGACAGACATAATAATGTAATGATGTCGATAAAGCAAGTCGATATTTGATTAAACTAGAGGTTAATTCTTAGATGATTTGCTACAAATGTTATTGAAGCTAATTTGTACTTGACGAAGTCCGGAACATGTCTTCTTTTGTTATACCTGAAATTTGGAAAGGAATATATTAATTTTTATGGAATACGTTGACATGTTATACCAGGGCAAGAATTATTTACATCTCAAAATAACATCGATGACCATATATATTAATTAATTGATCTCGAATATCATATCAATAAAAATTCAGTGAAAATTGCACATAATATTATAATCAGTGCGGAATTTATAAAGCAAGGAAAATTAGTATTATTATAAATAGCCTATACTTACTCTTGACATACACCATTTTTGTCTATAAATGTAAAAATATCTTCTGATGGTTTTATTTTAATATGGCAGCCATCTTTAAACTCTATCCATATTTCACCATTTGATAACTGTAAAGTAATTAAAAGAACATATCACTTATGATAACAATTTTATTTATTTCATGTTTCATGGGTTTTTTTTCATTTAATAAATATATTTTATTGTTACTATATTGGTATTATTTTATAGTTTATATTTAAAACTTTGATGAATATTTATACCAGTAATGCAGATTTCTAATTTATGTCCCTTGGCGTATCAATCATCATAACATCAATTGTCATTCTCTTTTACGAACGTCATGACAAAGACCGGTATAAGTTTCTGCAGCTACCTTTTAATTCTGTGTCAACATTTTGTGGAACATATCCGTTTAGTTTAGTTAGTGGTAATGCTATTACATTATGAGAACTGAAATGAAATAGAGTTTGACGTTCTACTTTGCTGGTCTTCAATATATTTTTCAAGGACAAATTAAACTCACCTGTGTAGCGTCACCTATATTAGGTATTTTAGTTTTTCTGATGACACTGTTATTATTATCTTCTATACTACTGTCAGTCATACTACTATCATCACTAGTATTACTTATATTTAATATATCACATACTGCTATTGGTTGATTCACTATTCGTTCATTTATTTCAGTTGGGGATTTTCTTCTGAAAAAATACATCATAAAATTGTTAAAAGGGTCATTTTCTGGCATGTCTATCAGAATTTTCGTAAAGGAATTCAGACATATTTGGTCTTAAAATTGCCCAATCTAATTAAAATCTAATATTATTTCCGTTCCTTTTAATCGAATGGTCGGTAACTAACCCCATTCAGTGGAGTAAGCAGTCAAAAATAAAATGGAACGAAATGTTTGGTTAATTTTAATTAGGGTTGGCGTTGCGTACGGTCTATTACAGCGTTAGCCAGTCATGGCAACTACCTGTAGGACTTCAAGATATCGCACCGCCACACCACATCTATATTGACCTTTCCTTTCAGTTTGTACGTGGAACGCTTGTACATATTTGGTTGATTCCTAACAATTTACTTTTAAAACGTGAAATTCCTTTTTTAAAGCCCATTGAAAATGAAATGAAAATGAAATGAAAATGAAATAAAAATGAAATGAAAATGGAATGAAATGGGGTTAAACGTCCTACTGTTCTGCTCCGACTGGGGTAATGAAGACGGGCCTGGACAGGGATCTTTTATGTACACGCCAATGTGTACACGGGACCTCGGTTGTTCGTCCCATCAAACGACTATGCGTTGTACCTTGCCAGAACCTTTACCATGCACCACTGACAAGGGGGGACCACGCCGGAAAATCCCGATGAACTTTCTCAGCCAATGCAGGGATCGAACAGGTTAGCGAGCCACCGTGGCCCCCTTAACCCCATAAAATTATATGAGTATTTGAATTGAGTTTCGTTGGGTTTTTTTGTTGTCAGGAATATCATTTAGAACTTACCGTCCAGTTATAACGGGAAATATTTCTTCCACTTCTGTTTTATCATCTGTTGTTGATCTGATTAAACCTTCTAACTCTAAACATTGTCTGTGACACTAGATAAAAAAATTATTAAATGTATTTTAAACTAGAGGAACTCATCAAATAACAAGAACACACGACGTATATAAACATACGCAAGATTTAATTTCTTGAGGAATTTTTGTCTGAATTTCGCAGTGGAAATTACAATGAAATAAAAGAAACGCTGATGTTTTGGTTAGAAATAAAACGAGTATGCAATTTACACAGTCGTAACAGGACTACTATGTTATTTAAGAGAGCACATTTTCACAGCTTGTCATAAAGCGCAAGTAAACTTTCAATGTTACTTCAACATGAAATTAATAATACCACACAGTTACAACTTTATTACTTATCCCATTTTTTATGTTTAGTGACGAACATTGGATGCATGATGCTGATATATAGTTCAACATGGCCGTCTTGTTTCTTCTTAACAAGAACATAACATGTACAACGGTGATATAAAATTTCATCTATTATGTTCGTGATCCTTTGAAAGTAGCTATTGACTATTATTATAGAAAATGTCTTACTTTTTTAGCAAATTTGATGAGTTGTTGTGTTTGTATTGAGAATTGTTGTTGTATTCTTGGTGATGATACAGATAATATACTTCCTTGTTGTTCATTCACTAGTTTCATACCTCGCCATGTACTCACAAATGTCTCACCTACAAAAATATACATTTTAATTCGATTATTATAAATTAATATTGTTTTATTTTTTTTTTAAAAAAGCTGTGACTTGAATTGCCGAATACCTATTAATTGTGCAAGAATGTATTTTAATCTGAAACTGCATAATCTATGAGTCCAGTATCATTAAAATTAGACCATGCTTTCGTTTCTTGTACATTTGTACTTTTACGCCACAATAAGTTTTATAAATATATTAGATTCGATTAACCCGACCTCTCATTTAGTCAAGTTGAATTAATAGCAAGTAGTCCGTAGATTAAATTAACTTACCATTATAAAATTTGGCCATGAAATTTGGATCGGGAAAATTTTCCATCAACATACATTTAGCTTGTTGATTGTACATAATAATCTTAGGTGTCTTAGACTTCACTAGGTTCACAAATCTAGAAAAAAACCAACACAACAGAAACATGAATAATTAATCAAAAACATCAAGGTATTAAATAAACTGAATTACAACATAATTATTTGAAGAAAAAGGATATTTTATTCGGTATTTCTATATAGAGATTAGGACACAGATTTGGACTACCAGATTAAACCTTTTCCCAGAATCAAAAACATCAAGGTATTAAATAAGCTGAATTACAACATAATTATTTGAAGAAAAAGGATATTTTATTCGGTATTTCTATATAGAGATTAGGACACAGATTTGGACTACCAGATTAAACCTTTTCCCAGAATTAAAAGTTAGGTTAATCTGTCTATTACCTTCTTGTGTATTCATATTTCTTGTAAAGTTTTCTTGGTAAATTATCCCATGAGTAGACCCTTCTACGCATGTGATTAGATATGGTCATGTTATTGGTTACATCTGTGCCTTCTCGCGTCACCACAATCTGAAAGAGAAATACATTCATCCATTACAAATTCCAGTTTGTTGCTGGTGTGCGATTAGATTATATAGTTTCAAAGGAGTCCCAGAGATAGTCCTGTGCGGTTATCTGAAGCTGTGACACTTTTTGAAAAAAAATACAAACTTTCAGTTTGTTTAGGTGGTTTGCCGTAAGTTTCTATAATTGCCGAAATACACTCGTAAGTGATCGTCGCGATTATCCAGTCGCTCACCGAAGAGTAACATATCAAAGGTGAGAGAAATCTAGACCTACTCCTTCAAATGTCGAACAATATGCAGTAACCGGGAAGTAGTGTGGAATAGCTTACCGAATACTCTAAAACACATTACATAGATTGCCATTTTCTTCGAATTTTAGGTATAAATATTGTTATACAAATCTGCTTACCTCTCTTCCATCCTGAGACACCGTGAACGTTTCAACTAATGAGTCGATATTGTTCCTATTTTTGAAGATTTCTAGACGAACAGTTCCTGATTCAGTAATGGACAGCTGAAAAAAGACAAGAATACCATGATGACAACACAGGAGACACAGTGGTTCAGTTCGTAAAGCGCTGCCTCACTAACCAGGTGGTTTCGGTTTCGATACTGGTGTTGATCGAAAATTGTCAGTGGTGAAGGAATGACGTCTATTCGTTCAAGTAGAACTAAAACCGGAGTTCTCATGTACGTAAAACAACCCTGGGCGGTTGGAATTATGCGCAGAAGCAACAGCAAAATCTCCCTCATTGCACACTGCATGTCGTCTGCGGGTCTTCATTACCCAGGTTGGTGCTGAAAAGTAGGACTTTTAACCCCATTTAATTTCCTATCATTATCAAAACGACTATCTCATTAACTATTGAACTGGAATTATATTATAACCTTTATAATAGTCTAAACTTACTGAAGTACTACGGAGCCTCTCTGATATAGGTTTCAGTCTGTAAGTATTTAATGGGGAAGTTGTTTTATCTTCAATGGTCAGTGTTTCATCAACATTACTCAATAACAAATCATCATTCCTGAAAATAAATATTGACATCTTTCTGGTAAAAATATTGTTCAAACACACAGCCCAATTTTAATTACCATTGTCTTACTAAAAACGAACAAATACAAATATCATTTTGTTTATTTATACACCACTAACTAGTTGGTACCCCCGGATAAACACAAACGCGTTATTAATACAATTGCCTTTTCAAAATTTAAAGTCTTTCCTTAAATGTTCACAAAAACCTCCATTGAAATCTAAGATGTATTTGAGATACCCTTTCTATGCATTTAGTGATAACTGGCTTTGAGCGTAGATTCTGTAGAAATTACAGCAATATTTACCTGTTACTCTGAAGTCTAACGGGTGTGTCACGAACTCTCTTTGGTGTGGCAAATGGCGAACTCGTCAAGTGAACGTTAGCCTCAGCAAATCTTATTCTGGGTGTTTCAACTTGTTCGATCTGTGATATCTCTAGTTGAGTCAAAGCTTCAAAGACTTCTTCCTCTTCTTGAACTACATGTAATCTAGGACTACTAAAGGATGCCATCTTAACTATTCAGTGTAGATTATTATAATTCTTCAGCTGGAAATAAATAGTAAAACGTTAAGAAAAAGAAATATTCCATGTTCTAATGTTCTGTGGTCAAACCGAAATTACACCCCCAAAACACCCCACCCCCAAAAGTGCCACAAGATACTGTACGGTACGTACTAGCCTATTTAAAATGAAGACGACTTCACCTGCATCATATTTGTTGTTGGTCCTTAGACTAGGACTAATAGAAACATATGCATCACCATAACAAAGCACAGAAGTCTAGTCATCCGAAAAACTGGTATGTCGGTACCTTATGGGTTCTAAAAACAATTAGTCTCATGTTCATTCAAAATGACATATAAATCATACATGACTGAACACTGCGTAGTAATACAAATATTACACATTGAAAATCACCAGTTGATCTATAAGGTACAGAGAAGACGAATAACTAAGAATGACATCTTACCAATTGAAAGGTATATTGAAATATGAACTAACAAATTAGGAATGTTTATATTTATATAAAAACCTATACTGTTAAACAAACATTGATTTAATTGTTTCTAAACCCATTATAATTAATCTATGAATGACAGCTTAATTTTCTTTACAGCAATCAGTAGTGTTATAACCATACCAACCTAATGTTGTCAACAAGCATTGCCATTGTCAGGGTAGAGTTAGTATGGAGAGAAGAATGAATATTTAAAGACGAGCGAATCAGTTTTGACAACATGACTTGAATATGAATATTTCTTTGAAATTTAGTCAAGTTAAATAGCCTAAATGTATTCAATTCGGAATGTAAATTAAGAAAACTAGTTAATATTGTTTGAATTGTGTAGAATTAGTAAATCTTATAAATTAAGACGCATTATTCAATATGTTTTATGTCCTTTTTACTTTTTATTTTTGTTTATTATTATTGCCATGATAAAAGAATCATAACAACTACTCACTTAGATTAATCGCCGTCAATGGTTGATTAGACCAATTAATCGATCTGAAACCTACTCACTTAATGTTACTCTACCTTTTAATGCATGTATCTACAGATCTACAGTGTAAATAACTTATATTTCTACAATTTTTAATTCTTCAAAAGTTTATAGAATAAGATATTTCAGAAAAGAAAATGATTTAATAATTCTATTGATATGATATATTATTATGCGCTAGTGTCCGGTTTTCACAAAGTATTCTCAGACTAAGTTAAGAATTTACTCAACTTTCAATCACTGTTTACGAGAAATATCTTTGATCCGGAAACACATAAATTTGCATGTAGTGTTTTATTGATGTATTTGATGCATTAAATCAACAATAGTTTTATAACGGGTTGCCCGTGTATATATTGGAATGCACGTAAAAGATAGCCCGGCGGTTGGAATTCGATATAAGAGTAGGCAATAGTGCCGCTGCCCGGGCAAAACTTCCCTCATAGCACACTGTGTGGCGTATACCCGTCTTCATTAGCCCAGTATATGAGCAGAACAGTAGGGCGTTAAACCCCATTTCATTTCATTTCATTTATATCGGGTTGTATTTTAGCTAAAATATGGCGAACAATTTTGAGTACATTCTTAACTTAAGTCTGAGAATGGTTTGTGAAATCCGGGTTAAGTGTAGAACTTCGATAAACCCAGAATAAAAACCAAGGTAACCCTTCCAAGCTGAATGACTATACTGTAATCATGAAATATTTATTTCTAAATTGAATATATTTAAAGATACATTATGGGAGATAAGATAAAGAGATGGTAGTTCTCGCTATAATAGTTAAAAACAAGATAGTGTAAAGGTAATTTGCTGAAAATTTCAGTCAAATTGATCCACTATGAGCCGAGAAAGAAGCGGGTGAAATTTTTGCATAGTCTCGGTCATCTTTACTAAAATCATTAATATAAACAGCATAGTCTCGATTATCCACTTTTATTGATTTAATTATCAATAGCCGTTAGCGGCATATAGGAATCTAATCCAGCCAACATCGAAGGCTAGCCATGACATCGAGAGTTTATTATGGTCTGGATAAGTTAATTAATGTCTAATTGATAATTTAAATAACATTTCAGGCCTAAAGAAAGACTTGTAATAAGCAGATTTTGCTCTTGCATAATGCATGTTTAAGTATAAAATGAGAAATAGTTTCATTTAAGCATTTTTTGAAAAAAAAAGAGAAATATTTAATTTAGTGATAAATTGCATGTTTTGTCACAAGTATATAGTTATAATATAGAATAGAGCTATTCAAATATTGCTTGATAATCACCTTGTTTGTTGGGTTCAACATTTGGACATTGATGACTCTTTTATTCAAAATCAAACATTTGGAAGTTTAATTCACTGTACAATACATTTTATTATGATTTAAATCATCTATTATATATGGATCATCGGTATCGTGGTTTAGTCGTTGTGTTCGAAACCAAACATATTAACAGTTTGCGGAAAAACGTTTGATTAATTAGTTAACAATATCAGTCAATCAAGAGGAGAAGTATTCGCAAAATTCGAAATCAAACTTTTTAACAGTTGGTAGCACTTCTATTCGGTTAAAGATGAAATGGGAGAAGTAAACTTTCTTAGAAAAAAAAATAACATACAGTACACATTTTAATTCAAACTATAATATATTTTTTTTAGATTCCTAGCGTTTAACCGATATTTGTTATAAAACAAATGACAAATGGATTATCTTAGTTAATTCTAGTAAGAAATTAAAACCTTTAATCTCCACATGTGGCAGGCGTCAAAGAAATATTTCTCACTGCTTTAATGATTTCACTGTCCTTATATTCTTTACCCATTATATTTACCATTTCTTCCCTAATCAATTTGAATGGATTATCTTTCTTTAGTGGTTAGAGATTAACGGATTTAATAGTCCAAGATTATCTTATCCCTGCTGACAGTGATAGACAGTGTTTTGATGTTTCATTTTTTTTAAATTTTAAATATTGGCTATGCCACCACGGTACCATCCCGTTTTAAATAATGTTTTGCATTATGGCTTTTGTATTTGCTTGATGCGAGTAAAGTGAATTTAAAATATGCACAGTAAAGTACATCCATCGCCCACGGATATTTCTTAATATTTTATTAAAATGCATAATTCATACATGGTTTTATGACGCAGTAAGGATCTCTAGGCTTTTGGGGTATTTAGATCAGTTTCTTCACGAATACTCAGTGGCTAGCATGAGAAGTAATGAAATGAAATGGTGTTTAACGTCCTGCTGTTCTGCTCCGACCCATGGGCTAATGAAGACGGGACAAATAATATGATTCGGCCTTTATCCCCAATAATTTGACTCATTATGGTCATTCTGGACAAAGTAAGAAGTTTTGAACGTCCCACACAGACTTCTCATCAAATGAGCAGTTTAATCTAATTAAGAAATAAATCTTTAGTATCTAAACCGCGCTCATTGTCGTAAACTACCCCATACTGGGGAGTTCAATGCAATTTATGTCTGGCTCTCTTAAATCCAATCCAGCTGAATAAAAAAAGGTTGACCAGTATGTAATCTATGTGTAATGGACAAATTGTTCGATCGTTAGTATCCCGCATGTAAATATGTAAGATAGACGCCGACATTATCGGTATATCTCTTTACATGATTAAGATTGACTACGAGATTTATGTTTTAATTAAATTAAAGTAATTATAATCTTTAATGCAGATAATTTTACCCTTTGATCTTAAAAATTATTTGGTTCCTTACCGAAATAATACACACAATAGAATATAACGCATTATACATTTTAACTATGCAAAAAATAGAGAAGAAACGCAATTAATTCAAATCTAAGGTGTATTATACTGAACATCGGTATATCTCTTTATGCGATTAAGAATAACTACGAGATCTATGCTTTAATGAAATTAAAGTAATTATAATCTTTACTGCACATGATTTAACCTTTGATCCAAACAATTATTACCTTCCTTACCGAAAATAATGCACACAAAAGATTATGCATTTTAACTTTGCAAAAAATTGGGAAGAAACGCAATTGAACCGAATGTAAGGTGTATTATAATGAACATTAAAGTTTCACAATAAAAAATACATTGCATCAATTCTAAAAGATACACGCAATAAAAATATATAATTTGCGAGAAAACATGCCAAACTGATGGGTTAAGAATAATTTAAAAAAAAAATCTTCTTTACATTTTATTCATCACAATTTTAATATCTTAAAATGTTTACTGCTATTTGCATAACAGAAATTTCGAACTTCCGTAATCTCCTATTTGTTTTATAGAACAACCAGATCCAATGAGTGGCATTGAAAAGAAACAATGGGATTAATTATCCCATTAAAATCAGTTAAAGAATTAAACTTGTTGAGTGGACTACAATATACTTCAACGTGCTGATTTGTTTGGATTAGAAGACATTTTGTTTGTGTTACAGTTTGTAACAAACCGTGTTTCTATATAAATATCATGATTTCTGTTGAAGATTCATCATTTGAACATTCAGTACTACAACAGTAAACATCTATATCTTAATAATAATACCAGTTTCCACAAAGACAGGTAAACATTGATCTTCATTGGTCTTAGATATTATTTCTTACTTTATTTCTTTATAAAAATCATTAGATTGGATATGAAATCGTGCTTATCTAAAGGAAATATCAATAGTTGAGGTGTAATGTTTGACTGGGGTTTATATTGTTTGGTTTCATGCCTTTTATTTTGATTTTCAGACTGAAAGAAAATGGATTTCTTCCACACCCCACCACAACATTTCAATCTCAACTCTGCATATCGCATGGTGAACAATGACAACAGTTATGAAAGATTTTTTCCAACTATGAATATGACTAATAGTACCCCTGTCAACAGATCACCTTGCACACCACCACATTTGAGAATCGCTTCACCACCAACACCGCCTACCGTTATACGAAGGTAAATATTTAATACATTTTTTTTCAATTTTAGTAACATCAGGGAAATTAAATTAAGGTTACCAGGTGATATTTTGACAAGGAAGCATAGTATCTTGTTTGGGATGTCACCACATTGTCATCGAAGGTATAATGAACTCCACAGTTGCTGGTACCAACTGTGACAAATTAATTATGACAAGATATAATTGTAGTAGTGTAACAGGAACGCTGCTAATCAATACATAATAGCAGGCAATTTCATTAACCAGCATTTGTTTTATGTATATGTAGCTAGGAAAATAACATACATATAGATATTAATAATGATAATATCAGAAAGGGAATATCGACCTCTGTTCATTTGTGTTAATTAGAAGTGTTGATTAAATGAACGAACATCTGCTTATTCACTAACACAAATCCAAATTTATTAACATTATAGTAGATATATTGAAGTCATACATCAATAATTACGAAATTGAGAAGTTCTGCTGTTCTAACATGTACACGCACCATTTAGAAGTTGGTCGTAAAGCGATACACGTCGCTTGTTCCAATGTGTTACAATAGGATATGATCTAAATTTAGTGGATGAACTGTAGAAATCATATAAATGAAAACAAAAAATATATTATTCCAGGAAAGAATCTATATCATCTGTAACCAGTAGCATGAGTTCTCATTCAGAAAGTGAGGAAAATGAAGGTCTTTCTCCGCTGTCAACTATTCGCCTCAAACCCATCACACAGAGAGTTCGAAGTATGACGGTAAGTCGTTCGTGATTATTTTTTTTTAACATATCGTAATTCTTAAATGAAAGTTTTGATCATGATTTTAAATCGTATGTACAAAAAACAAACTAATATTCCAAACAGCATACAACCTTGAAACAGTATAACATAATCGTCTTTTAAATATTTCAGATGTCAATAACAGAATGCGGAATAGTTTGTCTAGAATTTCATAAAGTTAAAAATGGCGTTATGAACACCATAGAAACATTTTCAGTTTCTCAAGATGGCAATGTCGTAAGTTTATAGTTTTATTACACTGTTTAGTTTCTACAAGTTTAATCTTTATTAATAACGATTGATTGTTCAGTTGATTTTTTTTCTAAGTTTCATTAATTTTATATTTTAAAATACCTTCTGTAACTGATTTGACACAGGTCAAATGTGGATGTAATAATTAACGTTTTTATTATTGACTTTATAGGTAACGATAACCAATCTACGTCAACAGATACACGGTGATGAAAGCAACCGAACTAAGATTTTTCAGTTAGACAACCTTCCACAGTGCTACCACAAGAAATATAATCATGCCAGAAAGTAAGTAGAATCTTTTACTCCAATTCATTTCACTTTTACCACAAAATATTAAGTGATCAGGTAATAAGAAGATATTGGTAGAGCAAGGATTACAACACATATTATTGACAACGTCAAATTTTTATGTATGAAATCTAAACTTGATTTTATTGTTTCAGATTTGTTTCACTAGTTCAGTCGAAAACACCAAAAGTAACAATGTACAATAAAGAAGCTAAGTGTATGTTGATGGAAAATTACCCTAGTCCTAACTTTGAAGTTCATTTTTATTCAGGTAAGAACTACTATTTAATTTTGTTGAATTTATATTAAATGATATATATATTTTAGTATTTAAATATAATGAATACGGCGTTTCTATAGAGTATTTTAAAAGTCATTTCTACGTGTCCTAACATATCAATGTGTTTAAACGTGTTGTATTATGTTTTTAGGACGTAAGTTTATCAGTAATTGGAGTGGGATGAAACTGGTAGATGATGAACAAGGCAGTATATTATCTTTATCAACACCTAGAATACAACAACAATTTAGTAATGAGATTCAACAACTTATTAAACAGGCTGAAAAATATCACCAACAATGCATCCAGTTTGAAGCGGTTATACATTCGACAGCTAATTCGTGTACTGATAAAAATGAACTGTTTCCTGTTATTATTGGAAAGTAAGTAAAATCATTTATATTAAACCAACTAGATAACGACCATTTGTTATATCCAATAAATCATTTAAAGGATAATGGTTTGTTTTTCTATTTACGAAGCAAATGAAACAATATTATTTATATTCATTTGTTTTCTTTTACTAGAAGACCAGAATCTCGAATAATTGTGAATGAAGAACCAGTTTTACCCACCTCCCATCCGGCTGACATCAGTATCATGACAACCTCAACTACCTCTAGCAGTTCTTCATCCAGCTGCTCTACAGATACCTGTAGTCGTGTAATCAGACAGATTAGAGTTCCTACTATAGGTTTAGCCTCCCAGGTAATTATAAATCATTAAATATTCTCTTATAAAAACGTTTCAATTCATGTAATATGTCTTTTTTTTTTATTGAATACCGATTTACAATGTGTATTTCATTTGTCACTAAATATTCATTGAAATAAATAGTCATTATTACATATATTAATATATTTATATTTTTTCAGTTGGACAATGGTGATATATGGGTTGAATTTGAAGACGGCAGCCATCTTGGTATCAAGCCAACGGTTACGACTGTTACGTACATCAACCAGATTGGTTTAATGAAAAAGTAAGCAATGTTTTCTTTTTTCTATGTCGTCACCTAATTGAACAAATCTTCACTTGAAGTGAAAATTTTAATAATATAAACATATTTCTAAAATAAAATAAATAGCGCAATACCACGCGATGGTTTGAATTTGTATTTATATTTTCTTTTTCTTTTAATTTCAGATATAAGAAATCAGAACCACTGCCAGACAACGTAAAAGTGAAATTGGCTTCGTTGCCAGTTGTTCTAGAACAACTAAAACATTCTCAAAAAACCGAATCATTTTGTCATTTCTCCCAATAAGACATGAAACTGTGCTATATATTTAACAATATCTATATCTGTGATAATTATTTTTCTTAAATTTCTGTGATCTCATATCTGTGATCTCATATCTGTGATCTCATATCTGTGATAAGCTTTATGTGATACTATTTTGTAACTATTAATAACGGTCTGTGGTGAATATTATGTGATAATCTTTCTGTAATCAACGATCTGTTATGATGTGATACTCCTGTATGTTCTTAATTATGTCTTTAACTTTCTATCTCAATTAACTATTTGTGTTACATTCTGTGATATACATTCTGTGATATACATTCTGTAATAAACATTCTGTGATAAACATTCTGTGATAATCCTTCTGTGATAAAGAATTGTATTGTATTATATTATTTATATTTATTTAACTACTTGTAATCAGCATTCTGTGATAGATGATTGTTTATATTATTTATCTATACTTCTTGAACTACCTGTAATCAGCATTCTGTGATACAGAGTTGTATAATATATTATTTATATATATTTATTTAACTACCTGTAATCAGCATTCTGTGATAAAGAATTGTATAATATTATTTATATCTATTTGTTTAACTATCTGTGATCACCTTTCTGTGATAAACAATTGTATATTATGTACATACACAGTTAGCTACATGTGATCAGCATTCTGTGATAAATAATAATTTATAGTTTTACTTTTTTTATTTGTAAATAAATGCTCTATACATAAGTTTCGCTTTTCAATTATATTCACATTCAGCTCTCAGTAATATACACAATTTCCTTTCTATGAACATGAAATATAATAATTGTACAAAAAAAGAAAAATGTCTGCTTAATTTCCAATTCTTCAGACAGCAGACTATGTAAATTGAATGATAACCTGCACGAGGCAGGACAATTTACCCGATATTACCAAATATTACCCAATAATAAGACATACTCCCTATCATCATGAAAAAAGGACAGAATACTTCAATTGCATCAAAAGCAATGAAATTAAATTGCAGTGAGTAAGACGCTGGCTCGCTAACCAGGAGGTCCTGGGCTTGATCCCGTTGATGGCTGAGAACGTACCTCGGGATGTTCCCATATTGATTTCCCCTTGGCGGTTGTGCAGGGCCGACGATGTGACTAGGAACAGTGTCTAATCGTTCGGGTGGGATAATTCTGTCCTAACATTGTGTGCAACAAGAGAGAGAGGGAGAGAGAGAGAGAGAAAGAGAGGGGACAGGGAGAGAGAATGGTTCAATTTTATTTCAATAATTCGCTTGTGCACCCACGAGGTTAGACAGGTGAACCTACTCTTGTCACGTACCACCGGGGAATCGAAATCACACCAGTTGACTCAATGACAGACCTTACGCGCACGCGCTAACCATTCGGCTATCCACCCTTCCCACCTTCTGGACAACGGGATTTTATTATAAATTCCATTTATTATGTCTAAACAAATTGTTTTGATTTAAACAGCTTAATTAAATTTGAAATATTTGATTATCTGTCTGTAGCTGCTTGTAGAGCTTAGCAGGATTATGTGTTTAGAATCTGTGTGGGGCTAGTATATGAACAATCTTTATGCAGTTGAGCCACTGGAGGGATTTTATTATGAATTCCATTTATTATGTCTAAACAAATTGTTTTGTTTTAAACAGCTTAATTAAATTTGAAATATTTGATTATTTGTCTGTAGCTGCTTGTAGAGCTTAGCAGGATTGTGTGTTTAGAATCTGTGTGGGGCTAGTATGCAGTTGTGCCACTGTAGGAAATGAGTCTGTTTTGTTCTGTGGTGTTGCAAGGCTCTACTTTCTCTGTTCGGATAACTTTTAATGAACTACAGAGTATATATATGGTTTTAAACGTAAAACGCTTTCAAAAGACTAGAAATGTTTAAACCTATGGACAGATTTTAAATAGAAAGTATTTGATTTCTAGATAATCCACAGGTTTTTTCGGCGAATATTTCGCTTTCCCACATAAAGCAAACGGGCTTTTTTTGCTATCTGCATTGATGATACCAAACCTCAATCAGCTGGACCTCATGTTTTGATTTTATTATGACAAAGGGAGATTACCCACACTCTCTTCTCACGACAGGGAATTTTAACACGGTGTTTTAAAGTGACATTTTGATATACAAGAATTTTCTTTTATATATGTTTTTACAAAATTTTGCTTATTTATTACTCCTTCATATGTAAATAACCTAATTAAATCAGAGAGTGGGCGATTAACGTCTACTAGGTCATTTAAATGCGAAAACACGTCTTTTTGATGTTTTTTGTTACATTTCATTAGAAATAATATAAAACTATGGCGAATAAAAACTGTAACAGTAATGGACCGATCATTTGAGGAATTTCTTTGACAGGGATAGTAGGCAAAATGATTACACTTTCAGCATTTAGTTTGGGTCATAAGTCACACTTACGCCCTTTCAGAACTATGGCATCGACATATCGTTTTGCTAGCCGATCCCTCCGCCTAAAAAATGAAACGAAATGAAATGGGGTTTAACGTCCTGGCGTTTTTTTGCAGAGACGAGGGACTTGAGCAGAATGAACATAGGTTTGCAAAACGTCCCAACAACAAACACCGATATGTTGAAGATCTGAGATTTCTTTACCGGACAAATATACTATCTGCCGAAATCAATATCCAAGTCTTAATATCATGAATATTCACTAACACCTGGCAGACATTTCCAATTCAAATGGCTTTATATTTTGTCAAACAGTTGAAGAATATCTCAAATTTCAGAATGCTTCTTAATTATCGCAAGCCAAAAATTGCTTATCGTGACAACCAACCTCGTGGATTTTCTCCGGGTCCTCCGTTTTCCTCCAACTGATAAAGACCCATACGCGCAAGCAAAGTATTGAATTAAAATGGAACCATAATATATATTATGTAAGTCCCGAAATGACCTAGTTTGTGTCGAGTAGACGTTAAACCCCATTTCTTTCTCTTATCGTGACAAACGTAGCGTTTTAGGGTTCAAGGGTAACTCATATAAAGTTCCTTGTAAATATGTCATTTATGTTACTAATTTCTAAATAATGTCATAGAAAATAAAGAACATTTGCTGCTTTTATCAAAAGAAGAGAGATTTAAGATTTCGTTTATTAAGAATTGTGCTCCAAATCTTATGCCAAGCCTTATCTTCAAACAGTGTTAATAAAGTAAATTCCCATATTTGCGGCACCGGGAAAAGATCAGAGAAACCGTCGATGAAATTTGGTCACCTATCAATTAATCAATCAGTTAATCAATCAACCAATATAGAACAGGATGAACTCCACTCATTATTATGAATTTAGTGACCAGGTATGTCCACCGTCCACTTAATGAAACTATGGAAAACAAAATAATGTACGAACGTTTCTATTTTGTAACGATATAACATAACGTTTACCACAAAACGCACCTGCACTTTTCCGTAATTAACGGGTGTATGAAATCGGGACATGTGTCATAATCCATAGATTATTTGGCCTCTTTTTTATAAATAAAGCTTCCTATTTGCTACACAGTAAACAACTAAATCCAACAGTGTTCATAAAATTAATGTATCATTTTATTTCATTTGTGTTAAACAGCATCCTTGTTTTCTTTTACACTCTTAGTTACGAAACTAAACAATATTGCATAAAACGGATACGATATATGCAGGATTAAATGTTAACTTGTAGGAGAAATTAGATTATTGTGGAAGTGATTGAAGTTATTTTTCAAAATTAATTAGTATATCTTTATTGACACTTGTGTATATTTTGTTAATTCAATACATTTTGTTTTCTACTGGACATTAAATGTTTCATTAACCATCATTGGATCAGCATTAACAATCTTTAGCTTAAGGAGATTAAGAAAACTCTAGTCCAAACACTCATTCTTAATGTTGATAGAATACTTATAATGTTTTGCTATAATGTTTATTTTACACTTGATGCCAGTGGACTGTTGCTACATGTCAACATAAATCCTTGTGACAGTAACCTCACATATTAATCGTTCTTTTATTTTTCAATTACATTAAAATTGTCTTTAGATAGTATTACTGCGAGGTTTTCTATTTCTTTTAAAATATCAAATACAAGAATATGAATTATATGGACAGTATAGCAATCTTTTTTTAATTTTTTTTTTAAACGTCCCTCGAAGATTGAATAATCGCATTTGGAAATTGAATGATAGTTTCTATTTATATAGACAAGTAGGGCGCTAATCGCAATTGTATTTCTAAATACATGTCTTATCCTAACTTTTCCGTTAATTATATTTTGTTTGATTGAATACGTGATTAAGGGAAGAGGAAAGTTTTTCTATGGGACTGCTAACTACTCACATAAAGTAACACAGCATGTTATAAAATACTACAATATCAAATTAAACCACAATACTAGTTTGATTTTGTTAATCACTTGTATACTGATTTTCTTGTACTCGAGATTTTACCGCAGATACCAGAATTTGTTTAAACCATTAGCGTCCGTGAGTACGCTGTGGCGGTGGTTAACTTTGAACTTGGCGTGATTAGGGATGATTGATCACGTGACTCGGAGATATATATTTCCTAATCCACCCGTATGGCAAATATATATCTTCATTTTCACCCAACATGGAAACCAAGAGTAAAGTTTTTACTCTAAATGATAATAACACAAAACAAAATGTCGACAGTTTAGCGGTACCTACTTTGTTTGATTTCAATTTTAGACATTTTTCTAACATTTTAATAACTCTTTAATCCACAGTCGGTTTTCGTTTTTGATTAGCGATGGATTTAGAAAACCCATCATTCAATATAATTATTAATAACTTTAAAAAAGATTAATTATTTATCTCATTGAAATAGGAAACTATCATATTTCATAATCATTAATCAGAATTACTACAGATTTAACAAATATTGATTTTCTTTTTTCTTTTTTTTCAGAATTATCAGATATTTAATTTACTTGGAAATGGGGGTTTTGCCAGTGTTTACCGAGGAGTGAGAAATGAAACAGGACAAGTGGTTGCTATCAAGATGGTAAGAACATATTATAACATAGCGTTTCATCTACACTAATTTAAAGATATTTTAAAGAATAAATGTTGTAAAACGTTTGTTTTGTTTGTAGATAGATAAGAAGGTGATGAAACAGAATGGCATGACAGAAAGAGTTTGTAAAGAAGTAGAAATACATTCTCGATTAAAACATCCATCAATACTACAGGTGAATAAATTGATTTACTGGAATATATTATGGATATTGTAGTATTATTTACCAATAACTAATGCAAATATAGTACATATTAATAGAAGCAAAAATAATTGTTATAACATGAATTTATATTTTAGTTTCGTTATTTTTTTTATTTCAGCTCGAGAGTTACTTTGAAGACAGTGATTATGTATATTTAGTGCTGGAACTATGTGAAAATGGCGAATTGTATAAATATTTACAACGATCAAGCATGATATTACAAGAAAACAAAGGTAGAGGCTGATAGTCAATTTGTCCATCATATTGAATAACGAATATTACTTTAATGTCCAATGTTTATGAATCCGCTATTTATTTCAAATTAGTTCCGTGAGATTCAAAATTGAACAAAGGCGGTTACATTTTACTAACTAGCGTCGACTTTTGAAATTCATGTCTGAATGATGGCTTGGTTCATAATGATACAATTTAAATCCAAAAAGATATAGATGTTGTACACGAGGCATGTCATTAGTATTCTTTCAAGAACATCTGAATCCATTTTTTTAAAAAAAATTCATTTTGCCCCCTTGTTTAGTACTTGATGAATAAATTTTAACTTTATTCGTTCTCTGTTTTTAGCCAAGGATTACATGAACCAAATAGTAGAAGGAGTACTATATCTACATTCTCATGGAATATTACATAGAGATCTTAAATTGTCTAATATTCTACTAACTAAAGACCATCAACTGGTAAGAATGTCTAAAAATATTTATATTTTTGTTCCTGGGTGTAGAAGCGACTTCTCAAGATGTGCCATAAAGAGTATGCGCACCTGGCATGTTACAATATCGCATAATTAGCAATCATTAAATTAAGTTTAGCAATATTTTCTAAACTTCATTGTTTTACATTCTAGAAAATTGCTGATTTTGGTTTGGCTACTCAATTATCTGTTGTTGGAGAGAAGAGATACACAATGTGTGGTACACCCAATTTCATTTCACCGTAAGTAACATTATATCTATTTTAAGTCTTTAAATGGATACAATTATTTATTATACAGGAATCACTAATAAGACATGCGTTTGTAAAGGTAAATACTATCAAATCTAAAGACAATTATTATGGCTTATATATAATTTAGAAAAAATTCTTATGGGCTGTATCAATTTGAATTGGTTTATTCATTTTTAAGAATTATATCGTTTCTCAAAAAGGCTCTTTTGAATTATATCAAATTTTAATATTTAAAGATTATTCTTATAAATCATATCAACTTAGTTTTGTTTATATTATAGGGAGGTGATAACCAGGTCATCTCATAGTTTAGAAGCAGACGTGTGGTCATTAGGATGTATGCTATATACTTTCTTGGTAGGAAAACCACCCTTTGACACAGACGCGATTACATCAACATTAACTAAAGTTGTAGCTGCTGAATACAAAATACCCAAACATTTATCTATGAAAGCAAGAGATTTGATACGCTGTCTACTACAGAAAAATCCTAAAGAGAGAATTAGTTTAAAAGGTATATTTTGAACCATTTATTTGAGTATTGTTCAATACCAGATATTTATCAAATACTTGATAACTTCTTAAAATGTATCATTATAATTTCATGAATTTTGAGTAATCAAAAATTACTCCGTCATTTTGTAAATTACAAAGAAAACAATGAAGTATATTATCTGTCTGATACAGTAAGGCGATAGAATTAAGAGGTGACCCTTGAGTAATGCCTTTAAAAGATGGCGACGAACATAAATTTTAAGCCTAGTCATTGTAGCTCATAGTATTTTCAAAGGAGAGGTCGTGGAGAGGGTAGTGTTAGGGGAACATCGGGGATTCCATAATCCATTCTATGTCGGCGACATAACGGAACCCCTAAACTATAAGGAGGCCACTATTCGTCTAAGTTTCAATGATCGACCGATTAAATGTAATGAAACTTAATTGTTATAATTAATATAATTAATCAACTGTCTTTTTCATATAGATATACCTTATCACCCGTTTATGGTAAAAGAGACCGAAACTTCTACCAATTCCGATTCACTACAGGTAGGCATTATATCATTAAAATTATCTCCTTAGATTAATAAGGATTAGCCAATTAGACCCAGGGATTAAATAAGTAATCCGGTTTGAATCAAGAATGAAAAGCATGTAAACGTTGCCAACGTTCTGTCATTCACCGGTGTTTATAATAATAATAATAATTTATTTTATTAAAGTGTCACAAATCAGATGAATATTTACAGAGTTTATACAATATAATACAAATGATTTCCGGCCAACAAAGGCCTATGAGACACTACAGGTAAAACATTAATATAATATAAGGCAATAAATACAGGTAAAACAATTAATTATGTAATCACTTGTATCTAAAATATCTGTTAAAATCAATCATAAAATTTCATACTTTCATACAAATTCTAAAACTTTCCATCCGATATGTTAAAAGCCAATCATAAGAATTTCTAAAAGTAAGCATTTTGAGACAATCGCAGAATTTCAAACTATACAACATAGCTTCTCCAGGTCGCCAATGTGCATTCCATTCCAATACTTAAAGTTTACTTCTTAAAATTAGTTAACTGTAGATATTTTAAAGTCCAACTACGACCAGAAATGTAATAGTTTAGTTTACTTGTAGTTTACAAAATAATTGTAAAATTAAAAATAATTAAAGCAGCCATGGCACCAAAATTTATTTTTCTTTAATAATGGGAATATTAAAAAAAAAGACTTTTAAATCTAGTTTCATTATATATTGAAAAGTATATGTTTACGTTGATGGTTGATGGAAAATAATTCAAAAAATGAAAATGACTTATTAACCTTTTTTTATGCTTGCTTAAATTCTTTGAAATAATATTATAATTTGTTGTCTTAATTGTGTAGGCGAAAAGCCACTTAAAAGGGACTTATTATACAGTTCGACCATCATGCTGCAAGATTATGATAGTTGATGTAAGGGGATTATCTGGATTAAAGTGGTCAAATAAATTCGATAAAGGGTTTAGTGTAAATGTAATTAGTATATCATTTAGAGGTTAATCTGCTGGAGTTGTTTAGGAATTAGTAAATGTATAATTGTATGGTTGTATAACGGTTTTAGTTGTGAAATTTGTTACTAGGTTACGGCTCGATAATTTCCGTAACTTGTTCCGATGACAAAAACCGTTAACACACCTGAGTTTGACACAGGATACTTTCTAATTACTGCTATGGTGAGATTTTACAACTGTTAATTGTTGATTTACTAGTTATAAGCAATTCGTTATTAACAATACTGTATTTAGCGACCTATGTGGACCACACCTGAATGAAGAGTAAAATTAGATCAATAATATTACATTAGTCATTCAATCGATGGGATGTAGTAGAGAGAATACGTACCGTACGTCTCTGTGTTTATGTGGAATACTATATGATTGTCTTTGACCATCTTTTGAATATTTCTTACAGTGATATTTTCATTTTGGAAGGATTTTTATTATTTCTGTTTATTTTACAATTATTGTAGAAGCCAGAGATACCTTATGACAGCAAACGATACACCATGCAGACGTCATCTGCTAGTCACGACCGATCACTCTCACCAACAGCACGCATATCTGACAAGTAAGTACATAATGATTGTAATATTTCTTTTTAGCATTTCCATAATATGATATATTAATGAATACATTAATGAAGACACTTAGGTTCCCATGATTTATTTCTGTTTTTATTTTTAATTAAAGTGAACTAGAAACGAGTATTCACTATACCCAGGATGTTATCAACACTTGTTCATGTAAACATAGACACGCCTGTAACAGTCCAACAGAGGAGCTTGTCACTAAGGGAAACAACCCTGTAAAATCAATCAAAGATTTTGTACTGCCCTTGAACACCTGTCGAGTAAAACCGATATCACAGAAAACAAAGAATGCGATGGTAAGTATTGATTTCATAATGACAATAAATGATAATATATATCAAATATGTCGCCAAAGTAGGAACATCCACGACGTTTCTTGCCAAATCATCAATATGACCATAGAAAGAAATAGAGTCGATATAGATCAAATAGTTTAGTTTGTTTTCCCTTTCATTTCAGATGACGGTTTTAGAGAATGGAGATGTTTGTTTAGAGTTTCTTAAATATAAAGATAACATAGAACGGGTTGCAGAAATATTTATAGTATCAGCAGATGGTCAAAATGTAAGCTCGATTAATATTTCCATGTTTATATTTAAGTTGATTACTTTTAATAAGATGTTACGTCCATGCAATTTACGATAATTTAAATTTAAAGAAACTGTTTCGGCTATTTCAAGTATTCGTATTTATTTATTCATTTCTTTTTCATTAGATAACTATAAAACACCCAGACAGAAAAACAGAAACCAAGAAAACGTATAAAGATTTACCCGAAAAACAGTGGAAGAAATATCATTATGCTTACAAGTAAGTAAACTAACAAAATTTACATGAATACATATATAAATTTGGGTGAAAATTTTCTAAATTATCTAATTTTTCAGGCGATACGTTTCAAGTCAGTAGCTTGAAGCGTATATATGGTATTAGTGTCAGTGGCCTGTGGCACGAAGTAACAGTATGTTGTCGCATACATAATATATTATGTCAACGCTTGGGCGATATAATATATTATGTCAACGCTTGGAACTAGGATGGAGGTGACTAGGCATGAACTTGCAACGATAGATTTAATTGGCGCTTTGATAACCAATGAATGCTTGTTTTTTTCTTTTCTGTTTTTTCTCTCTTTTCTGTGTCCTAACCCTAACCCTAACCCTAATCCGAAAGAAAAGTGCCCTTTTTTGAAATTCTGACATCACAGGTGCCCTTTTTCTGATAAGGATGCCCTCTTTTATTTACAGGGACACTTTCTATGGCTCTGATGACGCGTACATTCCACTGAGTCTACAGGTCTAATATGCTAACACGCTTGGAGCGTCAACACAATATATTATGTCGCCCAAGCGTTGACATAATATATTATGTATGCGACAATATACTGTTACTTCGTGCCACAAGCCACTGACACTAATACCATATATACGCTTCAAGCTACTGACTTGAAACGTGCAGGGTGAATTTTTGATATCATAATGTGTATAAAAGTATAGGCTTTAAACTACAATTCAAATTATAATAACAATATAATGTTTTACTTTCTAGATTTGTGGAATTGGTTAAATCTAAAACACCAAAGATAACAATGTACACAGAAGAAGCTAAATTTATGTTAATGGAGAATTCACATGACAGTGTTTTTGAAGCCAGTTTCTATGACGGTATGTATTCAACCAATGTAACAAAACGTAATTTTAATTGTATGTGTATATGTATTTTATTTTATTTTATTTTATTCATTAATTTATAAATTATAGAAATACATACGTACTGAATGTAATAATAAATATGAATATTAATATTTCAGGAGCAAAATTGATTGTTACGTCATCTGGGTTATCTGGTAGAGACAAAAATGGTGGGAATATCACAGAACATACGTCATCATCTGATATACGTACTAAATATCACGTTTCAAAACAATGGCTGCTTCAATGCCGACATTTAGAAACTGTTATATCATCCATTGCACACCAAAAACAAGATGGTGACAACATGTTTCCGTTAGTTTTAGGAAGGTATGTAAAATATATAATTGTAGAAATATCTTGATTAAGTATTTTGTAGATCTTTATATGATAAAGTCGTGATATCTATTTAAAACATTTGTTTGTGTTTTAAATATTAAAATTCTCATATTTATTTCACAGGCGACCAGGGGGAGATAATGTCAACATAACAGCATCCACGGAAGTTATGTCTTCATTGGCCTCAGACGAAGCTGACCCTTCATCTTTGCCGTTTGAACCATCGGTAACGTCCACCCATTACGAGACTAGAACGAAATCGTCAGCACCAACACAATCGTCTTCTAAAGTGGCGGATGTTACAAGAACAACGACGTCTCAAATATCTATGACGTCAACGTCTTCATCAAACCAGAGTTGGGGTTACGACTCGAATGTTTCAACCAACCAAGTTTTGAAGGAGCTGTTTGTACCGGAAGTTGGTTGGGCATCACAGGTTAGTGTTTCCTCTTGATAAGAATAGCAACAACCTCCAGAGTCTGATTTCACTTTGTATTTATCATGTTAATTTATGAAATTATATATCCATTTTTGTTTATGTCTAAATTTACAATAGCATTTTAAAAAATTATCAAAAACTTTTTATCAATATTTTCAGTATGGTAATGGCGATATTTGGGTTAGATTTAATGATGGTAGTCAACTGGGAGTAAAGTCATCAGTTACATCAGTTACATTTATCGACATTAATACCAATGTTTATAGGTAAGATATTATTATTTGTAATAATCCGCACCATACTATTTGAAAGTAGAAACACATGGATACTTTCACATAATACGTGTCGCCCTCTCAGCGTTATAAAAGAAACACAGCTTCTGAAACCACCCTTTGTTGATTGGATTCCTGGGAAATTATAGTATTGATGGTTTTAAACCTAATGTGATTACCCTGTATATCTACAGTTTGAGAGACTGATTAATATCGGTTGCAGAACTGCGTTCGTAAACATTTCTCTAATGTTTTTATTATCGTGCAAATTATATTAAATTTCAAGTTCTAAAATTTATGAAAGAAGTGTGTTTATTGGTTTCTTAAACGAACTTTTTTTTTTTTTTATCTATTTCAGGTATACAAAATCCGACACTCTTCCAGAAATTGTAAAGATGAAATTATCTGCGTTTCCAGTTGTTTTACAATTACTGAAAGCTTCGTCTGCCAGAACATCAACAGCACCTTTGGTTCTTCCCAATATTCAGCCATAACTTGTATTAAAAATAAATTCTCCGAATAATATGATTTATAAAATCTTTAAGTAGGTATGAAAATCGAATTTAAGAATGCGTCACATACACCTGTAGCAAATCGTAAAAGTGCAATAGATCCATTTTGTGTTCACCATTTATATATTTTCATCGTGATTTTATTTTCTACACTTTACATTGTCGTTTTATTTCATTTAATTCATTATACAATAATCAACATCTTCGTCTTCAACATCATCGTTCATATAAATCATTATTGTCTTAATTATCATGCCCATATGTTGTTTTGGGTCCAAAGGGTCCCGTTTATTCCTATTTATTTGTTATTATGTATATGTATGTTATATTGTTAATTTATATTATATGATAATTTAACATTATAAATAATATTATAAAGTCTGTGATATATTTTATATAATTAATTATGATAATTTAACATTATTTATAATATTATAAAATCTGTGATATATTTATTGATCTCTGTGATAATTAATGTGTATATTGTAAAGCTATTTACTTTTTTGTACTGAATATGTAATAATGTATATTATAGGTTTTAATACCCGAATTGTTATTGTTATTAATAAATCTGTATAACCAATTAATGATTTGTTTCTCTCCCTTACTTTTGTTATTATATAGTGGATAATTAATAAAAATAACAGTAATTTTTAGACCCCGACATTTAAGTGTGGGCGTATTAGGAAGTCACCCATGTCGGTCAGCCCATCCGTCCGTCAACTATTTGCTCGTTAACGCGATAGAGCCTACAGTTTTAACGGATTTATTTCAAATTTGGTGTAAAAGCATTATGTAAAGTGGAAATTCTTCAGGGTTTTAAAACAAAATGAAAAAGATTTGTTTGACAGGAGAATACAAATTGCTACCTGAAAGAATAGCAGAAATCCAGTTTATATTTATGTATTGCGAAACTACATTTCGTTGTCTTTCTAAAATATCAAATATCATTTCATTACAATAATCATTTGCTTTGAATGGTTTAAAGCTACAATTTCATATTTCATAGTTATATTTTTAAAATTTATTAAAATAAAGCCTTAAAATAGATGGTATCCATAAACCGTCCTACCTTGTTAAAGAATAATCCTATTAATCCAATAATTCACTATTGCCAGCTGAGAAATTGGCAAAAATATCATTTTCAACTTCAAATTCCAACGTTTGAAGGTAGCTAATGCATGGAGGCAATAGGAAAACAAGGGAGGTAATTGTGTTATTATTTCCTGTGTCAATGATTTTTAAGGGTGGGAAATGATGCCCATGGTCGTATAATAGTGAGTTGATAACCTATTGAGCCAAAGACATAGAAATAATTATGTTTTGACTTTCTTAGAAAATATGAAATTCTCGCTTTAACTAAACATATTCTATTTGAAGATCCCTAAAATTGGGAAGTTAAACCGGTTTCAATGGAGGAGCTCCCTTCATTAACATACACCCCACACCATGACAAGTTGATACCTTACTTAATATAAGGGCGGTGGGTTGTCGTGCTTTTACTTTCGCTAACGCCAAATAGTTAATTAACGATTGAGAGTTTAAAACACCGTGATTTTGTTTTTTAATTAAAGGTTTTGACATTCATTGTCAAACTACATCTAAACCAGATACTAAATTTGACTTTCAATGTCTCATCCTCGGTATCTCCAGTGGTTTCATTCCGTGCTACTCCACTATACCCTGAGTTACTCTATTGGGTAATCACATATTCAAATCATCTGCCCTTGATCGTAGCTTGAGTCTGCGAAGCAATCAAAAATAGTTTACAAACTGGTTTTAGCCGCCTTGTTAACGTTCACAAAAATATGCCGAGATCAAGCTGGCAGACCATAAACCAGGACACTATACGGATAAGCAGAAATCATGCTGGCACGCTACTAGAAATTCGCTTCACGAGGAAAATCACAGCTGTTTCGTTAAGAGAAATGGGTAGCTGTCCACAGTAACATAATTACTAAAAATAAACTACTTTCAATTTATGTTATTTGTCGAAGGCTCGGATTAGCTATATAAATCACGCGATTTCATTGCTATCACGATCGTTCAGCGTATTCTTTATAGCGTGCCAGCTTGACATCGGCTTATCGTGTGGTGAATATCCTTATAGTGTGCTGGCTTATAGTGTGCCAGGTTGATCTCGACCAACAATATGGCGTCTTGTTCGCTCAATTATCAGAAAGTTTGTAAGACTTTTAATATAAAAGAAGTGACATGCACCAAAAAAGATGTCCTAAGCATCTTCTTGATGGGAAAGATGTTATCTTATGTCAGTTTTTATGTAATTAACGATTTATATGATTGGTCGATAAAAATACCACAATCATCAAGGGCAGACAATTTGAATACGTGTCTAGCCTACGGATGAACCCATGGATTAATGGAGTGGAACGCAATGAGACCACTGGGGATATCGAGAATGTCAATGTCTAAGTAGGATGCGTCTTTAGCTGAAATAAGAACGCGGACCCTCGCACATTGATCAGCAGTGAATATTCGCTAGCCCGATACGATCAACGAACGGGATGACATCGGTGCGGGTTAATTAGCTCGCAATATTGACCTTTTTCCCTCTGCAAATTAAATTCTAGAACATTTTTTTGAAGTATTAGCAAAATAAATAAAGGTGTTTGAAGGATATTTGGATAAAAAAAATATTTGCTATTTAGTGTAAATGGGTATATAAAATGCGTAAAAAGCACCATTCTGCCCGGACCAGTTTACGCTACCATGTTTTGTGTAAACAATGCACGCGCCATCGAGCCTACGATCGACGCCGTATGATGTGACGTCCGATATAGAAGTTATTTGTCAGTGTTTGACAAGCGGAGTATATCAGGGACATGCCAGATTTTCAGTTCTAGTATCAATAGTAAAAGTGATGCTAAAATTTACCCTGAATTATAGCCCAAGACACTAATATCATTAAAATAAAATCAATTATATACCTTTTATTATAAAGCAGATTTTATGTTTCAGTAAAAAATACATAGAAATACATTTTGTTTCCAAATTTAAAAATAGTAATGAATGCAGTCTTGACTATCAAAAGGTTAAATGCTAAATATGTAACTGGCCCTCACAATAAACTATAACTATATAGACCAATGCCCTTAGAAATCATAATGATAATGTAGAAAACTGAATATAAATGTAATATTATGCGACAACCTCTAAGTTTCTTTTGTTAAAAAAAAAAATACATTATAAACAAAACTGAACACAAAATATTTCTTGTTCATTTGGCAAGATTAGAAAAATAAAATTAAGGCATAAATAACATGACATAACAAAATATAAAAAAATATCAAGAGACAATATCAATAAGCTACAAATTTTTAATTTGAAGGGATATTGTCAGATATTACAGATGCGTTTAAAGATTTTATTTATCATGGACACAGAAGCTGGGCGTTGTTAGTTGTCATTGCTCCGAATATAGCACGTCGAAAAAGGTATTTGTCAGTTTTTTTTTATCCAATAAGAATTCCGAAAACTTTTGAAATGAATAAAGTTTTGGAAATAATTTAATTTAGGTTTAAACAAGGGACAGGTTTAATACAAAACACAAAAAAAACAAACAAAAAAGACATTGATAGCTATACGAACGTGGTATCGCGTGTTCAAGAAATATTAAAAATACCTTGCCTCAAGCAAGACACCTGCCATCATATTTTTGGCTAAAAGGCGTGGTGGTTTGTACTTGAATTTTGGAAGAACACGAGAAATAGCAAATTAAAAAAAACCCATTAAAACAGCAACCATTACTAAAAAAAACATTTACAGAAAATATGAAAAGGCCATAAAATATTTGAACATAAATTATCCCTAAAATAATTAGGTATTACTTGAGAAATGCACAGAATGACGACTCGGCTTTTCCAAGTAATCTTCGATGTCACTGATGTATTCAGAAACGTTTGGGTCCGATTCACTGCTTGGTCTAAGTCGCAGAACAAACGGATCATCGTACCAATTCTTGTCCGTATCGAAATCGTGAAAATCATTGAAATGAATATTGGGATTAATTTTAGGTTTATCAATAACTGTAGAATTGTTCGTCTTTTCCACCACGCCCACAAATTTAGGGGTCATCTGAAAAAATAAACGTATCTGTTAACCGGGTCATAATATATTTATTATATCAGATGAAAATTGAAAACAATGGAATATAATGCTAGCGAGTATAACATTTTTGACCAATATGGATAGGGGTGGACCTCGGCTTTTTTACCAAACACGCCATTAGTCAGTCCTTCACGCGCTAACCTCTGTCTCGAACTCAAGAAATTCTAGCCGAGAGTCCATTCCTTGGCAATCTTATTAAAATACAGATCTATATTTCGTTTCGTTTGTTTTATACTTTCGATGGCCTACACTACATGAAGATCTGACAAGTTATAGCGATAGGTCACGTCAGGGGTCAAAAGACCGACTAATGACCCTATGATGTCAGCCATTTGATTAAACAATCAGCATTGATGTTACTAGTGGATTACCCACAGTTCCGTGCAAAACACACCTAAATCTCGCCGTAACAGACCGTTTCATTGGCTTATCCCTGACACCATTCAGAACACGAGTTAAATAACAACTCTTCCAGATCCAAGTGTAGTAAAGACATGTAAAACGAAATTTTGAACTATAAAAACGAAACGAAATAGGATCCGTGTTTTAACCAGATTGATTCCTTGGCGACCAAGGTTCCTGAGATATAATTTAAACCACACATGTCTCTGTAAAGTCAATACACCACCCCAAAAATGGTACAGGTAATAAGTGTGTTTGTATCTACTGATATGTTGACCTGTCGTAATCTCGTATAGCTAACATATTTGTATTTAGTGAAGCGATTGGTATGTCGTTGTGCCCTGGCCCATTTTTGCATTGTATATTAACCTAAACCGCAAAACTTACCGTTCCTTTCACATCGGCTATGTAAGAATCCATCTCTGAACTCTTTCTACCACGTGAGGAAGACGTGTCCAGAGACTTCTTACGACGGTATCTTCTTTCAAACGCTGAACGTACCTGTAACGAAACAAAAGAATCAACCCAGTTGCTATTTATGCATTAGGATCATTAATAATTGAGACTTAATGAGACCCAATATTGTAGTAATAGTCGTTCGTTCTTTCCTAGAGTTTTACGTCCACTTCCACGGAGGGTGATATCATATTTTTTTTGTAGTCATATGTACATACTTAAATAATGTTTCATACTTACATCAACATTCATTAGGCAATGGAAGACAAAGAATACCACGCCCTGAAATACAACGATAAAATATATATTCACGGCAATCAAACATATCAAAGAGGCATTATCACTTTTGAGGTCTTTACTGGTTGGTAAAAAATATATATTGGATTTTTGATGTGATATAACAGTTACACCTGCGAGGTCAAATCTAAGATGCAGAATTTTAACTTTAAATAAAAATGTCATGTCGTAAAACTACTTTTTATATGTACTCTTAAGTAGGCGGTGTCTGAATTCGATAATCAGATGAGTCACTGACTATTTTGAATATATATATATATATGTCAAATTAGTAATTTTTTTTTTATTTGATTATGCTTTAAACGAAGTTTGAAAATGAAGAAAGTTAGCATTCGGTATTATATGTAGTCCACTCGAAGTTCAATCAAGTGTGTAAATTATCTTATACCTAACGGTTTGTGCCCGTAACTCCGAAACCGAAAGTGGTAGGCCAAGGCCATCTAGCCTATGTTACTCACCGGTCCGAGCTACCACTATGCACCAAATGTCATCCCCAGGACAGTCCTAGTGTAGCCACCAACCCTGAGCAGAAAACGGACAAGCGACAGTTACAAACATTAGTATAGATACAGATCAATTTGTAACTTACCTGAAAAGCGTTACCAATAGTAAATAAGTAAGTAAAGACGTAAGCTAGGGCTTCTGTACCATCCGTATTTATAGCAAAGAACGCTAAAGTCCATGTAAGACCCAATAGTGGTAGAAGAACGACAGCTGCTTTCAAACTAATTCTGCAAAATAAAATATAAAATTGATATGAATTTGGTTCCTTTCAAGAGTCTGGTTATCTTGTCTGAATACCCCTCCAATTATTATAAAACTTACCTTATACTGGACTTTTCCTTTACATTGACTTTAGATGTCGAATTCATAGATTTCATCATCACACGAATAGTTATAATCAACATCACTGTATTAATCTAAAATCAGATCACAAGAACATTTAGATATATATTGTAAAGAAAACATTTATTATCACCTTTGCCTACCGTTAGCTAGCCATTGGATACTGTCTAAATGTGGACATTTGATTGGCTTAAGACCGGAAGTTCTGCACGCGAATGTTATGACATTGTGGACATGATTTTAGTCTAGATCATACAATCATGCACAAATTGTAGCATGACTAGTATTACAAAATAACCACCGAGAAGTTAAATTATTATATTATGCATGTAGGCTTATAGGTATAATCTTAAAAAAAAACTACAGATATCAATGTTTACTTACGACAACAACAAGCCCAACAGATGGCACGAAACATACAAATAACAAATCTCTTGCTAACCAACAACTGCAAATAGAAAAGGTACAAAATTAACACTTTTAGAAATCCAAACAATAAATTTTAATGCATTATATTAACAGTAATACCGCTTTGTGTTTTCAGTAATCTCGACGTCGATAATTTCGTTCATTTGATTTGATCTGAAAACACTTCCAGGGTTTTAAATATCATTGTATATAATGATTAAGCTGTGTCAAAATACAGTGAAATCATGTAATTCAAATTCTCTAAAACATACAACTGGATTATGATATAGTATACATGTCTACAATACGTGTTAATTCAAAACAAATATCAATGTGTAGCTTGCAGAAATACTCAGGATAACATACATTCTTCCTTGTCCATAGTCAGGATAGAAAACCCCAACAGATATACCGACTATAACTAATGGTGCACCTATAACAGGAATACAAAAGACACAACAAGACATAAAATAAACAAAACAAACATAACAAACCGTAACAAAGCAAACATAACAAACCGTAACAAAGCAAATATAACAAACAAACAGAACGAACTATATCGAAACAACGCACCAGTCAACATAAATCGTAACAAATAAAATATAAAGCAAAATCGAGGAAAACACAATAAACATAGTTAAATCTTACCCCATCCAAGAGCCATGTATTTCTTGAGATGACTTCCTCTCTGAAAGACTTGTACCAGTACAACATACAGATGAATACCTTCTACCAACATCCAACAGAACAGTGCCGTTAGCGTATAGTGTAGTAGTATGGCTACAGTTTTACAAGCCCACTGAAAGACACCAATATGTTACTAGTATATCATAAGTAAAGCATTAACTAAGTATTGTTGTGTGTATGTGAATATTGTCTTATCATATTTTCAATTTTATCACTGCTTGATAATGACTAGAGAAGCCTAGTCGAAACGTCGCTCAGTAATAAGCAGTAATTGTATTCCATAGAATTGTGACCTGTATAATCACAATGAAACCTTACCACAGGTGTTGATGTTTTGTCACTTGTTCGTCCAATACCAATTAAAAATATAACTTGTACCAGGATAATAGATGCTGCCAACTGTTCATGTATTCTAACACGATCACTCTTTAACCTATTTTAAAATATAACTCCTTAAACTAAATACCAAATTAATTCATTTAGATATTATTTATTTATTGATTGCAAGGAACTAAAAATCTCATATACTTAATGTCACCTTAAGTTGGTTTATGAAACCGTCAAGATGGTTTTCATTCTCCCTTAAATTAACTCTTTTTTTGGACATGAAAACTGATCTTACATCAAACAAATAAAAATGTTTAGGAACTAAATAAACAAAAGGTATGCATTTTCTTTATCAAATTCTTAAGCAAGCAAAACATCAAACGTATCGCCTTATAATTCAATCGGTGGGTGACATTACTTGTTTAGTTTTAGCGATATCTGATTCACACTTGTTTTATTTTCCTTATTTGGCTAAAACCAAATTTTAAACTCGGATAATTTTAATTCCTATATACTTAAAAACAACCCAAGGTTTGTACCCTTTATGTATATTACCCTCACTAACCTGAAGTATTCGAATACAATAATTGAAACCAAACAACCAAGGATAGATAAGGAACCACCTATATATGATATATAAGATAAAACAGCATCATTTGTCTCATCTAATTCTTCCTGTAAATATAACAATATAATGATAAATTCTTCCGTATATTTAATACCATTAACGCCTATACAGATATGTTCTCGATAAAATCATATAAATGGTACATTTTAGTTCTACTAGAGTATGATCACTAAAAATAAAACTATCCACCACAAATCATCATGCATCTGGTTTTCTTCAACAACAATATCAATAAGCGGCATTCCCAGGCCCAAAATAACAATTTTAGAAAGTAAGGCCAAAAGAGGACAAAGTTTTTGTCCAAAAGCTAACACGTCAACACTTTAAAAACTAAGAACAGGCCATTTCTGGAATTATCAATAACATTTTATATAACCCCACCCCACTCCAATATCTTACCGATGTTTTGTATACGTCTAGTAGCAAGGCAAAGTTAGTTAAATGATAACAATAACAGATCACGTGGGTAGAGTTACTGTCCTTTAACAAACATCCTTCAGTTGACCATTCTTCTTTGGATGATCTGTAAATATATAATACTGGATTATCTTAACATAAATTATATACCTTGCCGTGTGTCGTTTGATATATTTTACATTTCTGTACAAAGGCAATGCATTTGTTCTTTAATCGTGTAGTTACTTCCCTTTGTTGCAACACGACTCACAGTGGGCTCTAGACTTCTCGTCATTATTGTTTCGCTATATCGCGTACAGGCCCGGATTAAGGGCGTGCTGACTGAGCTGCAGTTAGGACCGCCATATTAAAGGTGACCCCAAATTAACACAAGGTACAATTTTATGGATACACAATTACTGAGTGTAATACGAAGCAACATTTCGAGGAGGATACTCTCGTCTTTATCAAGCATTTACTAAAGTATCTGTAAATAATGTACATTATTGTAAATATGTGAAATACAAATACTCAAACCAATATTTACATATTACTAAATGTCAACCAAAGAAGACCCCAAATTAGTTTATGACTCCATCTATTATGTTGTATATGTTTGTGACAAAAAAAAAATCTACCCATCTACCTTACTGACATACAAATTTCGCTGTTGATGAAAGGGTCCAGGTGACATTTTCAGCCAAGGTCCCCAGGGAAGGTTAACCCGATCCTGATCGCGAACATGGTTGTATTCTGTTACTCGCATGAGAACCTTAAGCATAATATGCACACGGACCCCTTTAGATTCAAACTATCAACGTGAATTTCACGGCTAGAGTAAACTGTACTCGTTTTTTGTTTTGATAATAAAATTATAACAATCAATAAAACAGAACAACTTACGTGGAGTTCATGTTCATAAACACACAATGATTTTTCACATGATCTTCTGTTTGTCCCGAGTTCTACAATGAAAAATAAAACCATTTGGATATCTTCATCATTTAGAATGACAGATACACTCACATATATAATTTGTCTATATGAGTGCTTTTTAAATACTGCTTAGTTTGTTAAGGTTACAAGGGTCAGTTTCAAATCTTAACGTTTACATCCCGTAGTCATTTTTAAAAGAAATATATCCCATCCCTTCAATCAATGTAATAAACCATAATTCAGATCAAGATATCATTACAATATTAAACATGCTGCAAAACAACCGATCCCATTTGAACACCAAATTTCCGAAATTAGTCTATGTTTCCTACTATTACTCAAGCGAATTTAGAGATTTCTTTGGGTGCATACTTTCCGGAACAAAAGATTGCTTCTTATAATTATCATTGTGCCTTTAATTAAATTGACATACTCAAGGATCACCTGTTCATGGGGTATATTTAATGCCAACATACATATATAAAGAAGAGACTAATGCCTTCAAGCTTACACATAGGTGCAAAATGTGCACTCCATTCAATTCTACAGTCAACAATGTTTTGAAATTTTTCGAAATTTGCATAAAGAGTCGAGTGCAAATATTAGCTTTGTGTGAAAATAAGAGTTTATAGTATTTACCTTGGTTTTATAAGTAATGATAACAGGTTCAGCTATTTTATTAAAGACATCTTCTGGAAAACCTAAAACTTTGCTAGATATTATATCAGAATTTACTATACTTTCACTGACATTTTCACTGAAATAAACACAATAATTACAAAATGTTTTAGAAAATATAGCACATAAGATTCAAAGATACCTTCCCACGTACAAACTTAGTGATTTGATGATATATTTGGACTAAAAACATATTTAAACTAACCAATCTATCACAATTTTGCTTCAAATCCTTCTCAAAACATAGTATTCGCGAGAAAATAGCTAGTCATCATCAAGCTTATCAACATAAACATCAAGCGCTCCCTAAAGCTGAGAGATCAGACAGCTCTAATCGTCAGACTGCCAATTAGTGACAACCTCTCATTTTTGTTCTGTGCGTGCCCCATGGGTGTTTTTAAGGAATCAAGTATTTTTCTAGTAAGATTGGATGTTTCTACTTTCCATATATACCACAATTGCCATACTTTCATTGGAAATAACCACCTGATAAATACTTTTGTGGGGAAGTATCTAGAGCACATCAATATCGGAGAGGGACATTAAGCATATGTAAGCATGTCCAACAATTTGCCGTAATTTATATATAGAGTTTTAAAAATTCTGTCCCGTTTTTATTTCTGAATAACTTCACATTTTGTAAATAAGCACCATTTTGGTGGCAAAACTATATTCAAATAACTTACCCATATCTCTCTTCTTTCATAGATAGTAAATCGGCCATTGATGAAAATCGCGCATAATAAAAACTAACTGGAGATTCTGAAAATTACAGGAAAATTCTAAAGCTTAATGGTAATTTTCAAGTATCAGTATAAGTATCGATATACATTTTCTAGAGCTTTTGAAAGTTTTCTAGTTATTATTATAATATACAAATGGTGAAGACTAATATATACTAATATTTGTGACTGTCGTTGGTCTGTCTGTCTGTTCAGGTTCGGGTCGGGTGTTCCACCCCTGCATTGGCCGAGAAAGTTCATCCAGATTTTCCGGCGTGGTTACCCCTTGTCAGTGATGCAGGACGGAGGGCCTGACAAGGACAACTGTCTAGTCGTTCGGGTGGGACGAAAAGCCGAAGTCCCGTGTACACATTGGCGTGCGCGTAAAAGATCCCTTGACATTTGGAATTCGATAGAAGAGTAGGCCGTAGTGCCGCTGTCCGGGCAAATTTCCCTCATCCCTCCTAGCACACTGTATGGCGTATGTCCATTTTCATTAGGCCAGTTCGGAGCAGGACATTAGAACGTTAAACCCCATTTCATCTTCATTTCATTTCTGTTCATGTTTGGCGGCAAAACTAGGGGTGTCCCGAGGCTAAAATTTGGTGTATAGGGGTATCTTGGATCGGGGAGTGGCGTTGGCTACTGCTTCCGGCTTCTGAGTTATACTACTACTTTCAACCCGTGCAGTGCCGGTTCATCCACTAGTATATTATATTTTGTACGTCCAGTCCTAATATTGAAACTCGTATCCAATGTAATGTCCTATCTATTAAATTCGACTACACAAGTCAGTATATGCCCGCTTTATGGATCTCAATATTACTGTATTAAATACCCCGGAATAAAATTACGTATATTATGCTGGTTTCGGGCGCCCTATTCCTCTTTTTTATACTTATAGTAATTGATTGTTCACATATACTGTTCAGAAGGCAAATTTGGTCTCAACCTACTAGATTTAAGCCTAAGATGAAGTCCATTTGCAACAGGGCGCATTAAATGCGCGTTTGAGTAACTCTAACCTTTATAATTTGTCACCTCAGACAAGGTATTTAGCTAAAAGGGCTTAACGTTTATGCAATTCTGGATGAAATTTAAAAAAAATTAGACGATCCAAATAACACTAGTGTATGGGTTCCCTACTTAAAGTTTGCTAAAATCACATCACAGGTACATCAAAAAATCTGTTTACCATCATTATATTGTCTTGCTAGTTGTATTACAGCTGGTGGAAGAACAATACTACTAGAATCACCACCAATGAATATATCAGGTTCTTTCTCATCTTTTCCCACAGTTGATATCTGTAATTCTTTTAACAAATACAATGTATTTAATACACTGTAGGATACATTGTAGGCTATTATAGAAAGGCCTGTTAGTAGCTTGATGAATTTTAGAGACGTCTGAATGAGAGTTACATACAACTTTTCATGTGCTTATTCCGCTATACTTACAAAATGTTATAGTTCTAATTTTACTGTTCATAAGAAAGTTTATTGGTTTTGACTGTGCAATATCGTTATTTAAAAGAAGTTCACGTGGTTGGCAGAAACGCCATGCTAAATATGGTTTTAATTGTAATATACACCAACTATTTACCCATATTTCGTCCTACAAGACGAAGGTCATTTGGTTCATCTTGGTCACCAGAATCAAGGGATCGAGCAGACTGCGTATTTAAACCACCAGTTTTAAAATATTCTGCAAGTTTTTCTGAAGATTCTAAAACTGATTTCATTCTGTCAACGACAACATTCTGAAATTTAACAAAATAGTTTGGACTTAAGTTGCGGATGTTCTATTTTTAACATAATATTTACAAAAACTTATCTGTTATGAAGATAAATACATTAATATACGAAAATTCAGTATATGAACTTACAGCCCTAGCGTTTTGCCACACCACTTTGGTATCAGGGTCAATAATATTATCCATAGCATCCTTAACACCCTGAAATCAACAAACAAATTGTTAAGAACCAAGAATTTTATATACTTGTGCATTTCAATACAACTACAAATATAAAGAATACATTTGCCGTGATTGGTCCCTAGAAAAAGGACATGTTTTATTCTCATTTCCCTTAATTTTTCTAAAAAAGAAGTGATAACTTTGGGGGGGGGGGGGGGCGTTGAAGTTTGCTTTGTTCTGAGGTAGGGGTAGTACCAATTGACAAATTCAAAAGACGTCCCATCAGCTGCTATTTAATAAACATCTTGCCATTCCGAACCCATCAAGGGATTTCCTTCTGACTGATAGCTGAAGTATAAGTGACTTCAGCCTTCCATGTACCTTACAAAAATGTTACATTAAGCATTGTCGCTTTTCTAAATAATTTTATTTCCGGTCACTTTGATATTGAAGTAGCCTTTCTGAGAATTTAGGTATCCATTCAGGGAACGCAAACATCATTCTAGTAGATTATGAACATATTCCGTCTGAGATGAATCATGTTTATCTCTCATAGTATTACCAAACCATCGCCCTACTCTTTTTCCCAAACTTTGAGACCGACCATGGCTCTTTAACTTTATAGTAAAAGGCAAATTTTAGATAACATCAAGTACATTTTTATTATTATTTTTTATAAAAAAATACCTGAGCAATATGCCAAACACTTCCCTGAGCCGCATTAGTTTCTCCGAGACCATCTGTTATCAAAGAGACGACTGTGGTGGCCATACGTAGATCTCCTGGATAAAGTGTTTTGGCCGTGGGATCTCTGACAGCTGATGTAATGTTCTCTAGATTGCTTGTGATTTCAGCTAAAGACTTGACAGTCAAATCATTTCCCGATTTCAATAGGGTTGCCTGTCAAAAACATGAAAATGCAAGATGAAGGCAGTAGATTACATAAATTACACTGTTTATATAGAACATTTAATATTTTAATTTTTGATACACGTAATCTTACCTGAATAGCAATTTCAAGAAACTCTGGACTAACACACTCGCTCAGATCAGGTCTTGTCCATACACCACCAGTTGGTGATGACGAGTCCATTACACATGAACGACTAGCGTTTCCTGCAATTTTTAAAGAAATCTTAGCGTTTTGGGCATTGGTCAACATATGCCTTATTCTAGAAATATATTTACAGTTCAAATCTAAAACTAAATGTTATACAACATTAAAACTAGGGACATGTTTGCTGCTATAACTATTAAATAAACATTTCTCAATTTTAGAAAGCAAACTGAATTGAGATCGAGATACTGCAAAGATCAATAATGGGGAATCAAGCAAGCATACAATAAGAAAAATCGCTCGCTCCGTGACCGTGATTGTAGTGAAATCACGTGCGTGGTATTCAAAAAAGTAGGGGATATTAAAATGCAAATACCTATGCAGGTTGAGATAATTATGATAAATAGTCATGGACACTTGACAATCTTTGAGAGTATGTTCACAGATGAAGAACTTATCGCCCAAACAGAACCACTGAGCTGCACATGCAGGGTTGACGAAAAATGCCGCGTGCTGGTTTATCTATCCATGTTTGCTTTCCTATCGGTTCTTGCATAAGATTTACTGTTTAGCGTATCTTTGCTTTAGGGTGTTACGTTTAATTTGATTGGGAGACATGTTCGTCGACGTCAACATCAACCGACAACACTGCAAGAATTGACCATGGCACTGCAAGAGGATTGGGCCAGATTGCCCCAAATCGTGATTGGACGGTTGGTTAGGAGCATGCTACGACGAATTGCTGAATGTCTGAGGAATGGTGGAGCAATTACTCATTATTAAGACAAAAATCAAAAACGTCTATTTTCACTTTTGACGGCGTATCTCTTTTCGAATGAAATGGGGCCGTCAGATAAGCCGCCCATATGAACTGTACATGTTCATGTGTAGGCCATTATCCTGTTATTAACATACACTGGCTACCTCTAATAAAAACAACAATGAATTTCCGAAGTTTTGTATTGTTTCTGAATATCCCCTACTTTTTTTGAAGAGTATATAACTGTATGGGTTACTCCAATCTAGCATTAAATAAAATAAATTTAAAGTACATGTAGTCTATTTTTAGTAATAAGGTGTTGGCGACATATTTCTTAGCACAAACGAAAGAGGATTTTCTATCATGTAATCATGAATGTGCCAGGATATAACTAATACTTGTATATTCAAAGAGCGATAGAAAAATACTTTCCGGTGATGCATTGCAAGATAACTGAATTTCATATTAAGATCCGTATTTTGACTTTTAAATACTCCCCTCTCCCCATCACTAAATTGAGTTCAGACGATCCAGATTAAATCTGTTTTATGAATGTGCCATAAAATATTTTTAAAATTTTGAAAAGGTATATGGTAATGTTTTTACCAAATCAGTGTTTGAAACAAAATTATCTTTGATTGTATATGGTTTATTTTGGCATGTTGGAGCTTTAAGTAATACGGTATATATAGTGCGTTAATGATTGTAGATTTCAAGAAAGAACATCAATTAACTAAGTTTTAAATATAAATGGTTGTCGTTAAATGTGTTGTGTTTATTCAGACTAATCCCACTTAATTCTCTTGAACTGATAAAACAGCACGTGCTGACTAATCTCATTAAATAGCAGAATAGTTCATCATTGTTTGCTAAACGTATATTGATTGACCCACATTTTATTATACAAGTATTAACAGACAGGTCGTACATGGTCTGTAAGTCAATAGTTTTTATGTAGAAAGACGATAAGCCACCCACGTCACAACACCACCTCGAACGTAGTCCACGGGTATTACATTAAATGAAAAATGAAAACTTCCCAAAGATTTTTTTTAAGAACAATATATATAGATAAACATTATTTAATCATTGAGTGTTTACGCACAATGTCGCTCATAGCACACTGAATGACATATGCCCATCTTCATTAGCCCAGTTGAAGCAGAACAGTAGGAAGTTAAACCCCATTTCATTTCATTTCAATTAAAAGTAAGTGACGTAGACAAAGAGTACGGCCATGTTTTATATAGTCGAAAAAACCTGCCCACATGATATGATGTTTATTATTTAGAACACAACTGGGGAGATTTACTTTACCTTTAAACGATATCCTAGTGATATCACGACAAACTTTGTTAATCGCCACGATTCCTAATTGATTGTTTCCCCTTTTCGCTTAACCGTGTTTGACTTAAACTGAATCTGAATCTGAAGTAGTTTTTAAATTTTCTCCAAATTTTATGTCTGTTCTAATTGGAATTCGTGATTAAAGTCTGGTCAATGCGAGGTCCGAGGTCAGTTTGTACATTATTGTACCACCGGAATGATTGGGCACCCATTTCTTGTCAGTTCCGCTGGTACGCCCCATCCCCACCCCCGTATGCTTGACAAATCACAAAAAGTAGCCCAATTCGTCACTATGTGATTAAAAGACACAATTCCTAACTTCTCGAATTTAAATAAATTAAGGAATCCAATATCACAAACGCTCGAAGGATGATGCTGGGAAGTCATAAACGCCCCCAAATTGACACTGGGAGTCATAAACGCTCTAAAATTATTCTGAGTGACTATAAAACACATTCTAGTGTCGACACTAGTCTTATTTTGATATCAATTATATTTTCTCTTACGTTTTTATTTACTATATCGACGTATTAAGCACAAATACAGAATGTGGCACACAATTACAATTTGAATTAAAGCGACGTTTAATTTGATTGTTAACGTTGAGAGAACCCCCCAACGAAACATCGCTTTAATTATTATGTTTTTGTGTTTATTAGGTGTGCCAATTGAAAAATGGCGCTCAAAAAGATATCGACGTATGTTGACATATTTGATACAAAAGAAATACTAGGCGTTCCGCAAGGTAAAGTAGTCACTGTACTTTAATAAACGTGAATATGTTAGACGACCTAATGTGATTAATTTATGCAAACAAAGAATGTATTCTTCAACTTAAATTAAGAAAATGACTTACCCATGATTCCTTGTGGACACGATTGTATCTCAGTTGAATTAGCTAGTATATCAAACCATAAAATACGGCTTGTTACAATATCATCTCTAGCTTCCAGACAATGACCTGCATCTGGTGATAAAATACAGCAGGTATATATTAAAGTGGACAAAACATCCCAATCAACCTAATTATCCTCTTTTTCCACTAATCACATTGTAAATTATTGCACCATGTACACATCAAATGTTATTGTCTGCGATATCACCTCGGTGGAAGCGGACGTAAAATACAACTAACTCACACACACATCCCAATCACCAGCCATGAGTGCATGTTTCTTAGCATAAGCATAAATTCAATGTCCGCGCATATTCATATTATAATGTTTCTTAGCACAAGAATAAATTCAATGTCCGCGCATATTCATATTATAATGGTTCCTAGCTGCGAGGTAAACTACCGTAACAGCGAAATAGAAATAAAAATATTTACCAAACATAAGTCTGCATTTCATCACTATATTAGTAATTGGTGTAGCAAGCACAGATCAAGCGGATGTCGCTAATGCGGCAGGGTATGCTTACCCTTTCCAAAAAATCTAGTTTTACTTTCCATTATGGGAATTTCTTATGCTAGGTCCCTGCTATCACGATTCGCGCTACGATTGGAATCGTATTTTTAATCGTAGTGTTATCGTGGTGATCCTAACAGGTCTTATCATATATTGAGGTCAGTCGTAGCAATCGTGTTGATCGTATGAAAACGTACCCGAACGTATCTGCACGTACCAGATCGTGGACTCAGTAGGGACAATTCTATTATAACGCATCGCACGACGGTGGGAGCCTAGCACTAGATGGCGAGGCCACTTAATGCTGTATGATTATGTCTACTGTAGGGTCGATTTTTCCTACTGTTTGATTAATTTGATAATTATTAAAATGTTAAATATATATACTAGAACAATCATGAACATACCTTTATGTATAGAACAATATCTCCCAATGTAATCAATGTCACATACACATTTAAATGTGCTCCCTGTATTTTCACATATTCCATTGACACAAGGCGATTCAGCACAATAATCAACATGGATGTCACATAACGGACCACTGTAACCATCATCACATATGCACTTAAAGGTATCATCAGCGTCTATACATTTACCATTCTTACAGGGGTCCGAGGTACAACCGTCCATATTGATCTCACAAGCATCTCCTGAATATCCTGCAGGACACTTACATTTATAGCTCGCTGGTAGACTTACACAAGTAGCATTTTCAGGACAAGGACGCGAAGAGCACATATCATATTCTATGTGACATGTCTTACCAATGAATCCCTTAAGGCATTCACAACGAAACTGATCTCCTTTACTGAAACAAGTTCCGCTATTTTGACAAGGATTTTCCTCACAGGGATCGTCTTTTGTTTGACAACGCTTACCACTAAAACCTTCTGGACATGAGCAGATGTAGGAATTGGCCGCATTTTCACATGTTCCACCGTTCATACAGCTATCAGGAAAACACGGATCAACAGCAGCCTCGCATGTTTCCCCGGTAAAGTTTACTGGGCAGTTACAGGTGAACGCACCCCTAACTTGTACACACGTGCCATTATTTTGGCAACTTTTCGGGTAGCATGGGTCCACAATCTCTATCCGCACATCGCAGTTTCTTCCCGTGAACCCTTCCTGACAGGAACATCTGTAGCGCTCTGTATTGAGTAGTCGTGGATTAAGACAATTTACTGAGTTGACACAAAAGTATTCACATTGTGGATTTTCTGAAAATAATCAATATTATGACATCAGCAGAAAAAGTATAATGAAATTACATTGAACAATTGGATATAGAGAGATTGGTTAAATAAGATCGGTTAAATGTAAGAACGATATTTACTTACTTATATATTCGACTTTCATGGATCCATTCCATGGTACACTATCTGGTGTTACATCATACGTAAAGACTGCATCGTTGAATATCAAAATTTTAGATTCAATCAAACATAGTTTATTCTTCTTTTTGTCATTCTTCGTCTCTGTAACCTAGAATAAATCAGGATTAATTACTGTGCATATTCAACCATGGAGTTGTGTTTGTGTCAGTGAGTTTACTATACGTTAGATAAAAAGAATGGGCTGGTGAAAAAGTCCACACATGCTTTTTGTCAAATCATTGCACACTAATTTATCATTTCTCTCCAATTAGATGAAACCCGAGGTAGCTAAATCATTGGCTATAATGTATTCTGGTGTAAAATCCATGCTAACAAGACACTAAAAACTAATTACAGTCATGTCAAAATATTCTAGAAAAAAACCCAAACAATTTTAAATGTTTTCCGAGGTTCTTAAAAAATATAGACAAAACTAAGAAACGTAAATCAAAAGTCCAACACAATTGGATAAAGATTTTTCTTCGTTACTTTTGTTCTCAATTTAAAAAGAGAAACATCATCAATTTGGAGATAAAACATTTTAAAATATTTCCCATGGTTTTTAAAAAATATATAGACAAAACTAAGAAACGTAAGCCAAAATTCAAACACAATTGGATAAACGATTTGACCTCTTTACCTTTGTTCTTTATTTCAAAAAGAGAAAAATTATCAATTTGGACAATACTGTTTTCTATACACAGACTTGCTAGACTTATGTGATATACATACGGTTAATGGAGAAATGTTACAAGATGGTAGAGTATTGGCTTGGTTATTTAACTGTATGACAGCCACTGTTGCTTTAGGCACATTTATATTCCATTTACATTCAATACTATCTGGTGGAGACTTGGGAAAGTTGGGTGTCTCAATAGTACTGTTTTCAGCTATATCCATAGAGCATTCACCTTAAAACAACAATTCCAAATACATGAATACCATGAAAATAATTGTTAGCTACGTAAATTTCCCAAATAAATCGGAAGCGGTATCATGTGTTCCAAGGAGAAAGAAAGCAGTGGGAGGAAACAGACGACCTAGTTATACCTATAAAGTACACATACCGTATAGGAACAGAGTCTTTTGCAAAATGGCACGGGAATATATGATTAATATGATATATGGATGTGTAACTTGCTACTACTCGAACTCGATTTTGCCAAATTCCTTCATTCGTATTTTTTTGTGTGTCCGGGTTAGGACATTTTGTGTTTCTTTTGAGAATCTTCATAACATTTCAACTAAACAAACAAAACACTGATTCACTGTTATATTTGAAAGAATAATCTCACCATGATATTCCAATCTAAAGCCCGCCTTATTTCCAGATTCATCTGATTTAAAATTGATCTGAATTTCATTAGTATTAGATAGTATAGGGCTTGTCAGTTGACTTCCACAAGCTTCCAGTAAAACATTCGTACCATCACGTATCTTAAAAATACACAAAATGAACATAGATAACCTGCATTGCCAAATGAAGTAACATATGCACACCAGCAGCTTTGTTGTCCGGGCTAACACAAGAGCCCCCCCCCCTTCATCTCCTAAATCTTATTCAGTCCTAAATCTTAGAGGGAAACACCATCTCCAACTTTCTGAATTAACCCTACCTCTGCCACTGTAATGATCGATCGCCGGAATTTATCAAGGATTTCGACTGCGGTGTTCATGTGCGAGGCTTTTTACATTAATAACATAACACAGCACGAAATTAGTCCAGATATTTAGCATCATTAAATAAAAAAACCCCTTATATTTATTATTTTCTGGGTAGATACAGAACATTAGATGTTTAATATATCTCACCTGTACTTTATCATAACAAGTACTGACAGTATCACCTGATTTAACACCATCTTCTAGTTGAAATAGGGTAAAATCTAATTTAATTCGACTTCCCTTACTGACCCTAATATTCCAGGTACAGTCTTGGTTGTTAGGGTAGGAACCACCCAGGTAACCAGGACTGTTTAGACTACCCGACCAATCTGTCAATGTCAACGAGTCTTTGGCTAGATTACATACACCGCTTATGTCTGTAAAAATTAAAAAAATAATATGTTAGATGTACCAAAGCATTATTTATTTAATTAAATGAGCCAACTCTCTTTGGATTGGGTCAAAATAAAGTTTTAAAGTGAGCAGATCTGATGAGGTATTTCAGTTAAGTATGGGACAAGATCTATACGATTAATTTTCATTTTAACTCAGATAATTAGGAGCAAAAACAATTTATGTCAGATAATCTTCACGTGTTCATGCACTTACCAGTAAAAATACTGAATATACAAAACAACTTCAATAGTAGATCATCCATTATATAGACAACTAGAAATAAAACAAGAGCTTGGAATAAAATCATGAAGAACACACACTCACTGGCAGCATAAATGTCTGAGGGGCCGATATAGGCAATCAGTATTCGTTCGTGCACATTGCATAAATTAAAGGCTTAAATTAAATTATTCATGCAAATTATTTAAAAATTTGTGAATGATATTTCAAAACCGTTACAATAACTTTATCAATAATCATCAAAATTCTTAAATGTTTTTTTAACAAAATTGAATCAAAATTTCAACTTGTTTGATTTGTCTTCCAAATTATGTACGGAAATCAAGGAGCAATGACTCCATAAATATTTATTGGAGATCTGAAAGATTAAATAAGGCATCGTATATTTATTCAAACAGTGATTTATCAACCCACTTAACAATTCTAAAAGCCCAGATGATCTCAGTTTGTCATGTAAGAATACTATAAGGTAATAATGATAATAACGAAATTAATATTGCGCAACAATTCATCCCATTTGCGCATGAAAGTGTTCACATGGGTCAATTATAGTGCCTAAACAGCCAAGTTTTCACATTTGATTTGAAGATAGACAATGTTTCACATTTTTGAATGGAAGGTGGTAGCGAATTCCATAGAATTGATGCATTATACTGAAAAGTCCTTGAACCAAATTTCTTCATCTTATAAACCGATACTTCTAACAATAATTTATTCTCGGATCTCAGTGACCTTTTTGGTTGGTAGTGTGTCAAGAGATTCTGAAGATATCTTGGTGCTGTTTTATGGAATGTTTTCTATGTCAGAGTTAAAATTTTAAAGTTAATTCTCTCGCGCACTCGGAGCCAGTGAAGATTATTTAAAATGGGAGTGATGTGTAATTTTGATCCAGCTTTAGTCACATCGTGCAGCACGATTTTGGATCCTTTGCAACTTGGAGATTTGTTCATCAGTTACTCCAGAAAATAGTCAATTCTGGACAGCACGAATGATCGAGCCAGTGCAGCGGTTGCACTTTCAGACATAAGATGACGGATTGATCCTATTCTTCGAAGATGAAAATGGCAAATTTTGCAGATATTGTTTATGTGAGAGTTAAAACTGAGGTTTGAATCTAAGAACACGCCACGATTTTTCACAACATTTGAAATTGGAATATCTGAATTGTCTATTTTGAGAGATTTCACAATGCAAGTATTAAGTCTGTGATCAGGTCCAATAAAGAGAAGCTCGGTTTTGTCGTCGTTAAGCTTTAACATGTTGGCGGACATCCAGTTCTTAATACCGTTGAGGCAACATTCCAAATTACAAATTGTTGTGAGCTGGCTGACAGTGTTAAGGTGAAATTTATCGATCAGGTAAAAATTATGTAGGTTATGCCAATCAAAAAATAAAATTCATATTCCAGTCAGTGAACTAACCTAGTAAATGTATATAACTTTAAAGTGTCTGTGCGTCATTAGCAATTTTCGACATATTATTGAATCTTCATTTCATTATATCTTTGTAAATACTGAACAGAAACGAAACAAATTTTGATTGATATTCCTTCTGGAGATTCAAGTTGTGCGCTATTATGATTCCCCAATGCCTCAAATGAAGTTCGGTAACTTTAAGTCATTTTACCCACATTGTATGGATACCAGAAACTAATTTGTTGGATTTTAAATAAACAGTATAATACCTTATAGGTATAACATGCCTAATAAGACAATTTATGCAATCCACGTTTACTGCTACAATAATAATCTTATATTAAAATGTTACGTGATGATAGTTAAAATGTTACGTTATGGTAGTTAAAATGTTACGTTATGACAGTTACAATGTTACGTGACGATAGTTATAATGGTACGTTATGATACTTATAATGGTACTTTATGGTAATTATAATGGTACGTTATGGTAATTATAATGGTACGTTATGGTAGTTATACTGGTACGTTATGATAATTACAATGTTACGTGATGATAGTTATAATGACACGTTACGAAAGTTAAAGTGTTACGTCATGATAGTTATGGTGTAACGATTATGGTAGTATAAAGCGTTATTTCAGGTAACATTATTTTAGTCAGATTATAAAGACAATTACAATGTTACTTCATTAATAATATTTCTAAAACCAACGATAATATTTATTCTTGCGAAATACCTCTGCATGATATATTTATTAGGGTTATCTGATATAAAAGGTATGTCTTTTCTGTCAATTTGATGGAAAAGAATCTACGTAACAAATAATACTTGAAGAGGAAATATTGACAAAAGGTGGCGGATATTGACAGTGGTATGCAAAACAAACCAATATGTCTCAGTTTCCTTCTGGGTCATATAAATACTCTATTAACTATTGACCAATTAAACTCTAGCTTTGAGTAGTAAAACCGATAGAAATAAGATGATATTAAATTATTGTACTTGTTCAAGGTTTTGTTGACATGAACTCACTACTTCTCCTGAGAAGAATTTTTTTATATCTCATTTGGTACGTGTTTTGAATGATGGATGCGTTATTCATATACGATTGACACTTGCCGAATTGACATTTAGTTATTAAATCGTAGAATATCTGGATGGATGCGGTTAGTCATTTCGGGACTAACGTATGGTACAATTTGATGTTAATAATTCGCTTGTGCGATGGGTTGTGGGTGTGGGTGGGAGGAAACATCCGTGAGCCAGGGAGAACCAAGAAGTCTAATATGTATTGTTTTAATATAAAGACCGCTGTTATTACCTAATCATAATTGTTATGTGGAAAATAGACTTAATTACATTGTAGCAACTTTAAACTTAACACAAAACCTCATAATCCCTAAAAATACATTGTTTGTAGAAACATTAAAGCGATTGACTGAAACTCTTTTAGAACGGACCTTCAAATTACAAACTTATATCGGATCCGATTAGATTCTTGAAAAGGCAATCAATATTCGTCTAAAGGAACATCTTGTTGCTAATAATTCTCTGTTGAGCGCATGCCAATTGGCAGACCAGCAATACCATGGCACAGAAACAAGGTCTGTGGACGACCTACGCTGTGTTGTAGACTGTGGTAATGTTTCTTCCCTTGTGATGTCTGATTTATCTGCAGCCTTTGATACCACAGGCCACATTGGTATGCTGGAGAATCTTTCAACCCGCTGTGGTATTAGTGATTACCCTCTTGAATGGTTTAAATCTCATCTCCAAGGCCACACTCAGTCAGTTCTAATTCGTAGAGAACTATCGGGGGGAACATCACTATCCTGACGAGTACCACAAGGATCTGTACTGGGCCCGATACTTTTTATTTATACCAGTCAACCCTCTGATACAATCAATTAACCTGACTTTTCACATCACTCATATGCTGGTAACGCTCAGATTAATGACATATTTTCGCCTGTACAAGTAACAATCTGCTGAAACTTAGATCAACCATGGTGATGATTGCTGACTCTGATATTCAGACACAGACCAATGTAAAAAAAACAAACTTGGAGTTAAGTTAGTTGGAATTAAACGTTATCAATGGAAACACATGCCAATTTCCTTTGCAAAGTGTGTTACTTTCAACTTCGAGCCATTGGAAATATTCGACACCTCCTGACTAAGGAGACAGTATATACCCTTGTTCGATCACTCGACTATTGTAACAATATATTTATTATGTATTTATAATGTATCATTATGTAATTATTTTTAAAAATATTCAGATTTGGAGGAAATAAAGATATAATTATGTAAAATCTTGTGCATGTGCTTTACATGTTTAAATGAGTCCAGCCCAGCCTACCTATCTGAATTTATACACCTCTACACACCATCACGATATAACGCAGCCAAGCTCACTCGAATAGGAAATTTGAAAACTCATTTGTTTAACTTTGAATATAAGAGATCAAATTGCTAATGTGTAAATAATGTACAGTGTACAGAGATGGCGCCTTGAGTGTGCATTTGTGGATGGAACAGGCGCAATATAAATATATGATATTATTATTATTACCGAGTATCAAAAGTTTGAATAAAATTGGACACATTTCTTTCATAAAAAGATTTTAAATTGTGTATGATCTTAATCTCTGTATAACTACCCGAATTGAATATCTAAACGAATTCTTCGATTAGGAAGTGGTCCACTCCAGTGGTATAATACAAAAGCACAATACAATTTTTGTTTAAAATGGGAAGTGGTATCAGATGCTCTATAAAAAAGTAATATTACGAATTGACTTCATGTTCCTAAGAGATGAAAATTGGTAGTATTGGATGACATGAGTTGAATTAGTTAAGTGTTAAACTATTTGAATTAATTAACAAGTATAATCCACCAAGCTTTTTACATTCTGTTACACGTTACAAACACATGTGAAATAAGCATCTGATCTAGTCAATCGACCAATGAGATTAGTCGAGACAAGATTGACATTTCCTGACATTTACATTGAAATTAATGGCTAGAGCAACACTCCTGTATTATCTAAGCAATGACAAAGTGAACACAGAAATGTGTTTAACACTGTTATAGTATGTGTTTTAACAACAAGCAGGATCTTGCGATTATATGTGTGGGCGCAATACATAAAGATCCATCAATTAAAAGGCGAAATATACAATCCTATATTTTTTAACTAACAAGTAATGAATTTTTGTATTTCAAAAAAGGGCCGAGCCAAACCGGGTACAGAGTATAAATTGATTTTGTACGAAAAGGACCCCTTATTGGATGGAATTTGATAAAGTGTGGGTGAATTATCATAAAGTCCCCAATTAACAAGTAATGAATTTTTGTATTTCAAACAAAGGGCCGAGCCAAACCGGGTACATAGTCAACCAGAGTAAAAATTGATTTTGTACGAAAAAGATCCCTTATCGGATGGAATTTGATAAAGTGTGGGTGAAAGATGTGTCAGAATTATCATAAAGTCCCCAAGGTATAAGACATATGCCATATTAGCTTGACATTGAATTATCTTACACAATTTCCCGTGAAACTATTGAGTGATATATAAATCCCTATTATCACCCAGAACTTAATTTCAGACAAATTGTCGCGATAACAGTTGACAAGAAATTCTTCCATTTCTAAAACCCTGGTATTTTAGGGTTGTAGAAAAATAGTAGTAATGTCGCTCTTTCACATAAAAAGCGTGATTTACTAGAGAATTATTATATAATCGGAACCATTGGTGTAACCAGTGCACATAAACAGTATAGGGATTAAAAAAACCCATAACACCCCCAACCACACCCACGACCGGGGGAAAAGTCAGAATAATCAGTGAAACCCAGGAATATCAGGAACGACTAACGGCGTCTATGTAAAACAGTCTTCCAATTACTTAACTTATTACAAAAACAGTTTAAAAAGTAGGTTTGGTTGAGCATGATAGATACAGACGAAACATCTTAACAAGCCTAATTACACACTTTAACATAAAAAGGTACAAGGAATGAAGAAAACTCTGTGTGTTTGTTTGTCGGAGAGATGTGAAGATGGGTGGTTTGGTACACCACAGAAATCTACATAATCAGTTTACGTACATTAGTCTGTGTCTTAAATCACATTTTCCATTACTTACGAATAACAATTTCTCTGCTATAGTACGAAAACCCCAGGTTCCGTGTACACGTTGGGGTGCACTTAAAAGAACAATTGACATTTGGAATTCGATATAAGCGTAGACCGTAACGCCGCTGTCCGGGCAGAATTTTCCTCATAGCACACTGTATGGCGTACGCCTAACTTCATGAGCCCAATTGGTGCTGAAAATTATGACGTTAAATCCCGTTTCATTTCATTTTCTAAACAGTAAGACAAAGATGGGTAGATATATTTCTAATTCAAGGGTTGTCCATATTAAATGTCACCCCTTAGCTTTTTTGTAACCTCACTTTCTCGTACCAAACATGACAGCCTTGTTGTCTGCACATATCTCCCATTATCTCCCATTTTACCTTCTGAGTGACTATGTGTATGAAAGCCTACTATATAACCACAGTAAATATCGCTCATTAATAACTATATAGAAGTCATGGCAAGAGTTAGTATAGTTTAACCCTGATATCTTCTGGTGAAACAGGGTGCAGAAAGGGACGAGGTCGTGACACTTAAATGCTTACGGGCCCGGGACTGTACAGCGCAGTGGACGCTTACGGCAGACCCCCGGATCCATTCACTTGTTTTGATATTTGTTGTTTATTTCTTGTAATATCTTTGTAGTTTGTTTTGTCCGCACGTTTGTTTGTCGGTTTTGTTTTGTGTGTAGTGTGGTCCTCTTGCTCTTATATTAAATAGGAGAGTGAATATGATAAACAAAATAGAAATATCTTACAAATGTTTATATGAGAATGAAACCCCTTAAATTTGTCTAAATTCTGTGATTTGGCCAATTAGTCAATGACGATTAAAAGTAAATAACCTGTATTTAAAAATTTCTTACACAGCGACATAAATCTATATTTAAACTTTTAAGAGAATACATATTAAATCTTTATGAATCTAAATATTTAATGCCCTGAAAAGGACATCAATCTATTTTATCCTCCATTACATATACAATTTTCAGTTTTGATATCAATACCAAGGGCATCAACTTTTCAAATACATATAGTTTCGAGTTTGAAAGAAAGTTTGATTAAGGGTGCCGCAACCTAATTCATTTATGACATTTTCATGTGCAGGATTATTAACGAATATAAAGTTAAAGGGTGTGTGACTCTATCTTTGAAACCTTAAAATAGACAAAAACCGGTCTAAAAGCATATAAAGTGATTTATGTTCAATGTTTTAAAATTTTATTGTAATTTCTAATCAGTTATATTCAGTGGAACATGTGAACACTCCAAACTGAACGACATTTGTTTACGCCTGCTTAGACCAGTCTACAGGGTTGTTTTATCAATATTATGTAGTTTGTGAATCAGATATTATTAATTACTTTCGCATTGTCTTGTAGGGTATGTTTTCTTTGTTCGTTACAAATGGCGTCCAAAACCATAGAATACACGACTCGTACACTGATTATAAAATTTTCACTGTGTCTTACATATTAGATATTAGGATCACAAATTTTCACAGCAAGATAACAACATCAATATTGATTGAAATGGAGCAATATTGATTTCTAATTTGTGTTTTTAATTTCATATATTATGGAAAATATTGAGTTCGAGGACCAGCTCCTTTAAATTATCCTTTGAATGGTTTTATTACCTACCACAAATTTGGTCAGCGTGGTGGAAAATAGGAGTTAATAGTGTTAAAACACCTTTAATCATGTGTTATAGCTCGTACTAATGGTTTAATTTGACATCTTCTATACACAGTGATACCCATCCATTGTTCATAGACAAGTCTGGCATAAATTTTATAATGAATATTGGAATAGTGTAGATTAAGGAGGAAGAAATAATTTTCATTTATTTGTTTTAACTTAAAAGTTGACACATTTAAAACTAATTTCTGTATATTCAATTTACTTGATCAATTTAGATATATAATTTACTTTGGTTTGTTTTCATTTCATTTTCATGTCCCTCAACATAATATATTCCTATGTTGAAAAATTCTCCCCATAGGTTATAACTTACAACGATACTCGAAGTTATCTTAAAACATACTGTTTTAAATTGAATAACCTAACTTACCTTTATTTATCTCGTATATAAATTCACAAATTATCGGAATCACATTTTATGGTGAAGTGTTTTAGATTCCCGGATATTATTCACAATTACAGAATTTACCACAATATCTGCTTGCGATTCGTTAACTGTTAGGACACTTCAAAAACTTACCATGGCTAATCCGAAAATCTTTTTAAATAGTTTACACAAAAACTCAACAAAGTTATGTGTCGTATAGGAATGCTTTTGCCGGCCCTGACAGACCTCGCTAATGATAGGTTATGTAGGATATAGAGCAAACACGAATGGTCCATTCCCACATTTGTTTGCCCACATTCGTATCTCGACCCATTACACGCGAGATAATATTTACATTGAGTTCTTCAGCTTACATACAGGAGAAAGCCCGTTACGCTATACCTTTACATACTTATTAAGATCATCACACTCTTGTATGCTAATGGACCATGACCGACTGGCCGGGTAACAACAAATAAACATGGGTTGTGGAATTCAAATTATTATGCGACAACGCATAATAAGACGCCCACTCTAAGATGCATACAGATTTAAACCACATCTCAGAATAAATGTTCAAAATAAACTTTTGGGCTATACAGGTAGGGTAATTAATACGATACGGCCAGGTGCCATTAATACACATCTTGGCTCTCCTAACTAGAGTTAGCACCCCTTGGTAATAGTCAGGCTATAACTATGGTATTAGAGGTGATCGAGAATAAATACCAACCATACTAACTGTTCCATTACATTCTCCTGCTGTACTTCCGATCTGAAGCCAATCAAATGTGGAATTTGGTCACGATCCCAAAACCACACAAATAGCATGACTGTAACCAAGGGTAGCTAAGTGAAGAGAAGCCCAAAGGCGGGACTCGGGGTACTAGAGATCTTAGTTGATAATCAATATGAGTACCCATACCATTCTAACCATTGTTCCCGGATCCTCTACTCATGGTACTGTATCAATTTGGTCGTTTTATGTCATTGGTTCATAGACTGGACCGACTGGTCAGAAATCAGACTCTTCCCTAAGTTACACAGGCTTGATTTCTGTTGGTAAAGTCAATAAATATAATAATTTCGATCGAATCGTGACAGTAAATCCCACTACTGTGCAAAAGATACAGTGTTCTTACTGTGGTATAAAATAAAAGTTCTAGTATTGATAATATACGTAAGAAATGTACAATATTAGTGTAAAAAATCAGAAAAAGACTGGTGAAACGAAATGAAGATAAATATTTTAAGTAGATTGTACAATATTCACACGGTAGTTCAATTAAAACGAATACCACGCTCTGCCATCATCATCTCTAAAATAGACTTTAAGTAATTCGACAGTAAATTATTAATCTAAATAAAACTGCTTTTTCATGGTAGAAATTTTAAAGTTTTAAGATGTACATGTACACTAGATATAAAGTAAATAGACTGTAAGGGTTTCTACCAAAAACAAACACTTTAATGTTCAGGGTATACATAATCTGTTAACAGGTCGTGCTATTTATTAAAAGACACACCTATCTTATTATAAAGTTAATAATTACATGTATGTTCAAAAATATCTTTATTCGGGATAATTTTAAAGGAGAACTTCAAGCAGTATTTTCTTACGTTATTCAATAAAAACAAAATTGTTCCTGGCACAATCGGAAGAGGTGTGAAGTTATAACTACCCATGACAAAATAGTCTCCGATACAACGACGCGTATACAGGTACCGTCGTCTGTTTAAAAGGGGGGAACATTGGCTATTATAGGTGGTCGTTTGCTTATTTACAGTTTCTGACAGTTCCTTTCATAACATCCCACCTGGTGTGTTAATCTCTAGAATTAAAGGCAAAAGGATTAAGCATAGATGAAACTATTTTCTTACTAGATAATGAATGATATATATAAAAAACATTTGGAACGGCTGATACGTATGATTATTTTATCTTTACGGACTGGTTATGTTTTATGCACTGTATAGAATCCTGCATAGAATCCACTTATTTCTCTTGGGGGGCGATTACTACGAACAAATTCACGGTCTACCAATGGGCAGTCCCCTATCCCCAGTTCTAAGTGAAATCTATATGACCGATTTTGAAGAGAGGGCTCTTTCCACCTCACCCATCCAACCCACAATTTGGCTCCGTAAAGTCGATGATGTCTTTGTAATTCTCCGTCAGAACGAAGACCACACCGCCTTGCTCCATCACCTCAACAACCAAAATGGCAGAATTAAATTTACAATAGAAACAGAAGAAAACCAATGCCTCCCATTCCTGGATGTACTAGTTAAGAAAACAGAAGGTAGGCTCACAACAAGTGTTTATAGAAAACCAACACATACTGACCAGTACATTAACTTCTATTCCCACCACCCACACAGTGTTAAGAAAGCAACCATAGCAACTTTAGCCCGCCGTGCTGTCAACATCTGTGACAAAGAACATCTCCAAAAAGAATTAGACCACATTGAAGAAGCCCTTACAAACCTGAACAACTACCCTCTACAATTTGTTAAAAAGACCATTAAAACCACCATTGACACCCCTACAGATCCGGGAAAAACCAAACCAGAAAAACCACCTATAAGAATCACCATACCGTTTCAAGGGAAGCTCACTTACCACCTCAAGAGAATCCTCATCCCAATAGGTATCCAGGTCACCTTCTCCAAGGGCCGAACACTTGAAGATATCCTGAAAGCTAATGGTAAGCTCCTCCCGAATAAACCCCCGCCCCAGAAAGAGTGTGTCTATAAAGTTGCCTGCTCTTGTCTTAGTACTTACATCGGTGAAACTAGACAACCCCTAGATAAAAGAATAAGCCAGCACAAGTCCAAGTCGTCCATCACTAACTCAGCTGTTGCACAACATCTCCAGACCAACCCTGGACACAGAATTGAGTCATACGAAACCCTGGCATCTAATCTCCCAATAGAAAAGACACGAAAGATAATGGAGGCAATACAAATCAGAAGGAACAGCCCAGATCTTAACCGTGATACAGGGATATTTTTGCCCAATGCGTATGATCAACTAATTTAAATAATAGCATGGTTCCACCACTCCTTATAAACTGTACAAGTGTGTTATCTTTTGACTAGTTATTGTATTTACTATCGTGCTATATTCATTGTTGTAAATTGTTTTTGTTTTTACATTAAATCTATAACTCTGTTGCATATCTAATTATCCTATCATAAAATTACAAGTGTTAATAGATATGTGCAATGAAATAACAGTTATATTTAATCTACCCTTCATCATGTAACATTTATCTGTTGTATATACTCCATTGCCTTAATTTATTGTCTTAACTATAATAATAATCACCTCCCATATTCGGTTAATATCGCAACTACTTAGTCAGCTTATTGATCGTTTAACATAGCGGTTTCTTTTCTTACTTTTGTATATTGTTACCAAATTGTGTCACAACCCTTTGATCTAATTGTTTTAAGGTATGGTTTCCATTTTTGTTGTTAAGACATCCTCACTGGCCATGGACTATAAGTTAATTAACTCTCTATCTGCTATTGTATATCTTAATAAGTGTTGGTGTAGGCCTTTGATCATTTTGTTGCTATGTATGGTTTCGGTTATGTTGTTGTATTTTGTCTATATATATTTGCCTCATACCTGTTTTACTGTATTAGCTTGATAAAGTTGAGAGAATACTCTACGAAACGTCGCCTTAAATACACTAGTAGCTGTTTTCCATAAGTATGTGTTTTGTTGTTACTCTATCCAGTTACTAAATGCCATTTAAAGAACATATAAATAAGGTTATGTTGTACCACTTTGACATTATTGTACTCCCGGCCTTGTTGTACTCCGGGCAGTATCATTATTTCTTTTGTCAATTTGTCGGGAAGTTATTTCTGGTGTCCGATGAATGCTGCTACACTAGTCTGATTAATAGGGATTCAAATCAGCAACATAAGTAAAGCTATATTGGACTACTTAGAAATTGTTGTAACTCATGGGCTGGAATAGCTGGAAAACGCATTTGCGACCGTTTAAGTTTCAAAATTTTCTCGGTGAGGCCCACCATAGCTCTGGACAAAACAATGTCTGTCTTCGGCGCTTAATTGCGACCGGCTTCGCAAGCTGAGACTCGGTGGACTCTAAACAAGAATGGTGGGTATAAGGTGGGATTTCGGTTGCAAGACAACATAAATACGGCTGCATTGGTGAGGGAGAAAGAAATGACGGTTAACGTCCACTCGACACAAACTAGGTCATTTCGGGACTAACATATTATGGTTCATTATTTTTCAATAATTCGCTTGCGCGTACGAGTCTTAGCAGTGGGAGGAAACCAGAGGACCTGGAGAAAACCCACGAGGTTTGACAGGCGACCCTACTCTTTGTCACACACAACCGGCAATCGAAACCACGCCAGTTGACTCAATGACAGACCTGGTGATACAGAGGGGGGGGGGGTGTACCATAACCAACCCATTTGGAGCTTGCGGCGGTCGCTGATGTCCGCCACCGCCTACCGTAAACAAGCTAAAAACGTGATTTTTCGAAAAATCAGGGGCCATAACCAATGAAGTTACACTCCAATATCGAAAGGAACCGAGATCTTTTCGGGATATAAACCTATATTTCAAGTTTCGTCAAAATAGGATAAAAATTTTGACCTGTATAATGTCCACAACAAATTGTGGACGGACGGATGGAGGGATGGGGCAATGTGGGCGTATAAAAATTCCTTACGCATTTCCATCCGTTTATAGTTTTTCTCTTCATTTTTTTCTTTTTGCCGCGTTGTTCATGGTGATTTCTGTTGGCTTTTTGGGATCTAGAAAAGAGTTTGAATTTACATTTTTCTTCAGGATAAGTGGATGTTCATGAATATGAGGCAGAACGATAATACAGTTAAAAATTGTTTAAGACGTTGAGGAAAGGTGGAACCGGGCAAAGTGACGAGGATTAACATTAAAGTCAATAATAAAATATGGTAATGTTAGGATTTAACATTAATGGGAAGAGAATTACTAGTCTTGATCCAGATATTTATACCAAGGGAAATAACTCTTTTCAAAATGGCGTTGTCCATTGCGTGTTTTATTTGGATCTCGGCATCTATTGCAACCCTTGTGTGGCTGACTTGTATGAAAATTACCAAGTTTATAACAGTAGGGGGTATTTTACATAATCTGTTCTACTTTGGAAAACTAAGAGACAGGAAATACTATGATGCGATTGGACGATTTCGTTTCTTAGACGTACCTAAACGGTAAGTTTTCTTTATATTGGCTATCGCTGTCTCATTATGTCTAATATGTAACAGTTCAATTCCTCCGGCCTGACTATAGCAACCAAATATGGGCAATATTGGAAATTATATGAAAAAACCCTATAAGGCTCAAGATTTAGACGTTATGTTCATTTGGGACAAAATTGATTCGAAGTTCTTTTCAGCAGCTTAAATAGAGTTATTTCCCCTGAACTGTTATCTCCACCAAAACGCAGTTTTACCTTTTCTTTGTAGCTATTTTCTCCATTTCTACATAGTTGGTGTAATATTCAATACAGCAGTGATTTGTGTCTTTGTTAACGCCATATACCGTGGTAAAATTTGGCCATCAATATTCAGAGAAGTTTTTGATATATTAAATTATCCTAATATAAGTAAAAGTAAGTTATAAATATAAAGGTAAGAAATAAATAAACCAATTTCGCTGACATATTGATAAAAAACAGAATTTGCATGGACTACGAAACCCGACTGCTCTGCTCTAACTATCAGGGCCGAATTACCAACAATGCCTAAAGTTTGAGATGTATTGACAAGGAGGTCTGGGCCTGGCATTCTGCACACAGGGATCCATCTACTTCATACTACGAGAATTAGTATACTGTTTTTCAATGTGATTCTACTAGGTTTCACATCTATCATACACACAAAGACTAAATAAACCTTTTCGATTTTATTAAGTGGAAGTGGAATAAACACTTAACAAAATTCTCGAAATATACTTATTGATTTCGACTAAAAATCGTAGATTAAGAACTTAATATACCGACCAACTAGCTTAGTGGCTGATCCCAAGCGGAGCTAACTGTAGACAGGCAGCCTAAGTTTAGTATGGGAGGTCTGAGTAGAAACTTATACTTTAACTGTAATCTAAACATATTATGGATTACGAAGAAAAATCACTTATTGATAAGGGGTTTGAGAGAAATAATAGACACTATCCACCATAGTCAAAGCCATGTATTATATTTACTAAAATAGTAGGCTATTATTTGTATGTTGATAAATGGTATAGTACACCAGGAAATACAATAGTATATATATAGAGAGAAATGGGACTTAACGTCCACTCTACACAAACTAGGTCATTTCGGGACTAACACATTGTTCAATTTTATTTCAATCATTCGATTGCGCTTAGGGATCTTTAGCAGTGGGAGGAAACCGGAGGACCCGGAGAAAACCCACGAGGTTGGGAAGGCGACCCTAAACCTTGTCACGTACAACCGGGGAATCGAAACCCCGCCAGTTGACTCAATGACAGACCGCATGCTACAGCGCGCGCGTGCTAACCGTTCGGCCATCCAACCCCCCAATAGTATAGAAATCTTAATGTGAATCATTGATAAACAATAATATAATCAGTAATATATACAAAATTGGTCTAGAGAACATACTCAATATACATTATTTGTGAATTTTTTTGGAAATATTCATGCCGCTTCGTTTTAATCACCAGATTCCCAATTAAATGGTTTCAACGTAATTATTGTTTTGTTAATGGAAGAAGTTCAAGTTATAAGAAGACTTTATGAATGTGTAGCAGTTCATATTTTCTCCGAAAGTAAAATGAGTATAATACATTATGGTATTGGTTTACTTTTCTACTGTTCATTTTCTTGTGGTGTGTTGTCGGAAGTAGATCCAAACCATATTGTACAATTTAAAGGTTTGTATAGGGATGGTGAAAGCTAAGGGAGCTAAACCTCTAACTCAAAATTATCCATAATAGTAGGGGAGCTATCTGACCGTTGTTCCTAAACTCGCGGACAAAATTGGCACTATGTCCAACAGAGGCACCGGCCGATGATCAGAATGGGAATTCTTAAGTTGCACATCCCCTGGGGTTAGGTGCTGTACGCCCCCGAATTCGCGGAAAAAGTCGATTTAATTCAAATTATTGCGGACAAAGTTAATCTTTGCTACATTTGTTCACGTTGCTAAGGCAAACTTGAAAAGTGCCCTTTAGAACAAAAAATCACCTGGCTTCTGGCTTCAGAACGCCCCCTAGTGACCCGAGTGCGTAGGTTTATTTCAAATATGACGGACAACTTTGATTCCTTTTTCAGCTGATAGGGTATGGTCCCAAAGTAAATAAAACACAACTTCAGAACAAATAATACCCAGGGTTCCTACTCCAGAACGGGTTCCAAGCTGAGCACATCACAAAATCCCGGTAGAGCTATTAGAAGACTAATTTGTTTCAAGTATGGCGGACAAAATTCTGCTTTCGTAAGAATGGTGCCACAATTGGACTATAAATATAAAGTGGCCTCCAGAAGAAAATATCGTCTGGTTTCTGTACTTCAGAACGCCCGCTAGTGACCCCAATAGACATGTTTATTTCAAATGTTACAGACAACTTTGATTCCCGTTTCAGCTGATCGGCTATGGCCCCAAAGTAAATAAAACAACACTTCCGCGAATTTAGGAATAACGGTCAGCTAGCTCCCATACTATAATATTCGACATTAAAAACACGAATTAGAATTCAATATCGGACCATTGTTACCTTACCGTGAACATATTGTATCCTAATATACAATATTTATTATAACCCTGCAGCCAAAACTTCTAGCTTGCTTAGAATCACAATTCCGCTACTTTGTCAAGTTCACAATCGTTAATATAAATATAGCATTTACTTTTCAATTATCACAATTTTCATTTGGCCCTAAATCGAGTTATTGCAAACATTTTGCTTGAAACTCTCTGGATTTGTGTTCCTAGTGTTATAAGCTTTCCAAAAAATGCATAGTTTGTTTGATAGTGAGGACCTTGTAACGGAAATTCACGCTAGAAATTAAGAGACAATGAACACGACGGTGTGTATTCTATGGACAGAATGGTTTTTGTGCCATTTGTAATACACAAAGAAAAACTAATCAAGAAAGAAAACTAAAAATGGCTGATTAACAAACGACAAAATAATGGTAAAATACCCGTGTAGAATGTACTAAGCAGGCACAAACGATTACAGTTCAATTTGGACTGTTCGTGTATTTTAAGGTACCAAAGAATAGAGCTATGCGCCCCTTGAAGGTGGAGTACGAATAGGAATTTATACTTGGGTTATATTCTAGACAGTTAACTATGCATTATAAAGACAAATCACCAATTTCTGATTCCGGGATTTGCATGATATATTCTCGTCTCCTCCCTCTTGCTTTGTTTGTAAACACGTGTACAATGCAATATATACACGTGACTTTAGCTAGGGGATTGTTAGATCTACATCCCAATCTGGTCTCCTTGTTTCCACTCAAGATGTTTCGTGTTAAGAAGCCAGGAAATGTTCTCAAAAACGCAACCTGACTTCTGAGATGGTAATGTGTTCTCCATGCTTTTTATGTAACTCATGTTGCACGTGCTGTTCACCGGGTAAAATGCACCCCCATACCTGGTTGAATCATTCACACTACAACGTCAGCGGCATGCCACGACTCACGGCAGCTCAGAGCAACCAGGCACTTGGAAGACCCAACACTGGCCACATAGCCCACGCCGTTGCCAATCACTTCCAGGTCAATGTTCGAACCATCTACAGGCACGAATAATCGCCCCCGAACTGGTAGACCAAGGGTTACCAGACCGCCATGTTGTGCGATAGCACATGTAGAATCCCTTCACACAGGCATCTGAGACGGCGCGTCAGACAGTGGGAACACACGGAAGACACATCAGTACCGATACAGCGCGCCGACGTCTCACTAGAGAAAACATCCGTTGCCGTAGACCTTACCATGGACCGATCCTCACCCCTCGCCATCGAGAGTATTATTTAAATTATGAATATGCCCAGTTGCCTTCTGTCAGATTGCATATTTAATTATGCTCTATTTACTGATATATTATTTTTGAAAAAGGTTACTTAGGATTATTAAAAAAAATCCCATGATATTTCAGCCTCATTATTGGAAGTGGTTATCTTATCAACATCGATAGTGATATTTAGCTTGTCCTGGTATAAACAACATTCAACGTTCAAGATCTTAGCAAACTTACGAACATATAAAAAGGGTAATATATAGTTATTACTTATTGCAATTAAATGCTGATAATCATATTTTCGTCACAGTTTTACTAATTTGACTAGAAAGTCTTATTTTTATACGCCAACATGGAAATGTGGACGTATATTGTCGTCGCCCTGTCTGTCCGTCGTCCACAATTTCTTGTGAACGCTTTTACTCTAAAAGTTATATATCTGATTGTTTTAAAATTGATATATGTGGTTTACATTAGTGCGATGAAGAATCCCATTTAATTTCAATAATTTATGTTTATTACGTCTAGAGTTGTGGCCCCTGTTTCACTTAGTTGAACCCTGTGAACGCTATTACGCCTAAAGTTATCATCTGATCTTTGTGAAATTTATATATATGTATTATTTAAATTAGTGAAACGAAGAAACCTATTGAATTTCAGCAGTTTCCGTTTATTTCATCTAGAGTTATGGTCCTTGTTTCACTTTATTGAACCGTGTGAACGCTATTACGCAAAAAATTATCATCTGATCTTTGTGAAATTTATACGCATGATTTAAATTAGTGAAACAAAAACGCCTATTGGATTTCAGCAATTTCCGTCAATTCCTTCTAGAGTTATGGCCCTTGTTTCAGTTTGTTCAACCTGGTTAATGCTCGATTGATGAAAATTACCATCCGATATGTATGGAATGTATATGTATCATTTAAATTTGTGAAATAGAGGTCCATTGAATTTCATCAATTTCCGTCAATAATTTCTAGAGTTATGGCCCTTATGAACCTTGTGAACGTTTGAATGACAAAAGTGATCATCCAATCTGTATGAAATTTATATGCATTATTTAAATTTATATTTTAGTACACATTAATTTTATATGTTGACTGAAAATATAGATAATTACTGAATATGGAAATATTTTGATATATAAAAATTGTAAGATATTAACACACTAAAAACTATTTATGGAACAAGAATTACTGGTTTATTAACACGCAGCGTTTTGACGATGATACTCTTTTCTTTATAAAGCAGTTACGAATTGCCACTCAGAGAAATTAAGATTTTTACACCGGACAATATAAAGCTTTATATGTAAGATTTTCAAACTTGAGTGCCTTAAGGTTATGGAAGATAGTTCTCACTATAAAAGTTAAGACCTGCAATATGCAGATGCAGATTTAGGTCTTGCATAATGTATGTTTAATGGTTTTTGATTAGTAATGGAAAGTCCAGTATGTCATGTAGAATCTTGGCGTTGTTTCGGGTCAGTAAACTACACCCTCTCTTTCTGGTTAATTACAGATTCAAAGACAAGTCTTCAGCATTTTCTACCCAATGGCGATCTATTCCACTATGTCTCCTGTCCTCACTTCTTCACAGAAATACTGATATATTTTGCAATGAATTTAGTGTTGAAATTTCATCACACTACCGGTCTGTGTTATTTATTATTTATATGTGTTAATCAAGTGACGTTTGGTTTAATAACTCATTCATGGTATAAACAAACATTCCCATCATACCCTAAACATCGACGTGCCGTTATACCGTTCATTTTATAAATACGTGGTTGTACTTAATTAAGTGAATATACTATAGTTTCGTATGAAATCAAAGTTTCGTATGAATTGAATGATTATATTGTATTGTTTAGTAAGAATTATGTGAACATGAAAAAGTTTCATTAGAATTTTAAGAGAACATGTATATTTTTTGGAAAGAAAGGGAATACATGGTATATATAAACGCTATTGACTGAACGTTTATAGTTTCGTATGGATGAAGAGAACATGTTGGTTTCATAATAATGATGTAAATATATTTATTGTGTGGATGTATTGTATTCTGTGTTAAAGTAGCTAAGTCTCTAACTCAATATCATCCAAAATCTTCGACATTGAAAACACGAATTATTTGTCAATTTAAATCAACATTGATGTTGTGATCTTACGGGGAAAAGATGGGCTTCTGATATCCAATAATTAAGACAAAATAAACATTTTACCGTTGGTACACGGATCGTGTACCATGGTGCATTTCAGCGCCATTTTTAAACAAGGGACTCGTAGAAAGAGGCTAGATATATTCCACAAGTTATGTCGAACGGTGACGTCATATTCTGGAGAGCATGGGCAATAAAAACTATCGGTATAGAGCGGAATAACCAGACGCTAGGGATTGCCATTGGATTGAGACTTCTGGCATATTTCCCCGAACATAACTGATTAGAAATTGCAGTAAAAACAGAAACGATTGAATGTAAATCAGTTTATATACATTCACGTTACATTATTATATACGTTGCGACCCATTTGTGTCAATTTCTAGATCCAAAATATTAGTGATTTAAGTAAGGTAGTGCGAAGTGTTATATGTATATGTCTGTGTGTTTAGTTTCGTATAAATTATGTAAACACGCATATTGTTTTTTGTGTCTAGATCCTAAATGCATAACATTCGATTGGAAAATATATTCACACTAACACTAAATATATGTTTATTGACAATGATAAGCGCTGACTTAGAAAACTGCACCCACAAAGGTAGCAACTACTCAAAGAGTGGTTTTGTGTGTCCGTATTAATTTTGCTCGAAGGAACATTGGTATTAATTGTTTTGTATAATCAAGAATTATGTGTTATGTAGTAATTTTATCGGATTTGGTACAAGTTCAGAGGCTTGGTACCATGATTTTAGAGATATGCCTCTCAGAAAAAATTATATTAAAAAAGTATGTAGAGATATGATTTTAGAGATATGCCTCTCAGAAAAAATTATATTAAAAAAGTATGTAGGTATATTATGCATTGTATTAAACCATTTTGTACATTAAAGCAGGATTATGGAAGATTAGATAAAGAGCTGACAGCTCTCGCTATAATTGTTTTTAAAAAAAAGATAATGTAAAGGGAGTATGCTGAAAATTTCAGTCAAATTACTTCACTCTGAGCCGAGAAATGCTCATTTCAAAAACACTGTAGCCTTTGTTGTCATTGTTACCGTCGTTACGATAATAAACTAAGTCCCGATTATCCATTTTTACGGTTAATCATCAACAGCCATTGAACCATATATCGGATTCAAATCTGTTTAAAATCGGACCCATCAGATGGCATCAAGAGTTGAGTATGGTCTTATCATGTTAACAAATTTTTAATTAATAGTTTATATACTCCGCCAAATTAAAAACTTGACACTCGGCATTTTTGGTACTAGATTTTTAATATTTGGTTTGAGGCAACTATTTTAGTGTTATGTTGTGCACAGACGACCTTGACATCAACAGAAAGCAAGAATACGTCTCGCCGAAAGTCCTTGACATTGATAACGTTCGTGATGTCACAGTACCCCCCAAAATGAAATTCACAGACTTGGAGAACAATCGGAATAAAGTGTTTAGTAACGGTTGTGGTCTCCTCTGGCGTCTCGTACTGCCACACGTCTTCTCATGGATCTCAGAACATTAGTAAACACTACCCGAGGAAGACGTCGCCACTGCTCAGCAAGAGCATGTTGAAGGTCCTGCAACGTCAGTGGTGGATTCACTTGCTGACGAACACGTCGACCCAGTTCGTCCCAGATGTGTTCAATAGGATTAAGGTCGGGGCTAAGCGACGGCCAATCCAGGACTTGGACACCGGCATTTTTAAAAAAATTCTGGGTAGCAATTGCTGTATGGGGTCGAGCATTGTCTTTTTGAAACGTTAGTCCAGGCCCATGTCTCTGCATAAACGGAAGAAGAACAGGTTGCAAAATCTGATCCCTGTACTGGACAGCATCTAAGTTCCCTTGGACAACAACAAGAGGAGAACGTCCATGTGCACAAAAAGAACCCCAAACCATGACGCTGCCGTCACCAAATCGGTCAACTTCTCTGATGCATACTTGAGCGTAACGTTCACCTCGTCTGCGGTACACTCGGACCCTGCCATCGGCAAATCTCAAAGTGAATCGAGATTCGTCACTAAAGACAACCGAATTCCACTTTCTTTGAGTAAATCGTATGTGTCTTGTGGCCCACACAAGCCGGTTACGGCGAATAAGAGGTGTCAATATTGGTCCATTATAGGGCCTCCGAGCTCGAAGACCAGCAGCCTGCAAGCGAATTCGAACAGTTTGTGCAGTTACCCTTCTACCAAACATCTCTCTACTTGTGGAGGTTGCAGTGACAAATCTGTTTCTAAGATGACGTAATCGTATTGCTTGATCTTCCTGGAGTGACGTCACACGTGGCGCTCCCGACCTTGGGCGGTCGGCAATAGTTCCAATTTGAAGCACTCTCATTCTAAGATTAATTATTGTCTGGCGTGAACAATTAAAGGCTCTTGCAACAGTGACTACAGACTGACCACCATAGAGCCAGCCTACCTATAGCACGTAGACGTTCTACATTTGAAAGGCGCGGCATTTTCTAACGAAGATGAAAATAACAATTTTAATTTGTTTTCCCAGTTCAAGTTACGTTTGCGTGTTCGGTTTAAGCAAACTTGCATCGATTGACCTCACGAGTTTGTGTTTGCATGTGTTTTTCAGGTTTTTCATCTTTATATTCTCAAAAGTCACGTGATCGACGTGACTTTACAATTTTATGAAGTTAAAGGCTTCTTACTACTTGCTATCGCTAGAAACACTTTAAAAAAAATTTGGCTTACCAGAAAAAAAAAAATTGTTGAAATTCATCAGTGTCAAGTTTTTAATTTGGCTGAGTATATGATATTAAAGGCCTAAAGAAACGCCCGCAATAGGCAGATTTAGCTCTTACATAATTCATATTTAAACAAAATGTAATTATTTTTTAAAAAATGGTTAAATATCACCTGTATTTGAGTATGTAGATTACACAGCATCATTTGACAGCCGAGGAAAGTGAAATGAAATGGGGTTTAACTTTCTACTTTTCTGCTCCTCAGTGGCTTATGAAGGCGGGCATCCGTCATGCTGTGTGCTACGATTCTGATTTTGCTCCTGTTTCAAATTCTAACTGGCAAGGGCAATTTACGCGCACCCCTGTGTGTACACGCCCCAATGACCGGGGAAACCACGTCTGAAATATAAGAGGAACTTTCTCGCTCAATTATGGGATCCAACTGGGGACTTCACGAGCTAGCGTAATACGCACTGGGCACTGAGCCACCGCGGCTTCCCAGCAGACGCAACCGTGAACACAAGAGATGTTGTTTGAAGAGAAAAAGTTCATAGGAAATGGCTGAAAATGCTGATTCAACTGTGTGAAAATGTCAAGTTTAGACAGTAAATGTTAAAATCGTGAATGAAGGATGGTGCAGTTAAACTAATCAGTTAGACCCGTTGGTCTTCCATAATCAATGTCGAATTCATTCATCTCAGTGTCTTTCGCTCTAAACAGACTAACATAAATTTTCTTAATTTTGCAAAGACATCCTGGGTAGTACAATTTCACAAACCAGTTTCTATGTTCATCATAATAAATAAAAACAATAACAGAAATTTAAACAAATAAAATAAATTTAATGTTAGATAAGAAAAACACACTTTGTTATACCTTTATTTTATGTCTACAATTATGTTTTTGATCTCGCCAATTGCCAGACGTTCTTTTCCTACTATATACAAATATGTTTTTATTAACAAACTTATTATACACTAAATTCCCCTATTGAAATAATAATATTGATCCAGACTTGTATCTAGTTCTTTAGAGAAAAACAGCAAATAACGGCATGCAATTCAATTTGAAACGATATCGTTCTTGCAAATCGACTGCAATTGAAATGAAATGTGATTATGAGAGTCATACAGATTGTTCCAGGTACAATATCAAAGGAACCAGACGGCGATAGTAGGCCAATTCCAATTAGTTATAATAGTGTACTCACTTCAATCTCTACCTACAAATGAAATTTGAGATATTTAAATTAAGAAGTTGTCGAGAAAGTCTTCATCTGAAATGCTACCTGTATGGTGACTCGCCCAAAGCGTAAACATCACGTGATCATAAATCCCTGCCCGTCAGCACTCAAGAGTTCCTAACAACCAATATACATACACCAAAATAGGCTGTTCCAACGGAGTATGTCACTTTCTTTCTTGATATGCACATATTTCCATCTTTAAATTAACATTAAATCACCCTACAACATGATGCAGATTTTCAATAGTTTAACAAGGTGGCAGGCAAGTATATATTAGTTATATTTTCTATGCAGACAGGTACCCTATCGCCTCATCGTTCTTTAAATATTAAATACGTTTTTTTTTTATTCTGTGTTATAGTTCTTTAAGCTTGTGTATCACTCATATCTTGATGAGTATGTATTATCAGTTCATAGTGGTCCCATTATCACCATTGATTCCCTCAAATCCTATAGGTGCATTGTATTCTGTATTAAAGCCTTCGAAACCAATAGTTCCTGGAGCACTGTATGTATACTGTAAAAAAAAAAATGTGTTAGTTATTAATAATACTGATGAAGGAATAATATTTTTAATAACAAAGTCCAAGCATGTCGAGTAAAAGTTTACTATCTTGCTATTAGATATAATTATTTTTATACGCCCACATTAATGTGGACGTATATTGTCGTCGCCCCTGTCCGTCCACAATTTGTTTGTGGACACTCTACAGGTCACAATTTCTTATCCGATTTTGACGAAATGTGAAATATAGGTTTATCTCCAAACGATCGACACTTCATGGATTATGATCCCGGATTGTACGAAAAATCACGATTTTAGCTAGAGGTCATAATTTTCATCTGATTTTGATGAAACTTGAAATGCATGTTTACAACCCAGCGTGATGTCGTTTGAGTACCACTTTCGTGAAAATCGGACCAAATCTCTTGCAAAATGTGGGCGTATCTTGCCTGGCAAACGCTGGTTTCAATAGATATTATACTGGTTAGCATCAACAGTAGCTAACCTTTTGGTGTCCGGAAGACCTTTGATATCTTCCATGAAGTATGTTCTTAACTGGCCAGCTTATGGACACTTATATAAAACAGATGTGTCATTTTACAGTGTGTGACACTATTTACCCAGGGTGTTGATATGTACAGATGTAAATATACATTTGCACTACCTCCTCACTTGACGTACATTTACTTAGCTTACTTTGTCGATATGCAAATCATCATATAACATATTTTTCCAGAAAGCGGTAGTAATTAAAGTAAAACGGAGTTACAGAACAGTACAATAATAGACATTGAAGAATTTTACCTCTGATAAAACTTTATCGTTGTTATATGTATCATAAGGAAGACATTTCTCGTCTCTTTCGTTAGGTGTCGCTACCAATGTCGTTGCTGTTTCAGTGCCACGTAGATAAGAACCCTTAAGTCACCAATAGAAAATCATGCACTTTGTAAGATTTAGATAAATAGCTGACAGATTGCTATAGTCATGTAGTTTAAAAAGATAATGAATATGTAACGTATTCACAATTTCAGTCAAATTACTTTATTCTGAGCGCTGTTTTGATAAGAAAAGAGTCGTCCCGACGGTTTCATTGCTACCATCGTTACAATAATCCAGTTTTAAATTTAATTATTTAATGGCCACCAGTCCATTTAAATTCACGACCACCCGACGCTCTAGTCCAGGGAATTCGTTAAGGGCTTGGCACGCGAATAATTGTCTAATTAATAATTTATATAAAATTTGATGCCAAAAGAAAGACCCACAATAGGTAGATTTAGCTCTTACATATTTCGTAGTGTTTATTTTTCGGTTCATCTTGTTCTAAAGACATTTTTTTACACGACTGTTTGGCAACGTGCAAATTGTGATTGAACCATGTGTTAGTCCCGGTATGACCTAGTTTGTGTCGCTTGGGTGTAAATCCCCATCCCCACTCCCTACCCAACCCTACCCACCCCACCCCATTCCTGTGATTGGGCACATCAAAGCTCAAAAGTCAAAAATACCTATATGATGTCATTATGCAACTAAGGAAACCTGACTATATAAAAATAAACATGAAGAATCTCTGAACATGTATGAAAATTTCTTTATAGTTTCAAGATAAATAAAGATATATGTGTGCAATCAATAGAAATCGAACTGTAAATGGCATACAGGAACTAAAATTGATCGATCCAAATAATTTATCGATCAAATAAGTTTTTAATAAACGTACTTGTGATTGATTATGGTCCTTAACTCTATATTCAATCTTTAGTGTGGCCTACTCGATCTTTTATGTTGAATTTGCAATATATTTTCTACGATAGCAGTCAATCGGCCAAATCTCGTAATGAAATTATTCATTATTCAGATTCTCGGATTAATTGCACGTAACAGTTGGTCAGTATCTAACGTGTCAGTTTTACCATTTTCTTTTTACTATCTTTTCTAAATGAATTAAACACAAAACATATACAATTAAAAAATTACCTTTGTGTTATTGGATCTATAATAGAGAAACTCAAAAACCCCAAGTATTATAGAAAATACTAGACCGCTGATTAAAATATAAAACACTCCTGCTACATTACTTAGAGAAAGAGATCTTTTACCAGATTCCTGCAACAAAAACAAATATATTCATTTAATTAAACTCATTGGGCGCCCGATCTTTGTATCGTTGAAATAAGACGATGAAGGGTGAATCCGAAAATTCTATGACTACCCCCTGGTTTGGGTGCTTATTAAAAAATAATACTCGTCTGGTATAGAGTCACATAAAAATGTTGCAACGTCCCGTCGACACAAACTAGGTCATTTCGAGACTAACATATGGGTCAATTTTATTTCTATAATTCGCTCAGGGTCTTCGCTCAGGGTCTTTATCAGTGAAAGGAAAACCGGAGGACCCAGAGAAAACTCACGAGGTTGGACTGGCGACCCGACTCCTTGTCACTTACAAGCGGAGAATCGAAACGACGCCACTTGAATCCAAAGAAAAGCAAACTTTCTGATCGCCCCCCCTCCC